TGTGGATGGGAGTTTGTGAACTCGCTGATGACATGTATAAAAGAGAATGTTGGTTTTGAACATGCGTTGATTTCGCAGTACCATCCTAGAGCTAATGGTGCAAGTGAAAGAGCTGTCCAGTCGGCAGTGAACACCATTAAAAAACAAATAGTTGGTAATGTCGCTGATTGGGATCAGAAGGTGCCATCTGCGCAGTTGTTTTTGAATGGCAAGTATAATGCTAGGACTAAGAGTACGCCATTCTCGTTAATGTTTGGAAGGAATCCAAATGACTTTGTCGATTTTAGTAAAGAAAAGGATAGTGCAACTGCTGAACAGATTCAGAAAGAGTTGCAAGAAAAAATTAAAAGAATGACTGAGATAGTCTACCCTGCTGTGTTTGAACATGTAAAGCATGTCACAGAAAACCAAAAGGAACGCTTTGATGGAAGTCACAAAATGATAGATCTGGTTCCAGGAACCACGGTAATGATTTTGGTGACAGAAAAACAGAATAAATTAGATCCGAAGTATAAGGGATTCTACACTGTTGTTAGAAAGACTGCTGCCAATACTTATGTATTGAAAAATGAAAAGGGATTTTTAGAACCAAGGAATTATCCTCCTTCTTTATTGAAAAAAGTTTCTGACAAGGTATTAGAGCAAAAGAATGACTTTTTTGAAGTCGAAGCAATTATTGGGCACATAAAAGATGACAAGAACAATTATCTGTATAGATGCAAATGGTTGGATTATGAGGAGTCTCACAATACCTGGGAGCCAGAGGATCATTTTACCGATCCTAAGTTGATAAAAGAATACTGGCAAAGAATTGGTGAAGCTCCAGAAGGTATCAAAGACATCAATAAGGCCAATAAGAAATTATTGGATATGAAAGTTGCATATTCTGTACCTAAAGAAAATTCAGGTACTAAAAGGAAGAATTATGCAAAGACAGCTTATCAAAAGAAGAAACGCAGTAAGGTCTAAATAAAGAGTTATTTGAGCACCACAGTACTCGTTTAAAATAAAATAAAAAAAAGAACAAGCTGATCAGAAGAATTGCATAGAGTACTTGAATGGTATTTAGTTAATACCTGGGTGGGGATAATGTGGTGATCCAGACACTCGGATGTTAGATTTATCACATATAAGAACATATTCATATTGGGATAGCGTAGTAGCTATCATCTTGTCAGTATAAAATATATATAAACGATTAAGTAATCAGCCCAATAATTATTACAGTTAGTACTGTAGATAATATCTTAAAGATTGTTAAGATAATTATATCATACTGCCAGGTAAACTGTGTCAGATCGATATGGAGCTAATTTAGTAGGAAGTCCTAAAGCTCTAGTATAAAAGAGAAAAGAATAGCTAAGAGCTAAAGAAATACAATTTATGACTTGATGTCATAATTGTAACACCAACACTAGTTAAGCAGTAAATACACTCTAATAACCAAATATAGTAAAGGAAGAAAGCCTTAAGAAACTAAGACGTAATGACAAGAGCAGATTGTGTTTTCTTATAAAAAGGGACACTTTTTATTTATGAATAAAGACAGCTTATATACAGTCTCAAAGTATTTCTATACATCTCTATTATCAAATATTTTATTTTTCTATTGTTTCGTACCTGAAATACCACATGCTTAACTAGTGTCGGTGTTACAATTATGACATCAAGTCATAAATCGTACTTCTTTAGCTCTTAGCTATTCTTTTCTCTTTTATACTAGAGCTTTAGGACTTCCTACTAAATTAGCTCCATATCGATCTGACACAGTTTACCCGGCAGTATGATATAATTATCTTAACAATCTTTAAGATATTATCTACAGTACTAACTGTAATAATTATTGGGCTGATTACTTAATCGTTTATATATATTTTATACTGACAAGATGATAGCTACTATGCTATCCCAATATGAATATGTTCTTATATGTGATAAATCCAACATCCGAGTGTCTGGATCACCACATATATTACAAAAGTTAGATGATTACAGAAAAAAAAGCATAAGAAGCAACAGTAAATTATAATTATATGCCTGGTAGAAGTATATTATAATATATTAATTATCAATAAAATATATATAATAAATAAAATAATGTCTGACCAGTAAAATTGATATATATTAAGTTATTTTTAGTATAAAAGCCAATAAATTATTCTTTATAAAATATATCTTGGTTATAGTAACCAATAAAACATTTTTTATAAAATTTACTTTTGTTACAATATCTAATAGAATTTTTTTATAAAAGAACTTTGAAAAATAAATTTACTATCTAATTAAAAACATAGATAGTCTAAATTATATAAGTAAAGAACAATTAAGTAAACATTACTTGTAAAGTGACCAATAATTCAAAATATAATCTTTAGCAAAAGTCTATAATACCTAATAAAAATAAATCTTAAACTATGGCTTTCGTATATAAGTGTCAATAAGATAACACATATAAGCTACAAAAAGATATATTGGTAAATAAATAAAATATCACATTTGTTAGATAATAAAGTTATATAATAATCTATAACAGACAGGAAGTGAGTAAGGAGGCGAATGAAAAGCTTTCTCCAGACGGCTTTCTGGGAAGTCTCTCAGAAAAACCCCTGAAGCACCTCTTTTTTTCCTATACACTATGGGAAAAAATGGCGGTTTTCTGCATTTGTGACTTTGTTTTTGGCCTATAATAATTAGAAAAATTACAAAAAACGCAAAATGAAATAAGAAAATCTCTATCTTTTGAAAAGATTGACAAAAAGCAAATTTACCACCAAAAATTAAATCTCCTGATAGACAAGTGTTCATTTTAACTACAGACTTTATATTTTTAGTGAGTGTAGATTGCAATTGATGATTATTAAAAGTCAGAGGTGAAAGAGAAGAAAATATCTAAACTTTTTGCTGGTAGGATAAAATATGTTAAGACAATTTGAAAAAAAAATGTATTAAAGAAAAAAAAACAAATTAAATATCAGCAAAAGAACCAAGTGACAACTTAGGGCCACAGTTGAGTTCTGGCCACACTATGTATGCTGTTGTTGTTGCTGTTGTTATATTTACTGTCGCGTCTGACACTACCAGCCTAACTAATTCCTTGACATCTACCAGATGAACTACCTTTGGCTTCATTTGTCCATTTCGCACCACCGGCACACCATTGTACATCATTGTGCTATACACCAACACCGAAGCAAGTGGCCATCTTTTTCTCTCATTGACATGCTCAAAGAAAAGAACAACTTTGCCAAAGAAGACTTTTAAAGCAGTAGACAATCCTGGTCTTGTGTTTGTTGTCTTGTTTACCTGCAACTGAAGGCAAACGTGGTGGGCCTCTCTTTGTACTTTGTGGGCAAATGCAGAGTCTATCACACAGCCATTGACAAAAGCCTTGTGGCTTGTTGTCAAGGCTAAATCAATCGTGCTGCATTCCACTCCCTTTGATTCATAGAACTTCGCAAAAAGAACTGGGAGACAAGAAATTTCTTCAATGCTGTCATGAATTGTTCTACATCCCAAAGGCCCCCAGAACTCAATGTCTGAGTCAACACCAACACGCTCACCTTTCTCAGTCATTGGCCAACCAGCAGACTTGTCATTATATTGCAATATTCTTGCTATTGTCCTTGCCTTAACTACCAAGGCTCCATTTACGTCCACATATCTTGTATGGGCAAGTCTCAGCATGACATTCCCAGCATTTGCACCAATAGCAGAATTGCTCTTTATCAACCGAAAATATTCTCCAATGGCCCTCTCTAGCGACCTGGCGCTGTACGCTCTGGGAGGGCCAAATACAACAATCATTGCCAGGTAATGATGCAATAGGTGTTGATGGATAGTGAATATCTCTATTCCAACTTTACCATTTTGGAAATGGTCTTCCAGATACGAATTCCACTTAATGAGGTTTCTAAGAGAAAAATTAGAATAAGTTCCAAAAACAAATCTCTGAATAATACTAAACATACCTTTTTATAGAGGTTTGTTCCTTTGCTGATAACTCCCAGCTCATGAGTAGAGTACATGCTTGCACAAGGCCAAGCAATGCCTTCTGTGCATCTTGATCGTGGACATACTCTGCTACCAGAGTGGGAACCACAAACAGAAGGAAATCGGCCCAGTCCACAGCTCAGAAATATTCTGCATATCTTGCCATGTCCCTCCAAGCACCATGGAAAGATGTTGGGATCGATCCTCTTGTTCCTTCTATTGCTGCGCCTATCTCCTTCTGTGCTCTAGCAGAGAGGAAAAGAGGGTGCTTAGATCCATACTTTCCGCAAACAAGCCCCCAGACCTGCTTGCTGATTCTGTGACAAAGACCATGTATCTCATCAAGGGCAAAGAAAAATGGGCCTGTGAATGACATCAATGAAGCAAATGGAGATTGTCTTTTGAGGCCCTTACATAACACACTATCAGGGTTGAAGCTTCTGAAGCTCTCTATAGTGCGGATGGTGGTGCCTGGCAAGGTTCTGAAATATTGACCATGACCTGCAGTTTGTCCAACAACATTGCATATATGACAGCAATTTTTGCTTGTATGGCCAGCATGGCATGCCAGCTTTGCTAATGCTGGAATGTCACCAGTTGCCATGAGAACATGGACTTTTGCTCTCATTGTTTTCGTTGATGTTTTTATCACCATTCCGTCTGCTTGCAGTATCTTGAGCAATTTGATGGTCAGCTCAAGAAATGACCAGAAGTTGGCAGGGATCATTGCAATCTTGATCATTTGCTTGCACTTGTAACGGACCATTGGAGGAAGGTTGAGCATAGTGGCATGTAAAATGGTCACTGAACCAGGAACCTTGTGTGGAGCAAAGCCATCAACTGACAACAAAATGGCAATATCATTCTCATCAGAAAAAAGATGCTTGATCGATTCATAAGCTTAGCCATCAAAGATATCAGATTTGCTTCCGTTTTGACTGGACTGATGGTTATGACAATATATCATCTCGTTTCTTGTAGTGTCATCGGCCAAACAGAGAGCAAGCTGTCTAGCCAAAGAGATCTGAATCATTGTTTTGACAGGGATTGGCAATCCGTCTTTGTCTTTGGCATTCTTTTTATAATATGTCTCACCACAATTAGGACACACTATCTCATGACTGTCATTGTAAAGTTTACAATCATTACAGCAGATGTCATACTTATCTCCTTTTACAGAAGAATATCTCTCAAGAAGTTTATCTCCAAGGTATGAAAAGCATGCTCTGTATGTTATGTCATTAGATGTCTCTAGAATCTTGTTGAAATGACGAGCAATCATTGCATGTGCTTCATGCGGAATTCCAAAATCCTTGATTATCTTAATGAACTCAAGATTTTTTGCGTCGTCATTGTTAGGAACGGGAGTGGGTTGACTGAAATCAAATATCAGAGGAGAGGTTTTAATGTAGATGTCATTCATGGCATGATCAAGATTGGCATCATACTTTATTAAGGTAAATAGTAATTAGTGTTATAGACATAGATACATACATGTATGTATATATCTTACTATGGGCTGATCATTATTATTGTCACCATTATTGAAGGCATCCACAGTTTGGTTATCAATTATGGCTGTGTTTTCTCTGTTTGTTCATGAAGGTAATAATATAATTAATTACTTGTTCTAACAGTGCTTATGTCTTTCATAGACTTACTCAGAGGTGTATCCAGATACAATACTTGATACAACGTTGGTTTGCTCAGGGACAGAAATGGGTTGGGAAATCTCAAAATTAACTATGTTTGAAGAATGGGTTTTCATACATTGAATTCTACATAAATTGACTTTTCTTGTGCTATTGTAAAATGTATTGCAGAATCTACACTTGTAACTACTACGCTTTGTAATTGAGAACATTTTTAAAAGTTGAAAATAACACTTTGAAGTAAAGATATGAGTATCAGTAATTGCTTTTAAATGATATATCTTTATACTTAATAACTTTGAGTTTTGTGTAGACATAATAGCTTCAAGGTAATGATGATATAGATAATATAAGTATAAACTCATAAACAGAATCTGAAACATTGCGTATTAGCTGTCAATATAACTATGGTAAGTCAAAATTAATATTAACTGAGATGAAAAAATTAAACTAATTAATATGAAACTAATAATAGATGATAGAAAATTCTTTCAGTCTTTATTCTCCTTTCACAACAATCTTTTTGCTTATACAAACTAAACTTTTAACATAAATAACACAGAAAGCCAGGTTATATCTTTACTACAAGCTATGCACAGTGAGATAATCTCTATGAAGGCAGGACAGGACACTATCAAACTGGAATTGAATTCTATCAGAGAAGAATTAAATTCAAAGATTGACTACCTTCAGAGTCAACTGGACAACAGAGGATTTTCTGAGCAAGAGACAGTACCTTCTGCCACTGACATTGTAAGTCAAAAATAAAATAAAATGAATATATATTAATATGTAATCCAATAGCCTTGCAACAGTTTTATCCATGCACCTATTCTAAATACCTGGGATATAACTTTGAAACACGTCTTCAAAATGATGAGTAAAGATTTTGGTATTGAGATAAACAATGAAGAGAAGGCCACTCTCCGAGTATGTACAAAAATTATTTGTGATAAGCTGGCTGTCCATTCTTTGATAAAGGATCTTGATTCTTCTCCTAGCTGGGAGTCTATACCAGTAATAGTTAGAAAACAAATGTGTGCTAAGCATGCAACGTTGATGAAGGATGCTAGTATTGATCTCATCAGATGCCATGAAAACTGGGTGTTTACCTCGAGAATCTCTCATCTTTGGAGAGACCATTTTAGAAGATTGCAGTCTCGTAAGTAATCGAATGTAGTAAAATCAAATGAGATAATATGCTATAATAACTTAGAATATAGTGTAGTTTATAGCCAATAAAATTCAAATATTGATTTTCTATTATTAAATAATAACCAATAAAATGAATATTAAAATTTTTTTGTATAATAACACCCAATAAAACAAACAATAAAAACTTTTTCCTATAATAATATCTAATAAAATGAACAATAAAAACTTTTTCTTATATTAACATCCAATAAAATGAACAATAAAAGCTTTTTTTCTTTAATAATACTCAATAAAAGTATAATTATTAAATCAAACAATAATTTTTATAAATATAATCCAATAGACAGCTATTTTCTTTAGAGCAATAATAACAAAAATAAATTATATGCAATAAAATGTCTATTTAATCTATATTTTAAAACAATAATTGTCATATAAGAGGGTACCAAATAAAAGTATCCAATGACGTATAAGCTTTATACAATAAATAAAAGAAACCACGTCCAATAGAAAAGTCAATACTAAGAAAAGAATATTGCTATGTTATATAAACAACATATTAAAGAACAGAGTGCAGAAAGTCATTTATTTTTGTTTAAACTCAACAGTGGTTTGAATGGAGAACTTGCAAAAAACCACCGGTCAAATCATCAGTCAAACCACCAGTCTAACCACCTTTTTTTTCCTGTAGTGATAGTATAGTGTTTGAGAAGAAGTGTCATATTTAGTGTATAGAAATAAAAAAAAAAAGAGAAAAAGCGATTTCAGAAAAATAAAAGAGAAAACAAATTTAATTTTCAGAAAATCAATTTTTGAAAAAAAGTGGTTTTATGAAAATAAAAAGAAATAAAATTAAAATTAAAATTTGAAAAATAAAGAAGGAGTTTTCAAAAAGAAAGTCTTGACTTAATGTAATATCTGTTTTACAATATTAGTTATTTTTTATAACTTGCAACTTATCAATCTGTCGCGTGTGCTATGTAGTTGTGTGTAGAAGATATACAAGAAAATATAATTGTATATAAGAAAAGGAATTGAGGGTTTGGGTTCGATATCAGATAAATTGAGGTGATAAAATAGTCTCTTTGTTATCAAATAGACCAGTTAAAGAAATTAAAAGGGAAACTAACACTAAGGTACAAGTGTAAATAATTTGAATGATTTGGAAAATAGTTAAACTAAAATAAATGAAGTAAATAATACTAATTCTGAAGAGTTAACTATGAGAAAGAAATGTTTAATAAAGTAAAGAATTTAGCTGAAAGGAAATTTACTATAGTAAATTAACTAAGAGATAAATAAAAGGGGAAATTAGAATAAAATAATAAAATAAAAAGGGATGATCAATCTTCTACGAAGACTTGACAGAAAAATAAATAAACAGAAGAAATTTCACAAGACAGATCAGAGATAATAGACAGTATCTTGAAAAAAACTTGTGTCAGAAAAATTTGATAGTTGTTTATTAATTGATTTTAGAGAGATATTTATATTATTTTATGGATAAAATATATGGCAAAAATAGGCTAGATAAAACTCAATAAGATAATTGTAAATAAAATATAAAGAAAAATAACTATATAAATATTTTGTCAGGAAAGAAGAATTAGATGAAGTTATAATATATAACTACAAGAAAAGAAAAATATTGGAAAGAAGTATGTTATAAATAAAAGGAAAAACTATTCAGTTAATAATTTTGATAAAGTAATATTTGAGAAGAAGTGTCACATTTAGTGCACAGGAATAAAATAAAAAGAAAAGAGAGAAAACAATTTTGGGAAAAATAAAGTGGAAAGATTTTAATTTTCAGAAAATCGGTTTTTGGAAAAAGGCGATTTTGTGAAAATGGAAGAAAGAAATTAAAATTAAAATTAAAATTTTGAAAAAAAATTAAAAGAGGTTTTCAAAAGAAAGTCTGAACTTGTAGAATTTGGTTTTTATAAAACAGCCAATGAAATTATTACATTACTTGTCAAAGCATAGTGTGGGGATGTGATGTAGTGGTATCATATTCGCTTTGCATGCGAAAGGCCCCGGGTTCGAACCCCGGCGTCTCCATTTTGATAATTTTTGTTGTTAGTAGGGTTGTCGTTCCTGATCTGGGATGGTCTTCCTTTTACTATAGCAAAGTCAAAAGGTCAAACCCACTGGGGATCGGAGAGTATATGTAAAATCGAAGAGAGGATAAAAGGTCCTTTTTATTGATAGGAATTGAATTGTCTTATATAGTTTTTTAAACTAATACTGTGCATTATCCGCAGTAAACTATTATACTCTATTTAATTACAAGAGAAGTCCTTTTACTGCGGTTGATGCTCAGAAGATGTTACTGTGGTTAATCTTTACAAGACATTACTGTGGTTCGTTATCTATGAGGTATCTTTGACATACAGAACTGCTGCGGTCAATTATCCCAATTTCTTGGATTCATCAAAATAATGTCTGACAGAATGACAACCCTGTCAGACATTATTTTGATGAATCCGTAAAATCTGAAGATAGTTAACCGCAGTACTTCTTTATGCACAGTAATATCTTCCTGAGTATTAACCGCAGTATAATGACTATTTCTTTAATTAAATATAAATAATAACTACTGCGGATAATGCGTAGTATTAGTTTAGAAAACTATATAAGTCAATTCAATTCATATTAATAAAAGGTATCTTTTATCCTCTCTTTGATTTTATGTATACTCCTTGATCCCCAGTGGGTTTGACCTTTTGACTTTGTTATAGTAAAAGGAAGACTAACCCAGATCGGGAACGACAATTGGTAGCTGAAGCTATTTTTCCTCCTAAAGACCTTTGATGAATCCTGGTGAAAGACACCAAGAAAATTTTGACAAAAAGACACTTAGCCAGTTCGAGATTGAAGAACGAGTCCAGGAATTGTTACCCAAAGAACTAGTAAATGACTACAAGAAGAACTGGCATGTACCACATATACCTGAAGAACAGAGACTCAAGAACACTCCTGCATGAGAACAAAAGTGGTCCAAACTTGCAAAAAAACTTGCAGCAATATTAACAGGGAAAAATAAAGAACTAGAAGAGATGGCCCCACAAACTGCCACCGTAACCGCTGAAGCAATCGCAGCCGCTGTTGCAGAAGCAATGAAAGCAATCACAGCACAACAGGAGTCCCGTGCCGAACGAATCAAGCAGCCTGATTGTTTCCGAGGTGAACGCTCCGCCGCAGTAGTAGATGGCTGGCTGCGCGCAGTCGAGCGTTACACCAAGTACTACAATTTCGCCCTGACCAAAGCCTGCGACTTTGCAGTAAATCTTTTGCGCGATAGAGCTGACACATGGTGGAGACGCACGGAACTCAAAACAGACCATCCCACTACTTGGGTCGAATTTAAAGCAGCCCTCACCAGAGAATTCCGCCCAGTTTATTCCCTCCAGACCTCTAGAGATCGACTAGCACGATTACACCAGTCTGGGACTGTTGCTGAATATATCAATGCCTTCCAAGACATTCAATTGGAATTGCCTGGAATGAACAATGAAGAGGCACTCGATAAATTTGTCCGTGGACTACACCCGTCCATCCGTGGAAATGTCCTTGCTGCCCGCCCTGTTGATGTTGACGATGCTTGTAACATCGCCTTGGCATATGCCAGTGGTCTCCAACTTGGATACCAGAACAATTATGCGTCTGTACCACCTCCGCAACAATACCAGCAGCAGTACCAGCCACAGTACCAACAACAGCAATATCAGTACAGTGGACCTGAGCCCATGGACCTGGACGCAATCAACAACTGTCGCAGCAACTACCAGTCTTGCCCACCTCCAAGACGCACTAATGCTACTTGCCATTGATGTGGTGACTCCGGTCATTTCAAGAGAAATTGTAGAGACTGTCTGGCCACAATCAAGAAGTTGGACGAGGAGTGTCTTAAGAAGCAGGGTTTTTGCAAAGCACAACCGTAATGGGAGGTCGGTTGTGTATAATGGAAGAAAAATCCTCCCCACAGACCAGTATTAGTAATGAGCTTACAGAACATTTAAGTAATAAAGAAACTTTTGACCAGTACAAAATTGTTACCAATGAAGAGAAAAAAGCTATTTCCAAAGAAAATTGTGATCCTTGTCTCACCACCAATCAACGTTTTTTGGAAGACCTTCACTCTGCTGTAGACACAGATTTACCATTATATGCAGCAACACTTCACAGACAACAAATCTTGATTCTCATCGACAGTGGAGCCAGTGCAAACTATGTGTCACCCCGGATTAAACACCTTGCCACAAAAGTCTCGAATATTCCTGGGCGATCAGTTGAAACCGCTGGAGGGCATAGCATCAAAATTAACCAGAAAGCCACACTTACACTTTCTCTTAATGGTTATACTGATATTGTTGATGCTTTTATTTTCCCCACTAAATTCGATTTGATTCTCAGTTGCACATGGTTACAGACTGCTAAACCTGTTCCTGATTGGCATTGAGATAACTGGTCTTTATATCGTGATGGCCAAGAGTTTGTCCTGCGTTCCCATGGCAACCACCCCATGAAACCTCAACTTAATTACCTCATTTCTGCAAAGCAAGTCCAGAAACTCTCTTTGAGGGAGGAGGCAAAGTGTTTTTTGCTGCACATCAAGACTGAGAAAGAAGTGACTAACGATGAACAATGGATGAAATTAGTAAAATAGTTTGACAATGTGTTCCAAGACGGTTTGCCAGGGTTACCACCGAGTTGAGATGTACAACATGTAATAAACACTGAAGATGCACACCCTGTAAACAAACCACCTTTTAAGATGAGCCCCCAAGAACTTGACAAACTCAAAAAGCAACTCAAAGAACTTCTTGACCTTGGTCTCATTTGCCCTAGCTCGTCTCCATGGGGTTCTCCTATATTATTTGTAAAGAAAAAGAATGGCGAAATGTGCATGTGTGTAGACTATTGTGCTCTCAACAAAGTCACAATCCGCAATAATCATCCTTTACCAAGAATTGACAAATGCCTAGAACGATTGCGTGGAGCCAACCATTTCACCAGCCTAGATCTCAAGAGTGGCTACCATCAAGCACACATTCAAGATTCAGATGTGCCAAAAACAGCATTTAACACCCGCTATGGTCAATACAAGTTCCTGGTCCTTCCTTTTGGTCTTACCAATGCCCCACCAACTTTTCAACATTTGATGAACAAAGTTCTGGGAGAATGTTTAGACAACTTCGCTTTGGTCTATTTGGACAATATTTTCATATTCAGTAAAACCTCAGCAGAACACGAAGAACATGTATGACATGTCTTGAACCATCTCCGTGAAGCCAAGCTGATTACCAACTTTAAAAAATGTGAATTTAACAAAAAAGAACTGACATTTCTTGGTTTCAATGTGTCTGCTCAAGATATCCTCCCATCTCCAGAGAAAGTCAAGACCATACAAGAATGGGTTCCACCCTCTAATGTTCAAGAAGTGTGCCAATTTATTGGTTTGGCACAGCATTATTGCCGTTTTATCCTGGGTTTTGCTGGAATCGCTGCTCCATTAACTGATCTTACCAAAGGAACAAGACCTAAACGACGACCAATTGTATGGACTGACACTTGCCAAGACAGCTTCGACATCCTTAAGGAAAAACTCAGCACTGCACCTGTACTACTTGCACCAGATATGGACAAACTATTCCGAATTGAGACAGATGCTTCCGATTTTGGTGTCGGTGCTGTATTGATGCAAGAAGATGAAGAAGGAGTCTGGAGACCACTGGCATTTGAATCCAAGAAACTTTCCAGTACTGAACGTTCCTACCCAGCCCAAGAATGTGAACTTTTAGGAATACTGCATGCACTACGTACCTGGCACTATATGATTGAAGGGAAACCATTTACTGTTTTTACTGACCACCTGCCCCTCAAGTACTTCCGTAGCCAAGTTAAACCAACCCCTCAATTAATAAGATGGATTTCCGAATTTGAGTTATATGACCCCATTATTCAATACAAATCTGGCAAAGACAACGGTGTCCCAAATGTACTTTCTCAAATGGATGGTCCCAAATTTGATGCATCTACAATTGAGTCTATAGAGCCAGAGTATCTGTATACCATGCTCGAATCACAGACTTCAGATTGGCCCAAATACTATGCTCGCACAGAAGATGAGTGGCCAGACAACATAAAAGAGTTGCTACACAGACAATGCAAGAAATTCGTGGTTCATGATCAGAAGGTTTTCCGCTTAGTTAAGATTGGTGACACATTTCAAGAAATCCGTTTTGCTCTGTTTACCAGGCGTGCCGATCTGGTAAACAATTTCCACAATGGGTTTGGACATGCTGGTGAGACAACAGTTTATGACTTGATGAAGAAACGTTGGTGGTGGCCAGGAATGCGAACACAGATCCAAGAATGGCTTGCAAAGTGCCCCCAGTGTCAATTAGTGTCCAATGCCGAGCGAAATATCCACCATGCACCCATGGAACCCCTAGATATTCCCCCTCCATTTTTCCTCTGGCATCTAGATTTCATTGGAGAGCTCCCAACAACTGTAAATGGTAACTGATGGATTCTTGTTGCAGTAGATTACGCCACCAATTGGCCAATCGCATGTGCTGTACCTGCTGCTACTGGTGAAGCAATAGCCAATTTCCTGTATAAAGAAATTGTAATGCGTTTTGGTTGTCTCAACGAGATCCTCACTGACTGCAGCACCAATTTCATGTCACACATCCTCAGTTTTTACATTAAAAAGATTAAATTACACCACAAGTTAACATCAGCATTTCACCCTCAAACCAATGGAAAATGTAAACATTTAAATGGTATTTTAAAACAAATGCTACGAAAATATGTACATGGTGCTATTCATTGCTGGGACAAATATTTGGAAACTGCACTCTGGGCCTGCCGAATTAGGATACACCAAACAACTGGTTTCAGTCTGTTCTTTCTGACCTATGGCCATGAACCTTGTATTTCAGGTGATCCTCTACGCCCATTCATGGATACCACTATTCCTGATGATCCTTCTCTTGTCTCTGATGGTGTTATCCCTTTTCTCCACAATCTGCAACAAGCCCGCATTAATGCTGATGCTCGAGTAGCCACCAATAGCCAACAAGACAAGGAACAATGGGATTCTATTATGAAACCGCACCAATTTGCAATCAGTAAACATTTATTGCTATGGCATGAAAACAAATTTGGCTTAGAATATAACTGGATGGGACCATACATAGTTATAGACAAGAATGCAGATAAAAATATATACAAGCTCACAACTATGGAAGGTGTCCCTTATACTTCCTGGGTTCACGCCAATCATTTAAAAATTGCAAAATCTGATGATTTTGACCATATCTGGTATCACCCAACCCCTGGCTGTGCCCAAATGCGCTGCGATTTAGCCTTGGACTCTTCTTCTGCCCTACCGTTTTCCCTTGTGGATTCTTCTGGGGTTTATTGAGGACTATCAGCAGTTTTGGGAGGGGGTGATGTCAGACATTATTTTGGTGAATCCGTAAAATCTGAAGATATTACTGCGCATAAAGAAGTACTGCAGTTAACTATCTTCAGATTTTATGGATTCATTAAAATAATGTCCAACAAGGCTATCTTCTATTTCACTGTAAATGTAGCCAAATTGGTTGTCAGAATTGACATCGTAAATAGAAATTTTTAAGTCAGATATCTAATTGGTTATTTTTATTAACATATGCCCTCAATGCTATACCAATTGGTTCCCCTTTTTGTTAATTAATACATATTATATTGACTTCCATAAATGTAAAACCAATATGTCTTAGATAAAATAATTAGATTAGATAGTTTCACTTTTAAGAAATCTGTATAAATACTCCAAGATTTATATTAATAAAAAGTATTCAATTCTTTATATTCCTATCTGTTCCTATTTATTCACAATGTTCTAGTTGGTAGTCATCTATTATCAAAACTCATACAAGTTAAAATAATAGAAAGATACACCCAGTTGAGACTTGACATGATCAAGCTTTAATAACACAGAAGTATAGCAAATATGATAGAGAATAAATGTCAAGTCCCGATCTGGTATTTCTTTTCTGGCACTTGTAACTAAGTTGCAGAATCAATACCACTGGGGATTGTTAAGTTTTTAAGAATAGTTTTTAGATAAGAATAAAGATGCTTTTTATTAATTATATTTCTTGACTATTTATACAAAACAATATTTGATTTATAGCTAAAAGAATAGCTACAATATTATGTCTTATATGCTTATTGTTCAGTAATATCTTCTATAAGTATATTTACTATCTTAAACATCTAAAACATATATAAGAGACCAATCAGCAATGTCAAGATCTTTCATCCTAAAAAGTCAACTATTACTGGTTGCTTGCAATTCCCGATTTTGGTCAGCAATGTCAACTCTGACATAAAAGATGATTTTTATTATTTTGATTTGGGTTATCTTATATAGTTTTTGAAATAGATGCTCATTACCGCCCAAAAATTTATCAGCATAGAAAATATATCAGCATTGCAAGCATTCTAAAAGAGATATCATGTTTTTTATTTTTGTCTCGTTTTGGAAAAGTAAAAAGATGTGCTAAGATAACCTGCCTTCTTCCTTTTTAGTTATCTTTTCTTAAACAATAATCTTTTATTTAACATCTTCAAAATGAATAATAACAACAACACTAGCACTGATTCTTCTGCCAATATTATTTGACTTCTGGCTTTTATTATTAATTCTTGCAGAAATGCAAACTTAACTAACATTGAACTCCTCTTCAAGCAAATGAGTAAATAACAATTGATTTTGCAACAATTAATGGAACAGTTCAGACAGCAACTTCTAGATTGTATAACAAACATTATAATTGAAAGTTTGCAGTTAGTTAGTTGCAATTATTTCTTTATAGTCTATACTTGCAGACTACACTCATTTACCCTGGAACGTGGCCCTCGAGAAGTAAATCATATCAGATCAGATGTTTTCAGACAATAATGATATGTTTGCCACCCAACTTTGACCAACAGTCTTGGGAGCAACAGCTTCCAGTTGCAATACCAAATGAGCCGTACAAACTTTGAGTTATCTCTTAACATCTTTAGCCAGTATCAGATATATGAGGCAGCTTTAAATAACAAAAGCTATCCTATTGAAATTCAAGTTGCAACAGTTCTTTGGCACTTTGCAAACACGCACTTTGGTTACTGTCTTACTGAATAGTTTCTTGGTGTCAGTGCAGGATCTTACACATGGTTTACTATGCAGTTCATTACTGTCATATCAGACTATTCTGATATGTTTGTAAACTGGGGAGTTCATGACAGTGAAACAGCAGCAAGAAGGGTGGCTGAATTTGAGCAACCTGAAAGACGTGGTATTTGTCTACCTGGTGTCATTGAGACTATTGCTGGAAAGCTTATTTCTATTCAAAAGCCCTATTTACACAGAAACTCCTGGGTGGATTGCCACAACAACTCTTCTATGAATCTCCTTGCTGTGTGCAATGCCAACAAGTGCTTTATATTTGTCAGAACAGGGCAATCTGGTAATATTTTCTTCGAAAAATCTCTTATAAAGCTTTGTATTAATTTATTACTTTATAATGTGAAAAATACTTAGGCTGTGTCAACGATGCAAGACTATTCACAGATAGCTCTCTCTATATAAACATGCTTTTTGACTGAGATTACTACTTCTCCAATGATACAATCAATCTTGCAGATAATTTTTTATGTTAAAGCTTCTGTTTAACCAACATACATCTTTTAATACAATGTTCTATTAATACAGATTCTGCATTTCCAATCATAGAAAATATACTCCCTCTATATTCCATTGCAACCGAAGACCCCAAGCAACAAGCATTCAACAAGGCGTATGCAAAAACATGCCATTACATTGAAAATGCATTTGGCTTACTTGTGCAGAAATAATGCTTTTTGTTGAGACACTTATACTTTTTGGGTATCAACAAGATGACTCTTACCATTATCACTCATTGTGCTCTTCATAACTTTTGTTTGGATAACAACAACATAGCAAGAAATATCTTGGAGGACACTCTTCGTACTTTTGAGAACCAAGTGCGTGGTTTTGATGCGTACATAAATGGAGGTGATGATGATGACGTGGAGATAGAAGTTGAGGGTCTCGATTCATTTATGAACGAGATATCTGTGGATTTGGAGAATGCTTCATGAACGGTGAATTGTTCTATAAGACAGCTTCAGTCTGCGCATGATCTTTCTCAAGAACACTGGAGACAGAGAAGAAAAAGAATGATGGAGGTCATGAGACCATTGATGGAGACCCAGACGAGACAGTTTCAGGCTGACCTTTGAGAGCAGCAGAGACAGCAAAGACACTAACAAAAACAAGACAGCCAGCTGAGAGTGATCTTCAGAAGAGAGGGCAGAAGAAATACCAATCAAAGTAATCAATAAAAAACCAATTAACAAAAGATAAACAAAGGTTGTTTTTTATATTTTCAGTTTAATATTTTGTAGAACAAAGAAAAAAGATGAATTAGCTATTGTTCTCATTATTGTTATTTTCACTGTTTCTATCTCTAGTATTAAAGAAAGGCCTAATGATGCTTAACAGGCAGCCATCGGACTCTCTCGCAATCCTTTCTAACATTTCCAACATCTGTTGATGCTGTTGCTATTGGTCTCATCAAAGGGCTTTGCTCTCCTCTCTCATTGAAGCAGTGAGAGCATAAAAGACTTCCTTTGTGCATTCTTCACTCTCACGGTGTATGCCCAGAAGCCTTTCAAAGAGTATGTTATCTCTTTCTGTCTCATATTCTCCTCTTGTTCATCTTGTACTCCTGGTGGGTAGCCTACTAAAAGGACCAGTACTATTGCTGCTGTTTGATGTAGCTGTTGCAATATTTGTGTCAGAAGTACTGAGAAGAGAAGGTTCAACAGATGTGACAACAGATGTAACAACAGAAGCAGAAGCAGTAATCTCAATGTTTCTCTGCAGTTCAGCTATAGAAGCTTCAGATCTAGATGTCATAAAACTTGTAACTCTATGGTGCCGATCACAAACTATGAATTCAACATTGATGCCAAATTTTTGAATGGATCATTATGCAAGATTTCAAACACACGGTTGTTGTATGGCCATCTCTCTTCCAACACCTGTTCTGTTAAAGGTTTGCTGAACAGAATGAAAATTCTTCTTCAAATCTGCTCATTTGTCTTGCAACTTTCTTGGTGTTATCATGTTGCTTAAATCACTCACATCAAGACTATTCTGACTCAGCAGTCTCTTAAAAGTCATCACCATCTGGTCCCACTGTTCACCTCTTGGCTGCATGTTAGACATGTTGACCAAGCTCATGTAGTTGGGCTTCATGACTTTATTCAACAAGATGACAGTTGACTGGTAGTCCCAAGAAATGTTGACTTGGCTGAGAACTTGTGTTTAAGTACCAGCCTCATCTTGGTCAATAACACTGCCACCATAACCACCATGGCAAGCATGACCACCATGGCTACCATGGCTACCATGGCTATCATGGCTACCACAGCCAGCATGGCCACAATCACTACCTATATCACTTGAGTCAGTAGTAGTGACAGGGGTAGTAACTTGCTTTTTATGAGCAGGGCTTACACAAGCTATTTCCAAATCACTGTCAATAAGAAGATATCTCCTTATTTTATCCTACAGAGAGTTTGAATTTTGAAAATTCATTGAGGTAGTGACAGGTTTTACTTTTGGTAAATTTAATTAGAATTGTATTTGTTTATATCAATCAGAAATATTTTTTCTTGTACTTTTAAGATCTTTTAATGATATATATTTATTATTTTTATTATTATCTCTGAGTATTCAAGTTTCTAAAATATGAAGGGTTCTCACTTCTATATTCATCCATCAACCTCACAGCATCTGCGAGTGCTCTTTTTATAAGATCTGCCTTTGTTTGATCTAAGCCAGGAATTGTCTTCAAAGTTTGAAGATCTTCAAAGCCGTGATGCATCGTTGCAGAATAAGCTGCAATTTTATCAAAGACATATACACCTCTATCTTCAGCAGTACCTCCACTCTCTAATTCCTCCTCTACTTCTTCCTCAACTTCGTTCTCGTTTGCATTTATAGCGTCTTGTTGGTTCAATACAACTCCTGCTATCTCCTATTGCTCGATGAAGCTGAATTTTGCCCCACAGTAACACTTCAACAAATGTGAAGGCTTGCATGGGATCTGGCAGGTCAGAAAGTTCGGGCAGGTGCAGCTTTGTATCAAGTCATTTGATATATTGATGATATACCACTTATCTTCTGTTACAAAAGATCTTATTTGTCACTCACCATTATAATCATCCATGCTGTTACCAGTCTCACCCAAAGGGTTGAGAATCATGGAAGGGAGCATGTCATTTTGGATTTTTGAAGCAACAAAAGAATTTCTTGCTAACTCATTATCAATGGGACCCATCTTACCATTGTTGAAGTGAATACACTCAACCTCTTGTTCAAAATAGAACTCCACATCATTTGTCAAGATAAAAATCAGTCGATCCAATCTTCTGATGTGTGCACGACCAAAGTAGATTGTTTTGAGTTGATTGTGCCATGATTCTACATAGTTGTTTGTCACATATCTCTGATGTTGTTGGCTAACGTACGGGCGCCCCCATCTTCGCAACAATTCTTCATTCTTGGTCCATTTCTTCTCAAAATATTTCAAAAACTGAGGTTGATCCTGAACCATCAGTTTAAAATCTTCAATTGCTCTTAGGAACACGTCTTTGTTGGACTCGATGAGAATGTGTCTCAGGTAGTTCTTCAGTGCAGTCTTATAATTCCCAAGTTGTTCTGATGTATAAGAGGCATTAAGTTTAATCTTGCTGTCAAGGTTGTGCTGCCAAGCGCAAAGAACATGAAAATCACAGTAGTGAATTGTAGCATGAGGTAATGCTTCTTTGATTGCATTAACCTCCATAATGCTACAGTCAATGGTGATATTCATTGGTACGAAGCTGCTCTTGATGCGAAGGTGGTCAAGCCAAAGTTTGATAGATATGGCTGTCTGGTTGTTTGTCACCATGTATGCAACAGGGAATCCCTTTCCTGTTTGAGGATGGCGAGTGACTAAAGTATATAATACTTCGTCGCTTCTGGACGAAATGGAATGGGTGGCATTGAGACAAAAAGATTGCGAGATTCTCATGCTTGAAACTTGCATTGGTGATTGAAATCCAAAGGCAAATTGTTTTTTACCGTCATTATAAACAGAAAGATTGATTTCAAAAATGCAATAGTTTTGTTCTGCTAGCTTTACATTTAACCAGATGGAAATAGATGCATTTTCATCAGAAGCAAACATATATAACAAAGTAGTCATCTATTTTATATATGAGTATTTATTTGATATATAAATATTAATTTAATACGAAAGCTCTGTTATATTCATTGACAAACCTTTCTCATTCTGTTGTAAATTTCTTCATAATTAGGCTTTCTAACGCCAACTCCCCAACTATCAATCTGTCTAAGAACTGAAATTCTTGTACTTCTACAGCTGCTGCTACTTTTCAACTGATCTTCAATAATCTTTATGGCTTCAGAAGGCAAAGGAAGAGTTCTGACTTTGTCTCAGTCTCCAGGAACATGGTTTACATGTGCCCTTGTTTGGCAAAATGTAACAACATTGGGGTTGTCGAGATGCTGTATGATTTTTAAGGCAGCTGTACAAGAGCATGCCTTCGTATCTTTCTGGGCAAGACATAATTGGCGGTTTGTTATATATTGGCCAGCATGGTGGCATTTTTTAGTCTCTCCAAAAACTAAACCTTTTCCAGAATATTTATGCTTTTTATTCCATTTTGTTGAGCATAAGACATTGATTCGCTCCAGACACTTTTCCCATTCACTAGCTTTTACTAATATTGTTGAATGGTGGAAATATCATAAATAGTGTTGTTTATATTGTTGTTAGACATAATTGAAGTTTGTTTTTAAGAAAGAGGGAAGTGATTATTTGTTGAAAAAAAAATGCCATGTGTGGGATGCAAAAGCCACTGTTTGTCATTAAAGTTAGAAAGCCACAGGACTAAATTAAATACTAATTCAAACTCTCCGTAGGATAAAATAAGGAGATACATAAGAAGGGAAAGATCAGGATAGACAATAGCTGCTGTATCATTAACTGATGATACAGCACTAATAGGGTTGAGATGGGCTGTTTTATGGTTGTTGCTGTTGCTGTTGCTGTTGCTGTTACTGTTAGAAGTATTATCAAACTCTAATACAAGGTAGCCAGAGAGGTTTTCTTGTTTCATAATTATTTTAAATCGAAGATTTCTAGTTTGTAGAGCTGGTAAAAAGTAAGTAAATACTACTTGATCTATTTAATTGCTTTTATATGTCAAATTTATGTTTATAAAGGCCCAAGATTGAAAAATAAATTGAAATCCAAAAAAGGAGTGCTGGTAGTTTAGATTTTCTTTTTTGTGATTCAGATAATCTGTCTTGAACATGTTTTTAAAATAAAATTAGTTGGCATCCGTTTCCTTTTTTAGATTTTGTTCTCTTTGGGATCCAGTTTATGTCTCAGCATCAATTTGTTTGAAATAAAAAACACTGCTTACTTTTTCAATGCTGATAAATTTTTGGTTAGTGGTGAACATCTAATAATTATTTATCTTTGACTACACTCAAGTAGTGTCTAGTAATATTACAAATTATTATAAACTGATTACAAATTTCTAAAATTACAAACTAATGAATAATTATTCTAATTTCTACTCCTTTTGTATTAAAAAAAACTAGAACTTGTAACACAAAAATTAAGCACAATATATTAGTGACCAAAATCAGAAGTTATAAGCAACCAGTAACAGTTAAATTTTTAGGATAAAAGATCTTGACTTTTCCAATTGATCTTATACTATGGGAAAAAGATAGTCTTTTTTGAATTTGTGACTTCATTTTTGACCTATAATAATCAAATAATTATCATAAATACAAGCTGAAACAAGAAAATCTTTGTTCTTTGAAATGATTGATAAAAAGCAAATGAATCACTTAAAATTAAATCTCAGGAAGGACAAATGTTCATTCTAATTAAACATCTTATATTTTTGGTAAATATAGATTGAAATTGAGAAATATTGGATGTTAGAAATAAAAAAAAAATATTTTAACTTTCTGCTGCTTAGATAAAATTTGTGAAGACAATTTGAAAAAAAAAATTATTACAAAAAGAAAAAAAACAAATTATATATCACTTAAGACACTATGTCAATTTTAGATCATGTTTAAAGCTAAACCAAATGATATAATGGCTATCATTAACGTTTGATGGCACCAAGCCAACCAACTTTATAATATTACTTGCGTGAATCACTATAGTATTCTGCTTTACTACAGATGTAATGACCAATCTATTTTTCAAATACATACTATATATAGTTATGAGAGCTAGTGACCATTTTCTCGAGTTGTATACATGTTAGAAGAGTATAATCACCTTTATAAAGAAATATTTATATTGTAGCTAGTAAGAGCAGGATCTTCTGGAGTTCATGTCCATTTGTAGCTGCACATAAACATGACATTTGTCTCTTGTAGAACATCAGTTGAATGCAGCATCAATAATATAACTATTAAAATAGACCTTGCAGCTTGTCTTTATGGAAGGCTCAAGCATACTATATTCTTTCTTCTTCAAATCATAAAACATTTTAAGAAGCAATAAAAGATGAGATCTATCTTCAAAGCTATTGAAAATTTTTAAATTCTTCAAAGGCCCTCAGAACTCAATCTCACACTCAGCATTGACAGGATCATCTTCTTCTGTAACAGGTGACCTATCAGTATATGTACTGTAAACTAGAAGGTTAGCTGGTAGTGTTTTTGTGTTTGTAACAATTGTCAGTTCCACTACACACTGGGATTGGATCAGTCTGATCATAATGTTTCCAGCATTGACACTAATTTGGGAGATATACTTGATGGACCTGAAGTACTCACCAATAGTTTTTTTATAGATCATGAACTATATGCTCTTGGAGAGCCATATAAATCAACTATCTTGGGATAATGCTAAATAATGTACTAGTTAATTGTGAACACGCCAATGTTGATATCTGCTATAGAAAGAAGACTCTCTAATAATAAGTTTCATTCCACAAGATTACTAAGAAAAAAGTAAAAGTAAGTTATTATAAAAAATAAAATAAAATATAGTATTAAACATACTTTCTTATCAAGGTTTAACTCTCTGCTGATAACTTCCAGCTCATGAGTAAATTGCATATTTGAACCAGATCAAGTAATGCCTTTTGGGTGACTAAGTTCTGAACACACTCTGCAACTAATGTGGGAACAACAAAGAGTAAAAAGTCTGCTCAATTCACAGCTCTAAAGAAACTGACATTCTTTGTCACGTCTCTCCAAGCACTATGCAACAATGTATGGATTGTGGATTTTGCGGTTATCATTGCAGCAATAATCTCCCTTTGAGTGGCAAGAGAAAGACATAGAGAATGCTTGATTCTATACTTTCTGCATACAAATTCTCATACCTGTTTACCAATTCCATGGCACAGATCATACATCTTGTCTAACATGAAAAAAAATGGACCAGAGAATGTTTTCATCAAAGCCAACAGTAACTGACTATTGAGCCCCTTTCTGTCTTCACTGCTTGCCAGATTGTAGTTTCTGAAACTCTTCAGTGAGCGCGTCTGAGTTCCAGGTAACATTCAGAAGTACTGGTCATGTTTAGGAGTTTGGCCCACTACGTGATAAATACAACAGTCATTCTCACTGGAAAAAATAAAAAAATAAGGTGATTTAAATATGGGGTATAGTATAGTATAATTTCTATATTTAAATTACTTGATTTTTTTCCACTTGTACTGAAGATGACTATTGTAAATGAGTATTGACTACTGCTGTAATTGAGAATAAGTCTGAAGGAAATAATATAAGGTCTCAGCTATTCCAGTCAAAGGTGTCTACCGATTACTTTATTATTTAACACACAGGTTTAGCATGCATAATAGTGATTATATTTCATATGATGATATCACCATAATATGGGATACATCAGTGGATTATTATAAGCATAATTATAACTCATAAACACATTTACTTTTGATGTTAATACTTCATTGGGACTACACACATTTATATAATTAATCATACATTAATTATCCCAAGATCACGTTGCTCTGATTATGGCTCAGATAGGATCGATTACCTGACCCCAGTCATATAATTTTCCCGATCCAAAATAATATAAATAGCAGTAGTAGTTCAGTGTAGGAACCTGGTCAAACTTTGATACAAAATCCTTTCTCAATAAACAAAACCTATACAAGTTCTCACGAATCTTCGTTCCTAATCTCAAATCTTCAATTCTTTCTCTTAAAAACTTCTTCAACTTCAACCATCACAACAAAAACAATAAATAAAAAATATATCCATTTGAGAAACCAATAAAAATGTATTTTTATAAAATACACTACAGTGCAATTATGTCTTATCCAATAAAAACAATGATTAAGCAAGAAATATTTAAAAGAATCTAAATTAAAAGAATAATGGATTAGTAGTAACCAATAGCATATAATATTTCAACTATACTTAAAGAAGTTTTGTCCAATTGAAAGACAAATATTAGCAAAGGAAAAGATTATCAATATATTAATAGAATCTTAAAACTACCAGTAAGCGGAGATGTATTAAAATGCACATGAACTCAGGGTTAGAAAAAAGGGAGGAGGACACAAAACGCACCCTGGCTTCCCCTCCAGAACCACCTGTGAAACCACCTCTAAAACTTCTATTTTTTTGGCGTAGTGTATTCTTATATCTTTTATATTTTTTATATCATCCTTGTATCTTATATTCTTTTTTAATTTTCTCTATTTCTTATGTTTTTTTTTAATCTCTATATGCCCCATCTTTCTTTTCTTCTTTATATACTCCAGTTTTTTTCTATTCTCTATACATCTTATACTTTTCTCTTTATTCCCTATATGCTCTATACGCCATTACACAGTTTAAATAAAATCAAATTGCCAATTCATTAAGATAAAAAGAATATCTAAAAAAAATAACGTAGTTGAAAAAATAAAAAATAGTACTTATGTTACCATTTTGTTTACACATTCTAAAAATTATTAATCTTAATAATTATTGACATCTTTGATATTCAATAAAACATATATATCAATACTCAAAGTGGTCATTACAACTTACAAACATTTTTTACAGTATTGAAAATATTGTATAGCAACAAAAAAAGTGTTTTCATGTTACTTTTTTAAATTGCTACAAATGACATTACCATCTTACAACAAACGGCGGAGACTTTATTGGGTTTCAACCAAAAAAATGGCAGTTATATACCTACTTTTGGCCCAACTGCCATTCATCCTGCCGTAGTGTAATCGCACAAGTAAAATATCAATAGCATTAAATATTAAAAGAACTTGTTATCAAAAAATATGATGAAAAATCAATATTTATTAAATATAATTATTATAATATTTATATAACTTTTTAAATAACTTTGCAATTGACTTGTTAAATAATTAAATAAATAAAATATTGAAAAATATAATAAGTTATATAATTTATAATCTATTAAATGTGATTTGTTCTTTAGTATCGTTAAATATAAATAAAATATTGAAAAACAGTTATTAATTTATAATCATGAAAGTAATTATGCTTGTACAGAAAAATATATAAAAAAATAATATTAATTCTAAGTTGATTTGTTTAGTTAAATATAGCAAGAAAATAAGATAAGATATATAATTGTATAATGTTATATTTGATAGGATGATAACTCTTTTTATTGTATTTATTGATGTTTTGCTCTACAAATAAGAAAATCGATTTCTATTCAGTCACAACCGGTATTAGAAAATGAAAAATAATAAAATATAATTTTTTAAAATTATAAGAAATTCTACAACATCACCACACTGCCAGATAACCAAAATATTGTTAATATATTACTATTAATTTATATATTTTGTACCAAGACAATTAAGTGGGTTGATGGTGTAGTGGTTATCATTCTCCGTTTGGGTCGGAGAGGCCCCGGGTTCAAATCCCGGTCGACCCCTTTTTGATCCAATATTGTGTCATTCCTGATCTGGGTTTGTCGGACATTATTTTGATGAATCCGTAAAATCTGAAGATAGTTAACTGCAGTACTTCTTTATGCGCAGTAATATCTTCCTGAGCATTAACCGCAGTATAATGACTATTTCTTTAATTAAATATAAATAATAACTACTGTGGATAATGCGCAGTATTAGTTTAGAAAACTATATAAGACAATTCAATTCATATCAATAAAAAGTATCTTTTATTCTCTCTTTGATTTTACGTATACTCCTTGATCCCCAGTGGGTTTGACCTTTTGACTTTGTTATAGTAAAAGGAAGACCAACCCAGATCGGGAACAACATCCGTAAAATCTGAAGATGGTTAACTGTGTCGTTTCTGATCTGGGATGGTCTTCCTTTTACTATAACAAAGTCAAAAGGTCAAACCTACTGGGGATCGGAGAGTATATGTAAAATTGAAGAGAGGATAAAAGGTACTTTTTATTGATAGGAATTGAATTGTCTTATATAGTTTTCTAAACTAATACTGCGCATTATCCACAGTAAACTATTATACTCTATTTAATTAAAAGAGAAGTCCTTTTACTGCGGTTGATGCTCAGAAGATGTTACTGTGGTTAATCTTTACAAGACATTACTGCGGTTCGTTATCTATGAGATATCTTTGACATACAGAACTGCTGTGGTCAATTATCTCAATTTCTCGGATTCATCAAAATAATGTCTGACAACTGCAATATACACCTACTGACATTTCTTTCATTTATGGTAATTTCTAACAGTACAGCTGTTTCTATTGATTTAGAGTTCCAATTTTAAGTTGAGCCTGTTAAGGCTCAGATTTAGGTGTACAAATTTGATATAAATGAGCCAAAAGTGGATTAGTGTAATGTTTTAAGTGTCATGATAAAATTTTAGATGGTACAAAAATCTGAAATGGGGGGGGGGGGGAGGAGAAGTGAAGAGAGCTGGAAAAGAAGAGATTTTATTAGACAAACCCCCACTGAAAAAATGACCTGACATATGTATATGTAAAGGCGTAGTTACTCAGGTATCAAGATGGGGTTTAACATTGAGTCCAAATACATATCACCATGTAACAAGTTCGTCTTAGCACCATGTGCTATGACCAGCTATACACATGTGTGGGGTCAAATAAAAATGACAGAGATATAGTTCTTTAGCACTTTCGGTGTGTTGATCTGACTTGGGATATTGAAAAGAGTTTTTTGAAACCAAGGTTTTATTTTTATATGTTTTATATGGAGCTTTAAAGGTGGATAATATATTTATTTTTGATTTTGACACAGTAGTATAGTTCAACATTACACCTCTTTGTTATCTTTTATATCCAATTAAATTCAGTACTTGAGCAATTCTTTGGATTCTGAACCATATTATAGTTCAATCATTTTTATTTTAATTCCAGAAATTGCTTTATTGGTAAAAGTTTATAATAGTGTTTATTTGGAAAGAACAAAATGTTTCTAGAACTATAACAATCTTATAGTATTGATTTATTGGATATCCATTATTGCTTTTACTGGTCTGCTTGATACTATTTGAATAGAATAATTATCTACAGAAAAGAAATACCTGAAAATATAAAAAGAAAACAGACTGTTCGCTGAAATACAAGAGTCTTTAAGAAGCATAGACAAATTATTAGCTGTGTGCTGGGTACTACATTTAATGTAGTATGCTTTTACATTTTGTGTACACTTTTATACTTACATTGTAAATATTGGAAAAGAGCGAGCAAAAAATAGATGTCGATATTGCTTATCTATGGCATTTCTTATGATATCTTTCACTATAAAAACAATGAAAAACATTAATTTTTGTGAATCAAATAAAATAATAAATAATTTACATATCAGTAGCAAGAATATATATTAACAGAAATAGATTGTCTTTGTAAATACTTGATAGAACTCTAGTGAAAAAGAATAATGTTTTATGTTAACACATTATAATCTTAATATAATTAAAAAAACAAAATAAAATAGTAATCCTTACCATGTGATGTCATTCCTAGTAGTATGATATAAGGGAAATCAAAGACGGGATCAACAGTATTCATCTATAATAAGACTTTATTTTAGTATGATATATGTTAAAATAATATATATATATATTATCATGATGTTTTTAACCAAATTCACTTGTAGCAGTTATTCTTGATGATCAAGTCTGTAATAAAGAAAAAACAAGTCAGAAGGATTTTTATAGATGTCAATTGCGCAAAATATAATATTGACTTTTGTTAATCTGGACAGCAATTGTGAAATGAATGCATTTAAATGAGAGCAAATGAGTATCTATTATGATAATAAAAGAATTTATTAATTTTTATTGTTTATAAAAAAGTATATAATAAAGAGGTATGTTACCAAAACAAAAGCCACTAATATAATAATGACAAACGTTGGAAAAGAGGAAAAGAGCAGAAACGAAGAAAGAAAAAGATATAATTTTTTTTCCACGTTTGAAACAAAATACCAAAAAGCTTATCCAATAAACGATAGCAAAAGAAAACTGAAAAGAGGTGATCAATTGAGACCAAAAAAAGTATCAAGGCTGATTTGCATCTCAGTGTTTTAAGAAGTTGTTTTTGAAGTGTTCCTGAACCATCACTACAGCCTATAAATACTTAATATTTCTACTTGCAATTCAATGTCACTCACTCTTAATTATATCATCTCAACAAATCTACGTTGCAAATTTACTGTAATTTACATAACAAAAAGGATGGATTGTCTCTTATAAAAAAATAAAAAAGAAAAAGAACTAATATTAACAATTGAAAATATTATAATGTATTACAGATAATGCCTACCTCTAATCATAAACTTGCTTATTCTCTTGCTAGCACTGATGTCCAGTTGCTACAAGCTTTGAATGCAATGAAAGAAGAGATGAAGGCTATGAAGGATAAGATCACACTGATAGATACACAAATTGATGTAGTCATCACTGGTAACACAACCTCTATCAATGGCATTGATACCTTGTCTGCCCTCCCAGCACCTGTGAATGTACCTACTATTGTTGCACCCACATCTGCTGCCCTTCCCACCACCGAATCAGGTGATACTAACACTGTATTTGTAAGTATAAAGATATAAAAAACACTTGTCAATCTTGTTGCTAATTAAAATATGATAGGGATACATTCATGGTTATATGTGGAGCCCAAAACTAAAATCAAGAGACCAAGCAGAAATCCAAGTGAATGCCATAAAATCAAAGTGGGCAGTTGATATTTGTTTTGATCACTCTCCAAATAGAGAGTTAGTCAAACAAATCTTGTATTACTTGGAAAAGATGTTTGCTGGCACTGATATGAGGATATACGACCTTCGTAAGTGTGTATATACAAACTTCTGTATTAGACATTGCCAGCAAAGGGAACTTCCAGAAACAAGACGAGCCTTGAATACTAATTCAAGAAGATCTGGCCATGAAACTGATGTAAACTATATTTTCAATTTATGCTAAAGAATAACAATTAGAATATTAATTTTATTGTCTTTTTCCTTTAAAACTACACTTGCTGTGGCCTTGCTTATGATACTTACAAGGCTGACATTGATCTCAAGATGAGTCAAAACTGCTCTGGACTGATCCAAAAGTTGGTCATGTCTGAAGGCGAATCAGACTATGATATGTCCCCCTCTCAGCCAAGAAATGAGATTTGTGTTGCTCGCCCAAGTTGGAGAAGTGACAAGATAAAACCTAACTTTTTTTGGAATGATGCCAGACTAATTATTAATATATGTTTATTACTTAGCTTAACAACTTCATTACAGAGGTTGACTTGTTTGTTGTAAAGCAATTGGGTGCAAATTCTTTCCAACTGCTTAGAAGAGTTTATGATAGAACAGTGGAATCAACAGTCCCAATTAATTTAGATCCTGCTCTACCTCAATGGGCTCTTAGAAATGAGTCATAAATAAAACTCGTTTTTTGTTGTTTTTTTTCTTTTACTCTCGAAATTTCTTAACACAAATGTATTATGCGCAACATATATAATAAGACTACATTAGTTTATGTATTGAAATTTTTTATTAAAAAAGAAATGTATTAAATATTAATTGTATTGTTTGTGCGGTAAAGCATTGAAAAGTATTTTCTTATTATTTGTGCTGATTTTATAATCACATGCTGCAACAACTAATGATATCCAATGTACTGGCAAGATGCATTCAAAATCACATGCAATAAATTCTGCATTGCAGATGTCGGCACTTTCTAACTTTCTTGAATGATCATGCTCAATCTGGAACTACTTAATAAATGCAAACACGTGTTTATCTTGATAAACGATACGTGTTTGGAGCTCTGTGCTGTCTACTGGTGGAGTGAAAGAGTGAAAGAAAAGGTACTGAATTTGGCCAGTGTATGCCAATCGATTATTGCCTTGACTTCCAAGGAACAGAGATTGCACAAATGAGCTGCGACCAGAAGCATTGTTACAGCCTTTGTATACCTGGCCAAGCAAATTGATTGATCTCAACTTTGTGATCTGATTGTCAACAAAGGAGAAGGAGGAGGACGGAAATTGGTAAATTTCAAGACCAGGAATGTGATACGCAACTTTATAATAATCAAGCAAATGAGAATAGTCGACATCACTCATTGCTGATGAGGGCTTGATGTGAAGAGGAAACGTAGAGGGAGGAAGAGGTTCATTGCCCAGGACTGGAAGAGAAAGGTTTGAGTACGCTTGGATGAAGGCTGCTAATCTGAACGGACGTTGTGGGAAAGTTATCTTGTTTTTTAAACTGGATGGTTGAGCAGTGGCAGTAAGCTTGGCAAGAAGCGGAAGAAAGGGGACTTGGCTCGGACATTGGAGAATGGCATTGACATAGTCACCCTTGAAAGTATCTTGGACAAAACTCTGCATATACGTAGCCTCAAAAGAATTTTTTCTGTTCGTGCTTACGTTCTTTAACAAACCATTATATTGCTCAAACTCAAAGAGCCAATAGCCATTTACGGGTCCAAAATCACGAATGGTCTCATGAAGATGGAGGTGCAGATGCATATTGCAGGTGAGGACATTAGTGGTGTAAATACGTTTGCATTCATTACAGAATCCTTGAAGAAACTGATAAGCATCATTGAGGTCAGAGAATGTGATACTTGGCTTCACTAAATTATGGCATGCATCAATGAAACTGATCCAGTTGTTAAACATTTCAGTAGGCAGAACAGCCTTCAACAAGATGGGGAAGTATATCAGAACCCAAGACTTCCATTCATCTGCTTTCATGTGTCCAAAACCCTTTCCAATCTTTGATCACAGTACCATGTAATCATTTGGTACCACCATTTTATCTGCTATCTTCTGCATTGTAACAAAATCCCTTTCGGTGATTTTTCTCTCCTCAATCCACCAATCCATCATTCCCTTCGGCGTTTCTAGGAAAAGATTATGCATGGGATCAATGATCATTCCATGTACTAGATCAAAGTATCCAAGGCGATGCAACTGCGACCATTGAACACCATTTTCGACTTCCAGCTGATGCCTTTCTGAGGGTGTACTGGCACTCTTTCACTCCTCAGCATGCAACCTGTTCTGCAAACCGTTTCGAAATTGCCATGTCGAGTACTGGGTGTTGCTGAAGTTGACTTTAGTAGATCTAGACAACCTGGGGAACTGCGTGACACATTTTGGGCATGCGCATGTGCTGTTGTGTGCCATAAACCTACTAGTTTTTCTTGCGGTGGGAATGTCACATGCAACCATGAGCAACGCTGCTCAGACATGGACACCAGCTGGGCACTCAAAAGTTGGGATGGTTATCCCCTCAAACAACTTCAACAACTCATTAACCATTGGCTTGGGATAATGGTTGATCTCATCAGTCTTGGGCTCCTTAGGACCAGGCATCATACCAACAAGTATGATATTCTTGGGTTTAAACCTCTCCTCATGAGGCAAGTTGTTGATAGCAAAGTAGATAGCACCGGAGGAATAGTTGACACCTTTGAAAGGCTGGAACCAGTCAATTTTCAAAGTCAACAATAAGGAACGAGGTTCAGCAACAAACGATACATCATCTTTGTTGTGGTGGTTGAAGTTGAAGAAGTTTTTAAGAGGAAGAATTGAAGATTTGAGATTAGGAACGAAGATTTGTGAGAACTTGTGTAGGTTTTGTTTATTGAGAAAGGATTTTGTATCAAAGTTTGGTCAGGTTCCTACACTGAACTACTACTGCTATTTATATTGTTTTGGATTGGGAAAATTATATGACTGGGGTCAGGTAATCAATCCTATCTGAGCCTTAATCAGAGCAACGTGATCTTAGGATAATTAATGTATGATTAATTATATAAATGTGTGTAGTCCCAATGAAGTATTAACATCGAAAGTAAATGTGTTTATGAGTTATAATTATGCTTATAATAATCCACTGATATATCCCATATCATGGTGATATCATCATATGAAATATAATCACTATCATGCATACTAAACCTGTGTGTTAAATAATAAAGTAATTGGTAGACACCTTTGACTGGAATAGCTGAGGCCTTATATTATTTCCTTCAGACTTATTCTCAATTACAGCAGTAGTCAATACTCATTTACAACATTATCCTCCACCAGATTCAACAATACCTTTTGTTGACTCAGCAAAACATCTCATCTTAACTATTTATTAATTTGTCGAATTGCTCAATTTCATTTGGGTCAATTACGCTCATATTTTTTTATACTTCAAGAGATCTGCACTGGAAACTCAGCTCTGTGGATTACGTGTTTATTTTATCAAATTTTTTGTTGCTCTTCTTTTGGACATTCTTTCTTCTCTACTCAGTGCGGTAGAAAGCTTACTTCCATTGTGCTCTTCAATGCGATTCCTTTTTATTTTACCATCATGTCTTGGAATTTGAACTGTTTTCTTTAATGAGGCTGCACTCTTATTCACTAATTCCGTGGCTCTCTCATTCTCTAAACGTTCAATTTCTCTGACCTTCTTCCAATACTTTTGTATTATTGTGGGATTGGTAAAATCGTTAGCCATTTGCCATGTGTTTGCCCGTTCACCATAACCAACCCATTTTACCAGATATTCTCTTTCACCAGCAGCACCACAATGATCGCAAATGTCTTCAACTTCATAGAGCTCATTCTCAATTGTAGATTCATTGATAATAACCATCTTGAGTTCTGAGGGTGTGTAATTTCGGTGCAACAATTCTCCTTGCTCATCCTTTAGTTCATATGATCCTCCTTTATTTCTTCGAACCACTGTATAAGGACCTTCATAGATTGGTGCCAATTTATTTGGATGATGTGGTAATCTGACCATTACGTGTGTTCCTTTGGGGATGTCTATTAAGATGTTCTTGTGATCGTATTTCTTTTTTAACTCTTCGTTGATCTGCAAGACTCTTTCGTTTATGGCAGGGAATATTATTTTATCCATATATTCAATCTGCTTCTCCAATTCATCAATTGTTACCGTGTTTTTGGGAAGAGAGAATTTTGCTTTATCACCATACTCATCAGGTACATTAAATCTGCGAGCATACATTAGTGAAAAGGGTGCACTCAGTGTCTTTTGAGAAATATGTCTGTTTATGCATAGCTGAACAATTGGTAAATAGTGACACCAGTCATTGCTGTTCGCTCTCATCATTTTCCATACAGTATTCTCTGCAACTTTCACACTGGCTTCAGCAATATCATTTCCTTGTGGATGATATGCCGTTGAATATCTTCGATTAATACCAAGCTCTTTCGATAGGCTTGTCATTAAAGAATTTCTAAATTCCAACCCATTGTCACTTTGCATTACTTTGGGAAAACCATAATCTCCAAATATTTTTATCAATGCCTTAGCTATTGTTGTCGAGTTTTTGTTTGGTAATAGTCTCAAGATGATATACTTGGAACAAACATCAACTAACACTAGCATATACGTGTGACCATCCTCTGATACTGGGAATTCACCACATAAGTCAATTGCAACATGATCAAATGGTCGGAAAGCTACAACATTGGTCAATGGGTGATATCCTCTTTTGCTGATGTTGTGCTTCTGACATTCAGAGCAAGAACGAATAATCTCCTTTGCTTCTTCATATATATTAGTCCAATGTAATCCTTGAGAGTGAAGATCATTCACCATAGCTTGACTACCAAAGTGACCAAACGAATGTGCTTCTTTTAACAAGCCATTTCGCTTTTCTTCAGGAGGCGACATATAGTTGGAAGTCTCTGATACATTTTCGATGAGTTGTGTAGCAAGTACATTTAGCACTTTGTCCTTACTGTACTTTTTCTTACAAATAATAACCCTATCTTTAGATTGCAAGTGTTTTGTTCTGATTTTTCTCAATCCATCATCCTCCACCAGCTTGTAACTATCCTCTGGAGGATACAAGCGACTCAACAAGTCTGGTAGTTTATTCAACAAACCAGGAATATGGACCACCTTAAAATCAAAGTCAAGAAGTGTCTCAATCCAGTCAATTATCATGGGATTAGCAATTCTTTGTGTGTGAAAATAAGTGAGTGCTTTATGATCAGTAAAAATGGTGAACTGTCGGCCCCATAGAAATGGACAGAATTTATCAAGCACCAAAACGACTGCATACAATTCTCTTTTGGTGGTGCTCCATCGCCGTTGAGATGGGCTCAGGGAAGTTGACACAAAACTAATATACTTATCACGCCCTTGATTGTCGCGCTGAAAAAGCAGGCAGGCTACTCCATAAAGGGAAGCATCTGTGGCCACATACATTTCACGTGACATATCTGCGTAATGAAGAATTAAATCCTGATGCAGTATGTCCTTTAATGCTTTAAAGCTTCTTGTCTGCTCATCTGTCCATAGCTCAGCTACATTGTTGGCATGACTTAATCGTGAAATAGGTTCAGCCACCTTTGAGATCATGGGAATATAGTCTCTGAAGTAATTAATCAAACCCATAAATTGCTGAATTTGTTTCGCAGTTTTAGGAATAGGCCATTTATCAACATTTGTCAACTTTTGCTTATCAACCTTGGTGCCTGTCTCATTGACGACAAAACCAAGCAATCGCACTGAATGTTGAAACCAGACACATTTATCAGAGTTTAGAATCAACTTCGCCAATGTCAATCTATCAATCACTATTTTTACATCCTTAACATGCTGCTCAAATGTTTTGCTAGCCACAATACAATCATCAACAAAATTCTGCACACAGTCAATTTTATCAAACAAAGTTGCCATGACATGTTGAAATTGTGATGTAAGTATCTTCAAGCCAAAGCAGCCTTTAATGAAGCTATATTGTTGCCCATCTAAATGAGTGAATGTTAATTTATGAACATCTTCAGGTGCAACTTTGAAACAATGGTAGGCATTCAATAAATCCAATGTGGTGAAAAATTTCTTTCCACTCAAATTCTGGAATATCGTTTGGATTTTAGGAATTGGATAGTTGAATGTGGGAGGTAGGATCTGATTTAATAATCGCACATCTAGACAAACTCGGTGACTCACAATCTCTTCAGCTTTATTTCTTTTAGGCACAAGCAACATAGGACTGTTGAAGGAAGTATTGGTCTTGGACTTGACAATCGTGCCTGTCTCAAGCCATTCTTTTACTTGTTTATCAAGTGTTGGTCGTAGAGCATGGAGAATAGGATATTGACGTCTATAAGCTGTGGTGCCTTCTTTTGTGGGTAATCTAATTAGAGATTCTGATAAAGGACAAGAGGACTCGACTGGGATTTTCTTATTTTCATCCAGTGAGGCCTGAATTGACTGAATAAATTCTGTTCGCTGTGTTTCCGTACCAGCTGGCAAATTATCCGGTTCAAACTTTTTCTCTTTATTGATATTTAGATTCTCATACACAGCAGCATAGTCTTTAGCATTATCTGAATGAATATATTCTCCTTCGATATCATATGCAACATTAATCAATCCGATGTTCATTTTTGTTAAGATATCTCTTCCAAGAAGAATATCAAAATTAAATTCTGTATTAAACTCTAACACCTCGGGTGCATGCTTAAACGTAATTCCATTCACATATTTAAAATTTAAAGGATCAGTTTTTCACAATCGCTTAGTACCACTATTCTTTGACAAGAAAGTGAAGGAACTATTTGATGAATTTATTTTATTTATATTTAAATTTTCATTCAAACATTGTAAACTAATGAAAGTGTATACACTGCCAGTGTCAATCATTCCAAGTAGTTTGTGGTTCTCTACAATAATAGGAGTGGTTAGATTAATTGCATCATTGGCTTTAACCCTTCTCTCAATTTTGTCAAGTAGGTACTTACAGTTGAAAGACATGTCTTCAAGTTCCAAGTCGACACTGTCTTGGATCGCCTTGAGCACTTGCTCAGACTTCTCCTTGGCAGGGACCTGCAAGACCATCAGGACTGGCTCACTGTCCTTACAGACGTGGCCACAGAAGTAGTTTTCTCCACACCGCCTGCAGGGGTTGTGCTTGGTGGGGGCAGCTACTTTGGCCTTGTTGGCCAGGGTGAAGCATTTGCTTGACTCATGTGTAGTATTCTTACCATGGTGCGAGCAGAAGAAGGAACGCTCTGGCTTACTGATTCGGTGCTGCTGGTTGTTGCTGGAGTGCACCTTCTTGCGAGGGTACGCCTCCATTCTCTTCTTCTCCATTCTCCTCTCAGTATGCATGTTGGCACCAGGAATGAGCTGGGTAGCTTCAGCATACATGCGATTGTCGTCGCCAAGGATGTCTCTGCCAATCTGCATCAACTGCTCCACAGTCCAATCTCTTTTGGTCTCGCCATTGAAGTCCAATCTGGTCATGGTAAGCTGCAAGAGTGTCTGTACTTGCCTAGTCAAGGAAGCGAGGAAGCGGTCAGCAACACAAGCATCGTTTTTGGGGAGGCCGGCATCATACACAGCCTGAAGGAACTTCTTGGAGTAATCTCCAATCGACTCAGAAGGAAGCATTACCATGGTAAATACCTCTTTTACTGAACGGGATGTCACCAAGTGCGATCCATGTCTTGCTGTAAAGCAGATCTTGGCCACGTTCCAATCTACACACTTCTTCAAATCCATCTCTACCCATCCATCGTCACTATGAGGCAAGCAGAGCGGCAAAAATCTCTTCCAAACTAGTTCAATGTCCTGAAGGGACGACTCAATAACCTTTTGGAAGGTGCGAAGGAAGTGGTCTACTGAGTGAAAGACCTCTTCATTTGGGAAGGATCTAATTACATCGTCTGACAACTGGAACTTAGGAAGATCTCTTCTATTAAGAGTCAACCCTCCAGTGCGACTGCTCTTCTCTACAACTTTCACAGAAGGCGAAAGGTACTGACTGCATGCTATTTCTATATCTATCATTTCTTTGACGCGTCTGACCTTATTAAGGGCTAATTCAGCTGCTTGCTCATCGTTCATAGCGTGAGCAGCACTGACAGCCTCTACATGCTGTTGAAGTTCTAGTCTAAGTTTCTCTGACAAAGACAAGACTGTTGTAGCAGCATTCGCTACCAAGGGACGAAGGGGAGAGGGAGCAACAAATTGTCCAGGGGTGGAGCTGGCAAAGGAGATGTTATCACTCAGACTGGCGATGAGGTCCTCCTCAGTCATGACGGACATGGCATCATCATCATGAGCAGGGATGATGGCGGCGGGGTAGTTCTCAGCAGAGAGGTTCATGGTAGTTCACGAAAAAAAATGTTGTGGTAGTTGAAGTTGAAGAAGTTTTTAAGAGGAAGAATTGAAGATTTGAGATTAGGAACGAAGATTTGTGAGAACTTGTGTAGGTATTGTTTATTGAGAAAGGATTTTGTATCAAAGTTTGGTCAGGTTCCTACACTGAACTACTACTGCTATTTATATTGTTTTGGATTGGGAAAATTATATGACTGGGGTCAGATAATCGATCCTATCTGAGCCTTAATCAGAGCAACGTGATCTTGGGATAATTAATGTATAATTAATTATATAAATGTGTGTAGTCCCAATGAAGTATTAACATCGAAAGTAAATGTGTTTATGAGTTATAATTATGCTTATAATAATCCACTGATGTATCCCATATTATGGTGATATCATCATATGAAATATAATCACTATCATGCATGCTAAACCTGTGTGTTAAATAATAAAGTAATTGGTAGACACCTTTGACTGGAATAGCTGAGGCCTTATATTATTTCCTTCAGACTTATTCTCAATTACAGCAGTAGTCAATACTCATTTACAACAATCTTTATCTTTCAGTTCCTTCTACATGGTGCCATCATAAACATCACATAGTGTGTCTATGACCTTAAGCTTCTTGTTCCATTGTCTGATTTTTGCTCAAAACAAGGATGAAGAAAGAAAACCTGCAATGAACGCTTGACAGAATTGTATATATATGATCACTTGGCTACCATGGCACCAGAAGGTGAGACCTTCATTAATGTACAGCTGCATGTTGATCTAGCATCATGCTTTGTGAAATCGCAATTGGTGGGGAGAGGCACATCTTGCTTGTAAACCTTATAGCAGTCTTGGCATACAACAAACTTCTTGATGCTCTTAGCAAAGTTAGAAAGCCCGGTCATTGCTTGCAGACCAGAAAGACTTGATGGCAGTTGAAAATCTTCGCCGTAAATTTTCAATAACTGATTGACAAATTCAATCAACACAGCAGCACCTTTGTTGATAACATAATGCGAAGCAAACAGGACAGTAAAGGTGGCAATGAACTGATGAACAGGGTTTGCAGGAATTTTGGAAGCAGCAAAAAAGTCTATTGTGAAAGTGTCAAAAACAAATTAGGACTCATTTTTTTGATTTTTTTTTTTAGCTTTTTATTCTCTTTTCTTTTGAAAAGAAAATAGCCTATTCAATACTGACCTTTGGCAATGAGCTCTTCAATGTCTGTTTCAGCATCTTCTTCTTCAGAGCTGTCATTGCTTTCGGAGTCATTGTCATTGACTTCGCTGATTTCATCATCAACCGAGACATTATCAGCCATTATGGCAGCATTCGAATTGGTTGAGTCAGTCTGGTTGTCTATTTTTTCCATGAATTCAGATTGACAGGTTGGGATAGATACAAATGTAGTTTAGTTTAGTTTATTGTTTCTACTGGTTTTCAAATGTTTTTTTTCTTACACTGAGTATCAACGTCCATCATTTCTTCTTCTTGCACAGCTGTGTTTCATTAAAAAAAACATAAAAAAAATTATTACGCAGTAAATAAAAATCAGCCCTGAAAAAAAAACATACAGTTTGCAAATCTTTCAGCTGCATCAGATCTCTCCACTCTCTCAAGTTTTTCTTTTACAATATGACGCTCAGCAGTTCTGCCTGATACCAAAGAGTATCCTAAGGAGTTTCTGCTGCATAGAGTGCAATGGCAAACAACATTATGGCACTGGGTAATTCAAGGCGTTTTAAGTGTTTTGTGTGTTTTTGAGTTTTTATGAATAAAAAAGGGAACAAGTGTAACATGTACTTTATTTACAGTGACTTTATAGTAAAAAAAAAATTTATCTTAATATTTTGTTAACCAATGAAACAAAGTAAAACTACATCTTTGGCCTGAACTTCAAAAAGCACACTGAGTGAAAAAAAATCACTCTTTCTGCACATGTGTCTACCGGCCTGACCACATTGTTAATTAGGATGGTTTTTCCAGTGCCCATTGGGGAAAATATTTTTTTTTGATAAGTCATTTTTTTAATAGATTTTTGCAATGTTCATCAACATCTATCAGAACATGCCGAATTTTGCAACGTTGAGCAACTTTTGGTTATTGGAAGACTTGATAGACAAGTGAATATCAACAGCCTGAACGATATTGATGTCATCTTTGTTGACTTCAACCAGGCCTCCAAGGGGCAGAACCACAATGTTGTTGTAATTGTCCATTACCATGGCTGGGATATAGATGCAATTTACATTGCTGTTCAGAACAATTTGGTACTTTTGCATAAAGAACGCCTTCCTCATTCTGTCTGCAGAGTCTCTTGCTTGAAAGATCTTTATCTGACTAAGGAATCATTGACCATTTGATTGAAAAACATCTACAAGTGTATCGCACAAAGAGGGAGTCGACAACCCGGAATTATCACTGTTGACACAAGAACCAAAGAAATGGAGATTAAAGCCTGGGAAATTGACAGGGGCCAGCTTGACAAAATCACCAATTGAACTTCTCACAGATCTTGTTCCATTACCAGCTGGTCTCTCTACAACATACAATCCTCCATTACAAAGATGCCAACAGATGAATTGCTTGCCAAATCTTGTAGCAACGTCTCAAGAGATGGAATGGCAGTTGGTCTTGAATAAATGTTCGCAGATAAACTTATTGAACTGTTCACTGTTTTCAGTTTTGTATTGCAGCATGGAACCAAAACAAACAATGTTGTCAGTGATATGATGCAGAGGGTGGACCTTTGGCTTGAACGTGAAGTCTTACTTAGAAAATCCTTTTTGGAGAACCTAGACATCCAGTTGAAAAAGCAGATCCATTACATCAGTGACAGCATGTTTTATCTGGGCAATATAGTAGTCAAAGCACCAGTCGACTCCACACATGTACACCAAAGACGACAGGCAACCTAATGCATGCAAGGCTTAATGAACAAACTTGCCAATGGTTTGTCACTAAAGAGCTTGCTCATAATTCTAGGCAGGACTTGAATCAATTCCTTGAAATCGCGTCCAATGAACGAACCAGTGTGGCAAAGCTTGTTTCTGAATGTTCGGCTGTAACTCTTACAAGACTTATAAGAGTTTAGAGCTTCCTGGAGTCTCCCCTTTTCACTTGTAGTCAGCATCTTCTGTTTCCAGAGAAAAGTCATCAAGTATTTCATCAGGCCAAGAGGAATAATGTGGAGAATTTTGACAGGCATGTCTTTGGTAGGGTCAAAGGCTTCGAGTCTAAGAAATTCCTCACTTCCATTCTTGATATAACTCAATTCGCACCCATTGAGATATAGCTCTGACTGGGAATCAGCATTGGCAAAGGCGCACAAGAAATCCCTCATTCTTTCTTCTGACCCACGGTGGTCAACTGGAGAATACGGCGGAGCATCAGGGATGGAACCCTGTTCAATACAAGGCGAAGATATGAGGCATTTTCAGCAAAACTTCTTGGCCAATGTTCCCTTATACATGGCAAGCTGAGATTGATGAGGGTTGTCACCCATAAAGAACAACAGGGGCGCAATGACAAGAACTACTTCACTATGATCCTCAGAATACATCTCAATACCTTTCTCCAGCCTAATGAGGTCATCAACGATAGGGGGCAACATCTCAACGGCATTCAGTGTATGATTCGAGGTACAAATGAAAAGAGCATTTTCTTGTTTGTTTCTTGTCTCAAGTGGCAACGCAGCAAAGTACATTAAGTGACTGTCATACTTGTTGTACTGCTTTGTTGAATTACCAGAGGTATTGTTGGAATAGAGATTAAGTGGGCAGACAACCACTTTCATCAAACCAGAGCCTGGAAGTCTTCTCTTGAATTCTTCAACACGGGATTTATTGAGCCACAAGTCAGATTGAACACCAGTAAGAGCATAGGTGACAATTTTGGCAGGGCAATAAGAAACAGAGAAACCATGTCCAAGGAAAAGATCGCTGTCTTTTTGAACAGTAGACATAATCCTATCAACTTCAATGGTATACTTCAGGATAGAGACAGCAAAGTTCATAGAGTTTCCAAACTGCAGGAAGTGAGTATCATCAGGATGGTTCAGCCGAGGATCGTGGCCACCATAAACCTGGAATGCATTGGCAAGTATGGATCCATCCTTGGTGAAGAACTTCTCAAGGAGATACCGGTTTGGGGAGCCTTGGACTTCAACAACATCACCCACCCAGTAGTCCATTCCGTTTGAAGTGATCATTGGGTGCTGAAGCAATGGGTTCTCCTTCCACTTTTTGCCTTGGTTGAGATTCAACCGCTGGTTTTCCATGAAGTCAGGAAGGGCCAAGATTTGAGATGATTTTTCAGGGCATGTCATGGTAAACTTGATATAATCAGATGGTTTGTTCATCCAAAGTACATGTTGTTCATTGTCTTGGTTCACAACATCTAAACTGGCAGTAGAAAAAACAGGGATCTGGTTCTTTTTCTGCTTGTGATAGTTAATCACAGCATTTGGTATCAAAAAATCCAGTGTTACTCCAGCTTCTTCACAGACATCCAAGACCATCTTCATGGCAAACATGATCTTCTTGATAGATCTTTCTGAGGCAAGATCTTCATTGCCATAGAAGAGAGCATGTAAGATAAACTCTACTTTCGATTTAAATGGACAGGTGGGTCCAGTAAAAATGTCAGCAAAGTCATCGGGCCAGTATGATATCTGTCTGCTGCTGTCTTCGTTTGAGTAGGCATTCATGGCATGAGAAAGAGATTGGAAGATTCTCATTTCTGCTGCCATTCTAGCAATATGATCCTGGCTATCATATTCTACTCTGGTGTCTGTGTCTTCATCGTCAGTAGTCTCATCATAGTCATCTGATGAATCACTATTCAGCAAAAAAAACAGGTTATTATCTATTTCAATATTGCATTACTAATTTTTACTTACAATAGAATGTGATCATCACTATATTCGTCTTTGTCAGAAATTTCATGGCCGTATGTGTCCTGAGGGTTTTCAATAATAAATTCCATTGGGGCAGGTCCATTACTACTGTTCATGTTGGCAGTGGCAGTGGTAGTGGCAGTGGCAGTGCTTGCAGAAGAAGAAAAGCCATCAAACATAGCAGGTCTAATGTTAAGATATGCTCAATTTCAGCTTTACATTACATAGTATTTTTCATCCTACTTTTAGGATTAACTTACCTTCTTTTTAGAAGTTTCTCATACTCCCCCATTTCGTTTGGATGTTTTTTTGTATAATGTCTTCTGAGGTCTTGCAAAGACTCTAATACTCTTTTGGTTTCACAGACGGTGCACACAAATGTTCGGTTGTCTGTAGCTGTCAGTGTGAGGAATGTGTTTCTCTTTGTTGTGAAGTGATTTTCCATGTTTAAAAATCTTTGGAATAAAAGATGTAGAAAAATGTAAACTAATTTGAGGTATCATATCTTTAATCATGCAAAAAATGACTGCTAAAAAAATCATGTGAAATAATGTGAGCTAAATTTTTTTTTGTTTACTTGTTTCCTTCTTTTTCTTTTTTTTTCTCATGACTGAAAGGTAAGTTTCAAGTGTAATCTAACAAGATGATAGCGTCCATCATACCAAACACCCTCAGTAAGTAATATATTTATTATGCCCTACTTCATATTGATACTAATATATATAAGGAGTAGAGGTCTGAAAATTTATGAAATGTCCAAAATTTTTAGCCTGTGTAACCTAGCAGAGGTCACGGATTTTCTATGCTTCTAAAATCGGTATCTTCCATTTTCTCTTAATAAAAAAAGTAATACACATCACATATCTTCCAATAGTCTATTTTCATAAGAATAATATAGATGAAAAATCAAATCCGAGCCAGAAAAAAAACCCCGGCCCAGAGACAAAAGCACTTCTCAACTGCATAAATTCCACTTATAAACATACTTCTTTAATCTTTTGACGGCAATTAATAATAGTTTCCTTTAATAAATAAATTTCAAAAACAAATATATTCTTATATACTTTCTTCTCTGTACTCTTTAATTAAATTATATACAGCTTTTTGCTTTCATTAATGTATTGTAGACAGATAGAGAATATTTATTTGATTGTTTTATTTAAAAAAAAAGTATAAAAAAAAGTATAAAAAAGTATTAAAGCTGTATAGATATATATATAAAAAAGTATAAAGAAATAAATATAGAGATATAAGAGTATAAAAAAGATAAGTATAATATATATATATATAAAAACGAAAAGAAGTATAGTTATATTAAAAAAAAAGAGAGAAAAAAAAACTATTCTAATTTAGCTCAAGCTTAAGAGCTTTGTTAAGCTGGTTTAGAGTGATCCCCTTCCTCACTCGCCTTCCCTCCACTTCGTTCACTGCAGTATTAAAGTCACCGCCATTTGACTCTGCTATTTTTTTATAGCATGGATGATAGAAACTCGGCAAGAATAGAATTTTTGCTCTACAAAATATTCACAAGTTAAAACCAAAATATTATCTTTGCATTGATTGTTATCTATTACATACCCGTTTCATCTCTCCATGCATTTTTATATTTTTTTTGAGCTCTTCAATCGGAGGGTATGTGACATTACCAATAGTATACCCAACAGCATACTCGTGCCAAAGGTCTTTGACATTTTTTATCCACCTTTGCATATTATACTTAGGCGCTTACTTGGCTGTTGGCTTGGGTGTGGCAGGTCTTGGGCAGTCTTTATCAATGGAGCCACTCTCAGTGGGCACAATTATAGGAGCAGAAGTAGTGTTGTTTCCAAAATTAACACATGCAGATCTAAACTCATTGAATAAGAAGTTAAGCCCATTCAATGAGCCTATGACATTCTGCATGTCTTTCCGATGGCCAGAGTATGCCTCCCCTTGGGTTGCTGGTGCCACTTGCCTTGCATTGGTGAAGTTGATGTTCCCTGCTACATTATCCATCTTCTTGAAGATTGCTGCAAGAACATGCTGTAGATTGGGCAAAACATCCTTGAGCTTCATCTCTTGAGGAGAATCTTGAGTCCAGCAAACCTCTAGCAGACCAGCTTCAAATTCCAGGAATTAAGGATCACGGAAAACCGAATTACAAAAAATGGGGTTGGTTGGGTACTCTACCCTGAAGAATACAGCGTCCTGGAGAATGATGGTTCTCATCGTCTTTAAAAGCTTTAGGAATGTCTGCCCGCAGATGGTTTTAGGGTACCCTGTAGTGGAACCGGTCAAGTTTTGCTCATCTTCATAGCCATCCTCGATCAATGGCAGAATTTCTTCTACCAAAGGGAAGATCTTGACCTGTAAAGATGCAGAAGGAAGGACAGAGGCACAGGCCCACTGGAAAAGAGGTGCGGTTTTCTTATGTGTAAAACTGTAATTAATTATGTGAAAAGACCAGGTTTTACGATGCAATCAGATAGTTTTTACAAGTGTATGAAGCTGGCTTACTCATAGGTGGTAAGACCAACTTTCGAACATAGGAAAAGGTCAGAACAGCAGGATAGTAGGATGTGTTTGCATTTTCTGTATATGGGTTTTTACCACATGCATTAAAACGGCAACTCAGAATTACGTTTTGTTGTAATATATCCTACCACTTTCCGATTAAAAGAACGATAAATGAAAGATCGATTATACGGATATGCCAGTTTTTACAGGGTTTTGTTGTATTTGAATTTATTTTATCCAATCTTAGAGACTTCTCCTTGTACTGTTTGCTTCCATACACTTCTCCGATCTTTAATTTATTTATAATAATTATTGGTTTATTTTGTTTTTATTAGAAAGAAAAGAATATTCTTAGGTTTATAGTACAGTGGTTATATTTAATATTCAGGAACGTTCTGGCTAGTGTTCTATCCTTCATACAATTTGAAATGGCCAATGTTCTGATAAAACAAGTATTCTCCAAACAATATCTCCCAGAGAAAAGCCCAGTTGTGTGTTGCTTGCTTGTAAATGGTTGTTCTATGAAATTAGAAAAGTGTTAGCTGTTTGAACAAGAAATCGTGGATATTAAGAATATATATATGTAATTATGCTTGCAATATAATAGCTTACCAGAGACAAAAAGAAAAGGCATCATGAATGCGAACCATAGTACTCAATATACTTTATTTGGCTATAAAAATGCTGAAAAAAAATTATTTTTTGTGAACTGTGTGGTAGAATATTTCATTTACCTACCCAAAGCAAAAGGATTTATTTGCAGACCAAGAGAGTACATAGGAGACGCTAATATTGTCTTCAGTAAATGATATACATTAATATATAATATAAATAATATTGTTATATGTACAAAAAAAATTACCATGTCAATGACACTTGTATGAAATGAAAGTTCTTGATTTGCGATGTGCTCATGAGAGGGAGGTTCATCTATAATAGAAATTATGTTAAGCCGTGTGCTTATTAAAAAGAGATAGATTGAAATAAAATAAAATATTACCGTGTTCATAACCGTGTTTAATAGTAGAGAGTAATTTCGGCGATATGGCCTATACAAAAGAAATAAAAAAGTCAGAATAATTTTATAGGATGACGGCATAAAGTATATTTACTAACCTTAGCTAATCCGGATGGACATTGTGAAGGGGATGCATCAGAAGGTAACAAAACGCGAGTGTCTGTAGTAATAGAAAACAATTATTATCATTTTAGTTATATATATATAATATTAAAGAATAAGATATCTTACCAAGAAAATTTGTGAATATAATAAATGTTGGAAAGAGAGAAAAGAGAGAAAACTTGTAAATGAAAAAAAAAACAAAAAGAACAAAAGACCAAAGGGCCAAAAGGCCGAAAGACAGAAATCATATATTGGATTGAGTTGAAAAAAGCATGTTCAAAGCCGATTTGCACCCCATTAATTCCAGGAAGTATTAATAGAGATACGCGTATTAAAGAAATCCTGAGTATTTACAGCAACAAGTGTAATATAATAAATGGGTTCTTGCTTTTACTTTTACCATCTTTCCATTAACTACACTTTATTCTTTTGCTTAACACCTAACTTCTTTTGTATGTTAATAACACTCTATATATACAATGAATAGATATATAAAACAAATATAATTAATAATCAACTCATGTATAACATTTTATTAAATAGCTTTCAGACCATGGTTAACAATCGTCAGTCAATTGTCCCGGCTCCATCCCTGGAATATACTGAGCTTTTAAGAAGGCTCACCACTATGGAGGAAAGTCTCAAGACCATGGATTCAAACATTGGCATTGTCATCAAGGGGAACAAAGATTCATTGGAAATACTTGATAGTGTTGCCAATGCCTCTGGAGAACTTCTTGCAGTTATTGCTCCTACCACTATACCTGCTTCTGCTTCTGTCCCTTTTGCAGCTTCTTCCATTGGTTCTACTCTGGATTGGTATACAACACCTTCTGAGGCTTTTTTTGGTATCTCTTCTGCTGCTCCTTCTGTTGCTCCTTCTGTTGGTCCAGTGGTTCTTACTGGTGCAAACGCTGGTGAACTTAGTAAACAGGATCGCACTAGAGTTTTAGTAAGTGTTGAGATGTACAGTAGCTCATCAACATAATATCTCACACTAAGTATAGGCTCTTATCCTAGGAGAGTTGAAGAAACACAACTTCAAATCAAATAAGCCGGAACTAGTTGCAGCTAACAACAGCAAGCGCAGTTGGGATGTTAATGTTGATTACAGACTTCCACCCAACAGACAGCTAATGCATGACCTTCATGCATACCTGGCTCCAAAGGTTGTTGGGACTAGTGTTTGACAGGCCAATATTAGCGATTGTATCTACACAAACTTTTGTGGAACAAGACGCCAAGTCAAGGAATCCTATGAAGCGCGCAAAAAGACAAAATCTTGGTCAAGAAAAGCAGGTCAAGAGACTGATGTATGTTAGAAGTATATTTTGATTGCAAATTAAATGTATTCATATTAATACATCTATAAACTAGCATTTTGACCATTGCGAGCTGACCTACCATACATTCAAGGCTGAAATTGATGTGAAGGTGGGTAAGAGCTGCGACGGACTCTTACAGAAAGAAGCAATGTCTGAGGGCGAATCTGAAGATGATATGCCTGGAGTCTCGAGCAACCATGCGATTCGTACAGTGTGTCCAAGTTGGAGAAGCGATGAGGTAATTTCTTTTGTTTACATTATTGTATATAGCTTTTTTTGTTTTTTTATGGATTTAAATGAAACAGAACTTTGATTAATCACTTATTTGTATTTAGTACAATCACTTTCTTGCGGTTGTTGATGATTTTATGCGTAATTGCATGGACTTCAATTCGCGTCAGATGTTGAAGAGGTCCTTTGGTAGAGATGCTGTTTTAGCAGTCCCGCCTAGATTGACGTGCCTTCTCCCTCACTGGGCTTTTAGAGATGAGTTTCAATAAATTTTGTTTTCTTATCCTCTACATCCTCCACATCCTCCATCTGACAATGATAAACGTACCAACAAATACAAACACTATGATTATTCTTTTCTGTGTGCCTTTAAAAAAGGGAGTTATAATTTTATTATTTTTTAAATGTATTGTTTTTTTGGCAAAGGAATGACCAGCATCTTTTTTACTTTTCTGCGTGTTGTGTGCTCAGCAGTTGCTACTTCTAACATAATTTTATGCACTGCCAATACACATTGGAAATCGTTAGGAGAAAATGTTGGAAAGCAGGTTTCAACGTGTTTGTACTCTCGCGATTTATCATTTTCAGGTGTATACCATTTGATAAAGGCAAAAGTATGTTGAGAATTGTGAAGAAGTTGTGTCAGGTGGCAATGGGTGCGGAGCAAGGGAGTAAGGGATGAAGAGGTGGGTGGAGGAGTGAAAGAATGGGCGAAAATGTATTGTATTTGACCCGTGTATGCGATGATATGCTCACCAGTACTTCCAATGAACTTTGCTTGTACAAGAGAGCCACGACTTCCAGATTCACCTTTACCCTTGTAGACCTGCTCAAGGATGTTGATATATTTCAACAGGGTGATTGTATTGTCGACAAAGTATGGTGATTCTGACGCTTGTTGAAAGTGAACTAATTGTTCATTGTTGTACGCAACTTTGTAGTATTGTAAGAGATGAACATAGTGAATGTCACTCATTGTGGTAGTGGATTTTAATGATAGAGGAAATGCAGAAGGAGGGAGAGGTTCGTTGCCTTTTACAAGTACATTTGGATCTTCAGAAGCCTCAACAAATGACTGTATGCGGAAGGTACATTGACGGATGGATGGAATGGTGGTGGGTGTAAAGGAAGAAGTGAGTTTGGTAAGGAGAGGAAATGCAGATGTCTGGCGGGTACTCTGAAGGAAACTGTTGACAAGATCGTCTTTGTGCACATCTTCAATAAATTTCTTCATAAATGTTTCTTCAAACCCCATCTTCCTCTTTGTCTTCAAATTTTTTAACAACCCATTAAACCGCTCAAACCCGAATAGCCAATAACCATACACTGGTCCAAAATCACAAATTGTATCTCGAAGATGGAGGTGTAGGTGCATATTACAGGTGAGGATTTCGGCGTTGTACAGCTCATCACATCTGGTGCAAAAAGTTTGAAGAAACTGATGGGCAGTGTTGACTTCATCGAACGTGATCGTTGGCTTGATCAACAGGCGGCATGCATCAACAAAGTTAATCCAGTTTTCGAATCTGTCTTTTGCAAGAACATCTTTCAACAGAACTGGCGAGTATACAAGCACCCATGACTTCCACTCGTCTGCCTTCATATACGAGAACTGCTTTTCTATTTTTGAGTTCAAAGAGGTGTATCCACCAGGCACAATCATCGTTTCTGCAGTCTTCTGCATTGCTGCAAAATCGCCATCTTGAATGTCTTCGTCTTTGATCCAACGATCCATCAATCTTTTGGGCGTTCCCAGGAATAAATTATGCATGGGATCAATGATCGTTCCACGTACTAGATCAAGGTATCCAAGGCAATGCAACTGCGACCATCGAACACCATTTTCGACCTCCAGCCGATGCCTTTCTGAGGGGGTACTAGCACTTTCCCACTCCTCAGCATGCAACCTGTTCTCTACACCGTCACAAAGCACCCACCGAGAGAAGTCAAACCCACGAAAGTCAACATTGACACCGTTTTCCAAGCAAGGGAAATGTCTGTTGCACTTGTAACATGCGCATGTACTGTTGTGCGAGGTGAAATCACTTGTCTTTCTTGCTGCCAGGATGTTACAGGCCACCATCATCAATGCAGCATGGACGCGGACACCACTAGGACACTCGAAAGTTGAGATTGCCAGTCCCTCATACAATCTTATCAGATCATCTACCATAGGCTGGAGATAATGGTTTATCTCTTTGGATTTGGGTTCCTTCGGGCCAGGCATCAATCCTACGAGAAGTGTGTTCTCTGGCTTGTATCTTTCATTGCAAGGCAGATTGTTTACTACCAGGTATATGGCACCAGTCGAGTGCATGACATTATTGAAATGTTGAAACCAGTTGATGTTGAGAGTCAACATTAATGAACGCGAATCCTTTGTGAATTGCACGCCATCTTTGTCTTTGAGCTCCTTCCACATGGCACTGTCATATATGTCACACATCATATCCACCATCTTCAGCTCGTGGTTCCAATGTCTAATTTTATCCTCGAATCCTGGACGAAGAAAAAACATTCGTAAAGTATTAACGACGGACTGGTACAAGTATGAACGCTTGGCCACCAAAGCATCTGATGCTGATGTTTTTGTCAATTGGCAGTTGCAAGACGAGCGTGCACCAAGCTTTACAAAATCGCAATGAGACGGGACAGATGCACTTTCTTTGTACACCTTGTGACAATCCTGACACACAACAAATTTCTTTATGCCTTTGGTTATGGCTGAGAAACCTGTCATGCGCTGAAGACCAGGAAGGCTCAAGGGCAGTTGGAAATCCTGCTCGTAAATTGTCAAAAGCTTGTTGATGAACTCGATCAAGACAACGGCACCCTTGTCAACCACATAGCAGGAAGCAAACATCACCACAAAAGTAGCAATGAACCTGTGCACTGGGTTCTGGGGCATATTGGGGGTGGCAAAAGGGTCTATTATAAAAAAAAAAATTAATGCTTTTTTTTTTAAAATTTTTAACACTAACTGACCTTCACTATTCAATTCATTGTTGTCGAGCTCAATAAAATTGTCTTCGCTTTCGTCTTCACTGATTTCATTGCTGTTGCTTCTACTGTCATCATTGTTGCCATTGCTGATTGCGTCATTAGTAACGGAAACGTCTTCAGTGTCAGACATTGAAGCTCCTTCCCAAACAGGTGAGTTTGTCTGAGTGTACGATTCTTCCAGGGCTCCAGGCTGATGGGTTAAGATAGCTACATTTAGAATATAACACTTGGTTAATATCTAACAGTATCTGAATTAAATAAACCTTACGTTCATCATCGACCTCCATCATATTTCTTTGGGTAGACATGTCTATTACAACACGTTATTTCATGGATTACAATACAATTAAATAAATTCAAATATTGTACCCCTTTCACATCTTATGGCATTTAGTCTTGCCCTTTTATTATGACGTTGAGCAGTTCTTCTGGCAACAAAACTATAGCCAAGATCGTTCTGACTACATCCAGCACAATGGCACTTTTCGTTGTAGAGTTCAGGAATTGTTAACATAATGTTTATTTATTTTTACTTTGAAGTGTTAAGAGAAAAAGGAAACAAGTACAACGTTTACTAAATTTACTATGTCTTTATAATGAATTGTTATGACTTTATAATAATAATAAATAATATTTTCGCCTGTTGTATCCAAGCCAATAGAAAACTGGAAAACAGTGTTTTCATCTTCAACACACAAAAAAAGCTGAGATGAAAAAATACCCCAGATTTTCTATTGTTATAATTTAACTTTGTACATGGTAATTCCCATATGTTTTTCTAGTGAGAGCAACCAGAACTGCTTTCCTACGCCAGGAAAACCGTTTATGATCCTAATGGATTGTCTTGGGAGGCTGGTCAAGTAGTTGCTCTCCATGCTCTGAGCATTTCAGCAGCCATGTCTGTGTAATTGGTCTTCAGAGGCACTGGAAATCTCTGCGTGTCTGGCTCCACTGTCACAGTCTGCGTGGGTCTTCTTGACACTGTTTATACTACATGCTTTGAAGGCCTTACAGATAGAGTTGTACTGGGTCTTGTAGTCAATTTCATTCTTGAGTGTGCCCTTGTTGCTCTTCAACACCTTCAAGTCGAACCAGTTCTTGTTTTCCTTAAAACTTGGGAAAGGCTCGTTCGACACATGCCACCAAAAAAAGAAATAGAATGCCAAGGCTCCAAAAGCATACTGCTTGTGATCTTTGTGGTGGATGGTAGCAGCATACTCCAGCTTTCCAGTATGGTTGGTCTTTCCCTTGCGCATAAGAAGGATCAATGCTGGGCAGTCTGAATATCCTTCGTCTTGGAAGTCCAGCATAAAGAGATCCGGGAGCTCCATTCTTCTTGTGCTTTCTCCATGCAACAACATGGTGTGCTGCATCAAAAAGGCAGCTCGGTCACACATAGCCTTCTCAGTTGCCTGGCCAAAGTAGTACATTGATACGCAAATCATTTCTTTGGGGGTGTATCCGTCTTGCAAGGTACCAGCTCCATGGTCTTTGTATGATTGACGAAGTCTGTCAGCCTCTTGAAGTCTGAGGGAACACAAATACAACTTCAATAGAGTTCCACGAGAATCTTGCAGGCTGATGCCAACCATGGAGGACTTTTGATTGACATGAAGATCAACAACTGCTTTAACATATTGATCAATTGAAGAGGGACTGAGTGGGTAAGGGCTGCCATCAGGTCTAAACTTGCTGCGTCTTGCTCTTTGTCTGTTTTCAAATGGGACAACATCTTGCTAAAGAAAATCAAGCAATTTTGTCTCAGTAACCAATGTACCAGAGGGCAGACAGATTCTTGCACAGTAATCCTATAATTAAAGCGAAAATAAAGTTAATATAATTGATTAATGAATAGTTTATTTTGTATACACTGACCTTGAATAAGTTTGCGTATATTACCAAAAAGGAAATTTTGAGAAAAAACACCCATTGTTGTTTTTATTTATTTTTTCATTCTTTTTCTCAATCAAATCTTCTCATGTCTTCTAAAATCATTAAACAATCTTGTAAAAAGAGTCCCAAACTTTCAGATTACATGAAAGACAAGATTGTGGGTGCTTATTACTTTAGAATTCCCATAGCTAAGATTGCACGCAAGTATGAGCTACCCTACACAACAGTGACAACAACCATTGAGAGAGTGAAGAAAACGGATACTGCCCTTACCAAAAAAAACGTGAAGAGAGACCTGTTCTCTTGAATGATTGTGATTTGAGAGCTTTGGACAATATTGCGAGCAATGACCCAACTGCAACATTAGATATGATTACAGCTGAAATTCAGGAATCTTCAAGTGTACCCATCAAGAGAGATGTTGTTCGTAATTCCTTAAAAAAGATTGGTTTACGCTCTTGTGTTGCTGCAAAGAAGCTTTTGCTAAAGGAAAGACACATAAAAAACAGATTAAAGTTTGCAAGAGATGCTCGTTGTCGCAATCAACAGTGGAATTGGGTAATCTGAAGTGATGAGTCCAGATTCATGGTTTGTCCAAGGGCAGGAAATGTGCGTGTTTGGCGCACTCCAGCATAGAAATATAGAAGAGGCTATGTACATCCAAGAGTACAAGGCGGAGGAGGCTCAGTGATGGTCTGGGGGTGCATTTGGGCTGGTGGAGTGGGAAAACTTGTAATTGTTGATGGTACACTAAATCAGACGAAGTACATAAGACTCTTAAAACTTCATTTTATGCTCTGGTTTTGATGCCTTAAGCAAAGAAAAGATGACAAGTTTATTTTCCAAGATAATGCACCCTGCCATAAAGGTATTTTGGCAAAAGAATACAAAGAAGAGGTGAATCTGCCAGTGATGACATGGCCAGCAAACAGCCCTGATCTGAGTCCAATAGAAAACATTTGGGCATACTTGGAACGCCAGCTAAGAGATAGAAGGGTAAAGCCAACAAATTCACACTCGTTGGCCAGAGCTCTTCAAGAAGAATGGAAAAAAATACCAAAGAAAGTAGTGAAAACACATTGTATATCAATACCAAATCGAATCAAAGAACTTAGAAAAAATAATAGATTCTATACCCACTATTAAACTTTCTAATAAATTACATATACCTATTTACAAAGCTAATATATATTACTCATAATTATTTCAGAGCTCTAGCTATACATTAAGATGATAAAAAGATGTAAAGAAGTTGTATATTTTCATTGAAAAAAATTGGGATTTTAAAAAATACTTAAATTAAATATGGGTCAGTGTATGATATATTAAGAATTTACCAAGTATTTTTGCCTTCTATTGTCATATGCCTTAGCAGTATTTGCACATCTTGTGAGTGCTTTCATTTGAGATACAACATTAATGGTATTGGTCTCTCTTTGAGCTTCAGCAGCTTGGATTGGGAAGTTGGACATTTTGTAATAAAAAAACAATGAAGTAATAATAAGAAAATGATAGGCAAAAACAATTTTATTTTATACTTTTCTTTAAATACATGCTTGTTTTATAAGAAATCAAGCTTTTGTGAGTCAATTACATACAACTTGACAAAGTATCTAATAATTTGTATGCAATAGTACTCATAAACACATATGAGTAATAATGCATGGTACACAAAGAGTCATAAAAATTTCACGATTTTTATTGGCTCCTTTAATGAAGTATAATGACTAGTTCTGGTCCAGTCGGGTTTATAAAATTTTCCGGGAAACAGTATAGCTATTTGATTCTAATTTTTGGTAGTAACCTATATCCGGACCCTCAATATTGAGTGGAAGATACCTACTATATATTTTTTATTAGATTCTATAGAGATTCCAACATGAGATTGTATTAGGAAGTTACTTCAAACTATGCCAAGCTGTCTGTCGTGATATTATAAGGTATCTACTCCTAACATAACTAAACAAGCAGTCTTTTCCTTTACTTTTATTATAAACTTTACCCTCATCTCTTTAGGTAAGTCTCATATATCACTGTCTGTCTAGTATAAAAAGATAATTTATCATATTATTTACTTCAAAGATCATAACACTAATATTTTGTTTCTGTTTAATAGTCGTTCTTCTTTACTTTTACCATGTCTATCTCCCAATCTATTGCATAAGAGAGGCTGCTACACTAGACTAGCTACTAGTATATAGAACACGTAATCCTAGTATTATTTTTTATTGAAACCAAAATAAAAACATTTTTTTGAAACATTTTTTTTGAAACACATTTTTTGAAACCCTATAATTGCAATTATTGGACCCCCCATTTTTCAGATTTTTTGTATCCATCCTTTTTTCCATTCACAGTAAATTCGAGCAGACACTTCATATTCCGCTTTAGAAAATTTTAGTCAGGCCAACTTTAAATCTAGCTTGGACATTGAGTTTAAAAAAATCTCAGTGGGTGTGTATCTCTTTATGTGCAGTAACATCTTCCTGAGCATTAACCACAGTATAACAACTCTTCTTCTATTTAAATATAATATAATAGCTACTGCGGATAATACACAGTATTAGTCTAGAAAACTATATAAGATAATTCAATTCATATTAATAAAAAATATCTTTTATTCTCTCTTTGATTTTACATATACTTCTTGATCCCCAGTGGGTTTGACCTTTTGACTTTGTTATAGTAAAAGGAAGACCAACCCAGATCAGAAACAACAAAAACAACAACTTCAAAAAAAATGCCTGACAGCCTAGATTAGAAGCGACAGTGTAGGCCAAAATGGAGACGCCGGGGTTCGAACCCGGGGCCTTTCGCATGCAAAGCGAATATGATACCACTACATCACATCCCCATTATATATGGGGCATAAGTGTTGTAAACTTTTGGAGCATAAAGTAAAAATATATTTGTTTGATGTGACGTCAACTTATGGACAGACTATTAAGTTAGGACAGTGCAAAGTCATGACTCCATCTCTGGACACAACAAAATCCGATTTCTTGGATTTATTTTCTCTCTCCCTCTTTTTCCTTTTTTCATGCTATCGACATTTAAATTCCTGCTGGACTTTAAATGTTTTTCCCCTTTTTTCTATTTTTTCCTTAATTTTTATTTCCTTTTTAGCTTGCTTCCCTTTGCATTGCACTTGTTTCTTTACACTTCTTGATATTACTTCTTTAGTATGCTTCCCGAGAGCGTATATTTTTTAGTAGTTTGATCATTTTTATTTTTGATTATTTTTGATGATTTTTTTTGTGATTATGCCCGAAGACCTGTATACTCTTCTAAATAATCATTATTTAGCATAAGATATATCTAGATTATCACCTTGTACGCAGTTGTCAATTAGTATATAAGAGAGAAGTTTTTATCCCAATAAAATTCATTCAGTTTCTCTCTATATTTCTTTTGAACATTGTCACTAAGCTTGAGCTATTGTCCTGCAGGAAATACTAAGTTGCACACTGTTAGAATCTACAAGTACTGTCTCACTGTTTGTCTGCTTGTCTGCTTGTCCATTTGTCCATTTGTCCATTTGTCTGCCTGTCCATTTGTCTGCCTGTCTGTTTGTCTATCTGTCTGTTGTCCATATATCTGTTTCCATCTATTTCAAGTCCCATTTATTATCTAAATTCCTTCTTGTTGGATTGTTCTAAGCAAAATAACAAAAATATAACTATACATATAATATATATTATATTTCTGACCAGTTGCACCACATAGCATAACTTAATACGTGTTATAATTGTCACATATGTTGTGGAGAGGTCTGGCTTTTGGCCATGTCGTGGTGTCTGGTACTAGAAGGTCAGTCTGCTCGGTGGGTTTGTCCAGCAGTTTGTTATGATATGTCATCCCGGTTATGAGAGGCTGACGTCAACGGTTTGTTGATGTAGTGCTGTGCCCTCGGTGGTAAGAGGAGAATTTTTCTGTGCACAGGAAAAATCTCGTTTCCATTTCCTGTTCTTTCTACATACAATACCTTTTTCTTTTCTCTTGTTAACATATTTGTCTACATTGTACTCATTCAAAATCATGGTCCCCCATGTTAGTAACATTCCTCTTCTACAATGTACATAATTCATCTTGCCAACATCTCTGCGCAACACCAGTACTTTTATTATTATATTTTTACTGTATCTTTATTTATATATTTTATCTTTGCTGTATCAATTACTCATCATTCTATTTTTACTATCTTTATTTTTCTAAACTTCTATTATCAATTCTAAAGCTCATCAACTATAAAAGAGAAATAATTTCATTCAATAAATCTTTATCTTTTGATCCAATTTAGTATCTTTTTCTTGTTTTCTTCTTTTTGTGGTCTATACTATCTTGCAACATAACATATTGGTTCCTTGGTTTTAGGAAGATTATTTATCAGTTTTGGTCTCCTCGTCGGTTATTACTTTTCTGTTTCATCATTCTCTTTTCATATATCTTTCTCTCCCTCTCAATTTTAACAGCGATTCTATCAGTTGTTCACTCTTTTCTTACCTGTCAACTATTGCTATTTGCCGCCTTTTGCTGTATCCATCTTCTGCTCTATTCTATTGTCATTGTATTTTATTTGCCAAGTGATCCGTTACAGTCTACAACAAACCTAATACATTACGCGGCATAATGCTTACACATGTACAATAAAAAAGGGACAAATAACCATGTTGTAATGTCTGGTACCCAAAGATCAGTCTGCTTGGTACGGTTGTCTGACAGTTTGTTATGACATGTTGTTCCAGTTACAAAAGGCTGACAGCAATGGTTTGTTTATGTGGTGCTGTGCCCTCAGTGATAAGATGAGATTTTCCGTGCACAGGAAAAATCTCATTTCCATTCTCTGTTCCTTCTATACATATTACTTTTCCCTTTTCTCTTATTAACATATTTGTTTATATTGTACTCATTTGAAATCATGGTCATCTATGCTAGTAACATTCCTCTTCTACAATATATACAATTTATTTTGCCGACATCTCTGTGTAACATCAGTACTTTTATTATTATATTTTTACTGTATCTTCATTTATATATTTTATCCTTACCATATTGATTATTCATCATTCTGTTTTTACTATCTTTATTTTTCTGAACTTTTATTATCAGCTTTAAATCTCTTTGTCTATAAAAAAGATATAGTTTTATTCAATAAAATATTATCTTTCTATTTAATTTAGTATCTTTTTCTTGTTTTCTTCTCTTTATAGTTCATGCCATTTTTTAACATAATATATTGATTTCTTAGTTTTAGTAAGACTGTTTACTGATTTTAATCTTCTTATTAGTTATTATTTTTCTGTTCTTGACATTTTCTTTTCATATATTTTTTTTATCTTTCATTTTTATCAATAATTTTATTAGTTGTTCTATCCCTTCTTATCTGTCAAATATTACTGTTTGCCTTATTTTGTCATATTTGTCTTCTATTCTATTCAATTATCATTGTATTTTATTTGTTAAGTGATCTGTTATAGTCTGCAACAAATTTAATATATTACATATCATGTTAATAATAAAGTGTAAAAAAGAATAAAAGCAATATTTGGACAATATAAAAACTAGCAAAAATGTATACTAGATAATAAATAAGTATATTTAAAGAAGTATAATTAAACAAACAAAATAATATAGCAGATAAAAGATACCTTTAATATAAATAAATTTCTATTGATACCTATACTAATTATTTTAAATATTTATCTTAAGATCTTATTTGATATAATGTGTTTTCTATAAAAATATTAATTTAATTATTATTTCTAATATCACTAGAGAATTAGATTTTTACGTATATGTAGTAGTACAAAATATTCTATATAATGAAATAATTAAATTCTATAATTTATTATTTATAGATTTTGTTTACAATATGCTATATTATATGTGAGTTATCTATATAACTTCTAAACTTATTATTATCTAAATAGAAATATAAGATTTTTTAAGCTATTGAATCATAAAAATAATAATAAAAGTATTATGTCTTTCTTTCTTTAAATATTATATTAAATTAAACCTAATTTAAAGCAAAGATTTAAATAAAAAAATCTTTTTTAAAAGAAAATTTTTTACTGAAATAATAATATTGTGATCTTTTAGATATGAAACAATAGAAAATAATAAATTTGAAAATAGAAACATATAGAAACTTTTGAGACTATATATAAGTTGTCTTTTATTCATAAATAAAAAGTATCATATTTTTAAAAAAAACACAATCTGCTCTTGTCATTATGTTTTAGTTTTTTAAAACTTTTTCTTTTACTATATTTGGCTCTTAAAATGTATTTACTGCTTAATTAGTGTTGATATTACAATTATAATATCAAGTCATAAATTGTATTTCTTCAGCTTTTAGCTATTCTTTTTTTTTTATACTAGAGCTTTAGAACTCTCTACTAAATTAGCTCTATATCTCTCTGACAAAGTTTACACTGCAAAAGAAGGGCCAATTTAGCATACTAAATCTTGATCAAATACTGTCAGAATGAATAAAATTCAGCATGAATTCAATTGGAATTTATGATGTCAAATTTTTAAAATATGTGAGCTAAATGAATATAATTGTATACTGAATTTTAGGAACACAAAAAGAAAAAGTGTGATATACTTTTATGTGATACATTGTGACTGTGACACTATGACAAATAGGGGCGGTTTTTTGCATTTGTGACTTTGTTTTTGGTCTATAATAATTAAAAAGTCATCAAAAATTCAAAATAAAACAAGAAAATGTCTGTTTTTTGAAAAGGTTGACAAAAAGCAGATTGACCACCTAAAATTAAATCTCCTGATAGACAAAAATACATTTTAAATACAGATTTTACATTTTTAGTAAATATAGATTGCAATTGATAACTATTAAAAGTCAGAGATAAAAGAGAGAAAAATATTTAAACTTTTTGCTGGGAGGATAAAATATGTTAAGACAATTTGAAAAAAAAATGTATTATAAGAAAAGAATATTATAAGTCTGCAAGAGAACCAAGTGACAGTTTTGGGCCATGGTTAAGATCTGGCCACACTACATATGCTGTTGCTGTTATTGTTATTGTGTTTATAGTTGTGTTCAACTTCACCAAACCAACTAATTGTGTGACATCTGCCAGGTGAACTACTATTGGCTTCATTTGCCCATTGTTGATTGCTGGTATACTATTTACCAAACGAACTGCATAAACATTGACAAGGACAAGCGACCACCTCTTATTGTTGAGCTTGTGCTCAAAGACAATGACAACCTTCCCAAAGAAATCTTGTAGACTGGAGAGTATCTTGGGCCAATGTTGTGGTTCTCATCAATCTGAATCTGAAGTCTGACATTATATGCCTCTCTTATACAATTATGGTCGAGTGCAGAGTCAATAACACAACCATTTACAAATGCCTTACAGTTTTGTTTTAATGGCTGCTTCAATCATACTACACTCTTTTCCCTTTGATTCGTAGAACTTTTGAAGAAGCTCTAGAAAACAAGAAATGCCTCCAAAACTATCAACAATCATTCTGTTCTTCAAAGGCCCCCAGAACTCAATGTCAGAATCAGTACCAACATTACTACCTTCTTGGTCAATTGGCCAACCAGCAGAGGGATTATCATACTGAAGAAGAGTTGTTGCTGTTACTGTTGCTGTTGTCATTGTTGAATTTTCAACTCTCATCTGTCGAATCTGTGTCAAGCCAAACATGATGTTGCCAGTGTTGATTCCAATTGCCAAATTACTCTTTATTGCTTGCGAGTATTTCATAATTGCCCTATCGACAGATCGTGCACTATATGCTCTGGGGGGACCATACACTTCTATCATTGTGGGATAGTGCTGCAGAAGGTGCTAATTGATCGTAAAGATCTTGAGCTGGACCTCTTCTTTAGCTAGTAAGGCTTCCAAATACGTATTCCATGCAATGAGATTTCTAAAAAAAATATAAGTTAACACAAGTTATAAAATAATTATATTAATTATAATTAAAACTTACATTTTAATCAAGGTTTTCTTTTCTGCTGATAACTTCCGGCTCATGAGTAGGTTGCATGTCTGCACCAGATCAAGCAATGTCTTATGGGCAGCTTGGTCATGGACACGCTCTGTCACAAGCATAGGGATAACAAACAAGATGAAGTCAGCCCAGTCCACAGCCCAAAAGTACTCTGATCTTGTTGCGATGTTGATCCATGCACTGTAGAAAGATGTTAGAATACTTCTTCTGTTTGACACCGTGGCAGTACCAATTTCTTTCTGAGCAGCAAGAGAGAGAGAAAGAGGATGATCTTTTCCATACATGCCGCACACGAGCCCCCAGACCTGTTTGCCAATGCCGTGACAAATGCCGTGCATTTCATCCAATGCAAAGAAGAATGGACCAGAGAAGGAATCCAGTAAGAAGAAGGAAGATTGGCCAGTTAACCCTTTTTTGCTAGATGAGGCCACCTCATCAAAGTGCTTGAAACTTTCTGGTGTGTGCATGGTAATGGAAGATAACTTATGGAAATATTGGCCATGACCAGGAGATTGACCCACAATGTGGCAGATGCAGCAGCCATCCTTACTCATATGGTCCACATGACAAGCTATCTTTCCCAGAGCTGGGATGTTGCCAGTTGTCATTAGTACATGGACTTTTATACTAATATCTCCAGATGGTGTCTTCACAACCATTTCACCGGCTTGGAGAACCCAAAGTTCTTTCAGAACAGGCTCCAGGCATGACCAGAAGTTGCGGGTGCTTTGGGACCAGGGATGATTGTGACTTGGATCATATGGCTGTGCTCGTAGCAGATCATTGGGGGAAGGTTGAGGGTAGTAACGTGGACAATGGTTACCAAACCCAGAACACAATGGGGAGCAAACCCATCAACAGACAGCAAAATGATGATGTTGTTTTCACCCGAGAAAAGATGTTTCTTTGACTGATATGCCTGTTTGTCAAAGACATCAGAAATGTTGCTATCAGCCTTCTGCGTATGATGGTGGCAATACAGCATCTCTTTTCTGGTGCAGTCGTTGGCCAAAGCAGCTGCAAGCTGTCTACCCAGAGGAAGAGGTATCATTGTGCTGGCAGGAATTGGATTCTCACCAGCATCTTGACTTCTCTCGCTGGTCTTGTAATGGGCTTCGTCACAATGCGGGCACTCCGTTTGCTGATTGTTGTTGTACAGCATACACCCATTGCAACAAACGTGGTATGTCTCCTCATGGACACCAAGAAATCGAGAAAGAAGCTTGGTACCAAGATAAGAAGAGCAAGCTCTGTACAAAATCTTGTTTGACGTACTGAGAATATCATTAAAGTATTATGCCAGACTAATGTGGGCCTTCTGGGAAATGCCAAACTCCTTGATAATCTTCATAAGCTTGAGATTCTTTGCATTGTCATAGCCAGAAACAGGAACAGGAGCACTAAAGTCATAGACCAACTGAGAAGGAGTATTGTCAATAGCATTTTCAGTAACATCCATGATTGCCAAATCATTTTCCATAGAATTCTCATATTCAATATCATACTTTAATAAGATAAACAATAATTAGTACATTGGATGCATTTGTATATTTATCTTTCTTATCATGGGCTCATCCATTTCGTTGATAACGGAAGGAGTAATATTCTTGTCAATGCTCATGTTGGTGCTTTCTCTGTTTAATTATTAAAGAATTAATATATTTTATTTAGTTGCATCATTATAATTTGTAGACTTACTCCAAGGTTGAGCTAGATGCAAAATTCAAGATAAGATTACTCTGCTCAGAAACAGAAGCAACTTACGAACTTTGGATGTTATTTATCTCTTTATAAACTTTTTCTAGGCACTGAACTTCACACTTGGCTACAAGTTTCTTGTTTGTGTAGCATTTGTGGCAGATACTGCACTCGTGGTGGGAAAGCTTTGTGATTGTAGACATTTTGTTAAGTTGAATTTATTCTTTTGAAGTATAGGTAAGAATAGAGATATTCACTTTCAAGTCTGAACTCTTTTATAATGATTAACTTGAAGACAATAATGTTGCAGTAACTTGAATATAAGCTCAAAAGAAAAAAGTAAAACATATATATATCATGTCGTCATGTAAGCACAGTAAGCAAAATTGATATTCACTGAAACCAACCCAATAGATTCAATCTATATTGCTATGAAACCAATAATAGATAATTGAAATTTTTTTCTTTATATCTTATTTTCACAACAACATCTTTTTTCTCAGGTAAACAATATTTGTAATATGAATGATACAGATAACATCATCATATCTTTACTCCTAGCCATTCAGCTTCAGTTATCTGTCTTATGTGCCAATCAAAAACAAATGAAGATGGATATTAACAGCCTTGGAAATGAAATAATGATCAAAGAATCTCCAAAGCAAAATCTCTCTTTATTTATTAATGTAAGTTCAACTCAAAACAGTATTGCTGAAAACTAACTTTAACTTCAATAGACTTCAAGTGGGTTTATTTTCAAATCTGTGATCAACATTCATAATGTCACTTTAGAACATGTTTATCAAATGATGAGTCAACATCTTGGAATCAAGGTTACAGCATCCAAAAAAGCAACACTCAGGACCTGTATGAAACTTGTATGTAACGAGTTAGCCGCCCTTCCTTCTGTACGAGCTCTTGGCCCTCATCCTAGTTGGGGGTCCATATCTTCATGTGATCGAACAATGATTTGCAATAAACATGCAAACATGCTTAAGAGGGTTGGTATAGATTTCACCAGATGCCATCAAAATTGGGCATTCATTGCAAGAGTCAGTCATCTTTGGAAAGACCGTCAAAGGAGGCAATTGTAAGTAACTATCCACTGCAGTGTAAAGTAGTATATTTAATATTGGAAGTATATGATGTATCTGACTGTTTATAACCAATAAAAATGATGTATAAAATGTAATGTCTATCATAACAGCCAATAAAAGTGATATATAAAATGTAATTGTGTAGTGTAATAACCAATAAAAAGATAAATAAAAAAAATATTCATTTGAGAAACCAATAAAAATGTATTTGTATAAAATACACTACAGTGCAATTATGTCTTATTCAATAAAAACAATGATTAAGCAAGAAATATTTAAAAGAATCTAAATTAAAAGATTAATGAATTAGTAGTAACCAATGACATATAATATTTCAACTATACTTAAAGCAGTTTTGTCCAATAGAAAGACAAATATTAGCAAAAGAAAAGGTTATCAATATATTAATAGAATCTTAAAACTACCGGTAAGCGGAGATGTATTAAAATGCACATGAACTCAGGGTTGGAAAAAAGGGGGGAGGACACAAAACGCGCCCTGGCTTCCCCTCCGGAACCACCTGTGAAATCACCTCTAAAACTCCTATTTTTTTGGCGTAGTTCCTGATCGCACACCAAACCAATCTGTCTATCTTCAACAAGGAGAAAAATGGAGAACAAATTCATACTTCCAACAGCCCATGTTTACCCACAACAATGTTGATTTCTGGTCTGGTGACATTGTTCTGTTAAAAGATTGCTCACCTAACATTTGCTTTCTGGTGGAATCTTTCCATACAATGAATACATCTAATGTTTTCTCTTGTAGATATATTGTTCAAACTCCAAAAGATGGTTGTAGCATTGGCATCAAAATCAATCATACTGACATAAATATTGAATCATTTCTCTCTGTCAACACAACTCCATTAAACACCTCCTTATGTTGCAGCATCTCTCCTGACACAATTATCTTGCTCATTCCAACTAATTGTAAATTACTTGAAGAAGAACATTTTCTGAAGAGGCTTATATGCAACGGAACTGACCAAGAAAACAACCAAAGAAAATATTACAAGATAAAGATTGCATATGTAATTCTTTTCTCAGATGATACTTCTGGAAACACCTCTAAGCAATTTAATCCATACAAGAGCTAGTTGATGAAATGTGTGGCCCTCTCTTTTGAAGAAAGGTGCTCCACAGAAAATATCTTATTTATATCAGCAATTCCAAAGAAGAAAGGTACAAATGCTGCCTCGTTGTTACCTGAAATTGTTGATGATTTAAAGATGCTAGAAAACAGTGTGGTAATGTTCTCTGCAGAAGATAATGTATATGTTCTTGTGGTATCTGCTTTACTTTGGATTGAGGCAGATACACCTTGTCACTTAGAGCTTTGCTGTTTAGGTGTGTCCAACTCAACTTACCCTTGTAGAAAGTGTTACATTAAATTGCAAAGTCAAATCCCTAAGTTAAACGAAGTTGAATACTATACTAACAGACATCCAACAAGAACCAAGAATCATTATATCCAGGCCGCTTCTACACCAGACAGAGATACAGTGATTCCTGATATTCCTTACTTTGATGACAAAAACACAGCAGAAGAGTTAAGTTTTAAAAACAAGTCAATAGACAAACTACTAAAACTTAAAGCATATGACCAGTCAAAAGACACTCCTGCTGAAATATTGCACTACATTCTCCTTGGCATTCCAAAGTATCTTATCACCAGTCTGGTTAAAGTTGTTTTGAACAAAAACAAAAAAGAACTAGAAGAACTGTTTGATTACGTTAAAGACTACAAAAATTCCAGAGGCATATCAAGAGCGTTTACAAGGTCTCTCACCCATGCTGGTTCATTTCTTGGTAGAGTCTTCAAGGTACTAATTCAAATACTTCTGGTAATCCTGGCCATAAAGTTTGCAGATACAGAAGTATTACAGGAAATCACTCCCCTCTTTGTTCGTCTTGACTGTCTATGCTCTCTAGTATTTGTTCGATCTATTGACAATCAATACGAGACATATATCAGTGAAGTAGACTCTGCCATTAGAAGTCTAATTGAAGCCCTACACAAATACGACACTAACTGTAAACCTAAAAAACATGCATTCTATATGTCCAAGCCAAAAGTCCATCTGTTGACCCATCTACCTGAAGATTTACGAAGATTCAGGCCTGCTCTTAACTACAAGACCGAAAAGGGAGAGCAGTTCAACAAGCACATTTGTGAACACTTGTTTCATACAAACCGTATGAACACATTGAAAGATATATGTCTCAAATTTGGTAAACAATATATGACAAGACATATTATTGATGGTGGTTCATGGATAGGCAAGAATGGTTTAAGGGAAACCTGTGGAAAAGCTATTGCAGAATACATGCAACAAAACTCTGATAGGAAATTCCATGAAACTTTGCTTGGTGGGTCCAGAGAATTTGCAGACAACAACAGTACAGGTTTGACCTCTGGAAGGATATTAAAAGACAATACATTTGCTCTATTTAGACAAAGCAATAGATATATTATCATTGGAATAGTGCTTTTTTCTAAAGGATACCATTTGTATATCAAATATCTATCCGCACATGCTGTTAACAACATTTATCGTCTAGCACTCAAATATGCTGATGATATATACACGCCACTAGATGAATTGAAGGTTGTTTGTCTATTAGACATGCATCTGAAAGTTGGCTGTAAATATGTTGTTAATCTCAACAAATTTGGTTCATACTGGTCCTTCCTTTATTCCTTTTATTAATTTTTTATATCTTTTTTTTATCTCAATAAAACATTCCAATTTCTTTAAGTCATTTTTTAGTTCTCTTCTGTTACACTAGAAATACATTTGTAGATGTCTGTACTGCAAGCATTCCCTTATAAAGAACACAAGTTTTGATTTATAAGTATAAAAGGAAATTACACGAGCAATATATTTAGTAAGCCAATAAGATAACAGATGCGTTTTCAATTTCCTAATTTGATATCAGATTTCATTCATGGTGATAGCTGTGATCAGAACATAATTGAGAAAGCTATTATATGAAGCGAAATGATAGAAGAAGAAATTATTGTTGACTGTAAGCTAATTTTTTGACAAAGTCTTAAATAGGAAGAGAACATGCTTCATTAAGCCCATTACAGGCATCGTGAATTGCAGTCAGCAAAGGACACCAATACCAGACAAGAATGGTGGCAAAACTCAATGGGACAGAAGACAGAAGAACCAATGGCTTGCGGAGACAGGAAGGACAGTAGGACGGCGGCTGCACTCAGGCATTAGCGCCTATGACGCAACACCATGACAGCAAGGGCAAAGGAGGGAACCAGATATACAAACCCAGATAAATGGGTAGCTTCTGGGGGTTGAACCTGCGATCTTTCCATTGGAAGTACAAAGCTCTACCTACTTTACTAAGCAAGTAACTACGCCTTCTTGGCTCAGGTTAAAGATTATGTTTTATTAGAGAGATATGTTGCTGGCAATCTATAGATCATATAACATCTCAAGTACAAAAGAAAAAGCAAAAAAAGTCCGAAAGGATCATAAAAAGACAAAAAATAGAAAGAGAAGAAGAGAACTAACACTAATAAGCTGAAAGCTGTACCCTATTCTCCACTTTGCAGCTGTGTAAAAATGCTGTAACAGTGAAAGCAAGGAGATAGGAGTTCAAGCAAGCAGCCGTTTATGTGTGAAAAGACAAAAAGTGAAAGAAAATTAGATAGAAAAGAAAAAAGACAAAAAAATGAAAATGAAAATGAAAAAGAAGAAAAAAGGAAACTAGCTAAGTCCAGCTTAAAGAGTACCAAAGTGAGTTTTATGAGTGTAATCACCATCAGGATTACAAAGCTTGTCAAAATGCCAGAGAATAGTAAGCAGTGCTACCCAATAAGAGGGGCATGGAGCCTGACTAGAATTTGGGAGAGCAGTTATAGCAAAATCAATTGGATTACAGTTTTGATCAGATGGAATAGGAAGACAGACCAACAAATGGGCAGGAACCAAAGAGCAGACAGCAAGATGGCGACGTGAGATATGGTCAGTACCACAAGGACAATTCTTAGAAGTGCCAGGCAACTAACCCATTCTCCAGTAAACAAGGTGGCTACATTCCACCCTAGTTGCAGACAAGAACAGAATAGGATCTACTACCAAAAGAGGGCGGCATGCTAAGAATAAGACTTGGTTTGAAGACAATCAGAGCTCATCAGTTTTGAATTGTTGGAAGGTCTCAAAATGACGTTTCAGGGCTTTGCTACTATGAACATTTAAGTCAATAGGGATGCTTTGAAGGAGAGTATTATGATAAAGAGTGACAAGTGATGAAGACTGAGAGTAATGACGATGAAGGAGAGACAAGAGGCAGCCAGAGGGAAGGTAGTGAGCATGGATACAAAACTTGGTTATCAGCACATCAGCTCAAAAACTCATACTAGGAAGGAGATACATACGCTTGAGAACAGTGGTAGATGAGGTTTGGTACCCACTAACCATCATGTGCAAACATTTATCACGGATCTTCTCAAGCTGGATAGTATCAGTTCTTTTCAGAGGGAGAATAGCCAATCCATATTCAAATTTTGGTCTGATAAAAATCCTATACAGACGAGAGCTGAGAAGCAGAGAGAATCCAGTCTGGCATGCTCCAACTGCATTCAGCGTTGCCATGGTTGCCAGGGCTCCAGAACGACAATGAGTGACAATAGAAGGCCCATGAATACCTTTATTGCGAAAGGGAAAACCAAGATATATAAATTCCTCTACTGCAGGAAGAATCTCATTATATAGAGATAGATCTGGATGGTTTGTAGAACGAGAAGGAGGGTAAATGATAGCACATTTAGATGGACTCCAAGGAAAACCAAGAGTAAATGAGTGTTGGGCAGCCAAATGGAGCATAGCCTGAATGTCATGAGCAGAGCCAAATATTGCCACATCATCAGCAAAAAGAAGTGTATTTATTGGCGTTAATGAGACTGCATGCTGGTAGCCATCCATATCTGGAGGAGTAAGAAGAGACTGATATGCATCCAATGAGGAGGGAGACGATGATGGTACATAGGTAGAAGTGAGAGGAGATGCAACTGTGCGAAGAAGAGCTGGCAGGGAGTTGATGTAAATAGAGTATAGATGAGGACTGAGGACTGGACCTTGAAGCACACCTGTTTTTGGTGAAAATGAATGTGAGGAGAAATTGCCAAGAAGAACAGAGATAGACACATCATCAAACATGTTGACCAAAAGTCCAAGAAGAGCAGGTGATATGGATCGTCTGACAAGGGCATTCCAAATGACACGTCTATCCACAGTGTCATAGGCAGCTTTAATATCCAAGAAAGCAATAATTGGATAGTGGTGATGACAATGAAAATGAGCTTTCATCAGGTCATGCAGACAGAGAGCTTGGTCAAGAGCACCATGGCAAGAACGAAATCCACCTTGGGCAACATCCAGAGGAGGAGAGAATTTATGCAACTCAGGAGCTATGCACATCTCAAACAACTTGCACACCACAGAAGTAAGAGAGATGGGACAGTAGTTTGCAGCATCCAGAGGGTTACCCTTTTTAAATATAGGAAATACTTGGGCTTGGTGCCAGAGAGAAGGAGTGTATGACCATTGTCAGCAGATGGTGAAAAGAGAGGCAAGGAGAGATGAGATGTGAGACCAAATGGGCTTTAGCATTTCAGCTCTGATATGATCAGGCCCTGGTGCCTTGCGGTTAGGCATAAATTGCATGAATTCCTCCACAATTGATGAGTTAAATGGAGAGTCATCAGAGGCAAAAGGCACACTGTTATAAGTCGTTGTTGGTGCTGGTGGTCGGGTTGCTGGAAGTATATGTCCACTATATACTGTTGCTAAATGGTCACACATTGTTGCTGCTGCTACGGCTGGTCCATCGTCATGCTGGAAGGTATGTTGTGGCTGTCTACGGCGTTTTAACTGTTTTATTTTTGACGTTGCTTTGCTGAAATCACGTTCTATAGACTGACAAAACACATGCCAAGACTGGCGTTTGGCTTGCTGAACTTGGGATCAGAATTCAGCCTGTGCATGCTTGTGTTTAGTCCACCAAACAACTATGTCAATACCTATTGCTAGGCGCCATTTTTTATAACATTTGTTACGATGATCTGCTGCTGTTTGTAATGCCACATTCCAGAAGGATTTCCAATGGTTGGGGCGAGAGGGTCGATGTCCAATTGAGCTATTTAGTGAGTTGTAAATGAGTGAATTGAACTCATCAGTTATAGCATCTATGTCAGGTTTGGTGAGTGGCGGATTCAATACAATTTCTTGCAAGGTGGAAAGGAGGGAGGTTGAGTTTTGAGTGAAGATATGAGCATAAAGAGCATGGACATCAGGTTCATTGAGGCGTGAGAGGTTCCATGTCATGCGTAATGGTGGTGGCATATTGGTAGAGTGCTGTAGGTCATAGGTAAAGGAAAGTGATAAAAGGCGATGATCTGATCCAAGGGACAAGTCAGTAGCAATATGAAGAGAAGGATTGATGAGTGGCATATTAGTTATAAAGAGGTCAATAATACTGCTGATTTCATAGTTGTTGCGGAAAGAAATATATGTTGGTATGCACAGTGCAAGATCTGCATTTACAACTGATAGAGATCTCTCTTCTATCCAAGAACATAGTGCCAGTCCATGAGAATTTGATGCATAGTCACCAGTAACAGAGCCAAGTCTTGCATTGAAGTCACCACAAAGAATGGTATCATGTGTTAAAGGTATGGAAGAGAGTATATGTAGGACATCATGAGTGGGCATATTTGGTGGAAGATATAAGCATACAATTCTGAGTGAGCCAATTTTGACAGCCAGAGCATATTTTGAGGGCATAGGTATTTGAGTGACAGCATAAGGACAGTGAGATGAGATGAGAACAGAAACACCCATAGAGCCCCTATAGGTGCCAGCTACGGGAGAACCATATAGGTGAATTTGTGACCATGATGTGGGAAGACGTGAGGGGGAAAGGAGTTATGTTTCTGTAATGAAGAGCATATGTAAGGATTGATAGTGTTGAAGGGTATCTTGAATGGCTCTGGGTTGCAGGCCATTGGCATTCCATAATCCGATATTGAGATTACTCATTCAGACATAGTAACTGATGAGCTGCACTGACGTTTGAACAAAGACCTGCCAGTGACATTGGTAAGAGTAGTACGTGTTGGTATTTCATCTTCACTGATCCACCCTTCCTCACAAAAGAAGTGACCAACTGGAATAGCAATGTGTGGGCGCAAGAACTGAAGGGCTTGGAGACATCTATCATGGTGAAGCATGGCAGCAGTGTTGGCAAGTTCATGAGTGGACAGAGATGCATACTTAGGATCAGCAACATTATCAGGGTCAAGTGGATCAAATGCGTCCAAAATCTCAACAGAAGCAGTTGTCAGTTTGGCCTTAAATGTATCAGCATACTGGACATGAACAAGGATGCCAATGACACCTCTGGCTGGGAAGTTAATGTCCAAAAGTCGAGAAGAATCCACACCAAGAGTGCAGAGAGAGGAACGGACTTCTTTGTGCTTAAGGCGTCTTGATCTTGGAATATAAACATATTCATAACCCGAAGGACCAGAGGGAAGAGCAAACATACGGACAGAAGCTGCAATTTGGCGAGCAGAGGGAACAGTAGGCACTTTTGGTGCAATTGCAGGAAGAGAAACACTGGCTTTACTAGCCCAAGTGGAGGCTTCCAGACCTGATTCTTTGTTGTTGATATGAGGATCTACCGCGCCGGCTGAGTTCGAAAGTGAAATTTCTGAAAAGTTTTTTTCAGGTGCACTCTGAGATCCTAATTGCTTCTGCAGATTAGCAATTGTTGTTCTAGCATGGTCTAATTCAGTGGTTAGTCTTGCATTCTCTGCTGCAAGTCGCTCCAACTGGTCGGTTCTGTTTTGCACATTCATGATTTGTGCCTGCAATGTCGTCAGGAATGAGGTAAGCTCAGTTGGTAATCCCTGCATGTTGCCGATTTGCAAATTGGCCATTGGGATTGAGAATGCAGATGGCGTGATGTTATCTGATTGAGCTGAAATTTTTTTTTGCTGACAGCTGGGATACCAAGGACAAGGACTGCACTACTTTTGGCAATGGGAGGTACGTTTTTCGTGATGGATGTATCGTTTTGCGTAAAGATGTTGATGGATGGATACACTTTATATGTAGATTCGTCAAAAATAAAATTTTGGAACCAGACAAATAAAATGCTTAAGCGAAAGAGCAGTGCCTTCTTGGCTCAGGTTAAAGATTATATTTTATTAAAGGAGATAATGCTGGCGATCTATAGATCATATAGCCTCCAAAGTACAAAAAGAAGATATAAAAAAGTCCCAAGGGATCACAAAAGACAAAAAAAAGAGAGGGGAAAGAGAAGATCAAATCATACTAGCTTCAATGGCTGAATCTGCTCTCCACTTTGCAGCTGTGAAAATAGTTGTAACAGTGAAAGGGAGGAGACAGAATTGCAGAACAAAGAACTTTTCAGACAGCAAAGGACAAAAGAGAAAGAAGAGAGATAAAGGGAGTAAAGAACAATGGGAAGTGAAGAGCTATGAAAGAAAAGAAAAAGTCTAAATTATATCCAAAGAGCACCATGTTCAGTCTCATGTGAATAGTCACCATCAGGATTACATATAACATCTATGTGCCAGAGAATAGTCAGCAGTGGTATCCAGTAAGCAGGTCGTGGTTCTTGAGATGACAAAGGCAAGGATGTGATGGCAAAATCAATTCTGTGTATCTGATCTTGGTCAGGTTGAGGCAACTGTTCAAATAGTGCCATAGGAACAAGTGGGCAATCCAACAAATGGCGGCGTGAGGTGTGATCTGATCCACAAGGACATTCCTTTGGTTTGCCTGGTAACCACCCCATTCTCCAACGAATCAAACGGCTACGTTCCACACGTGAGGCTGGCAAAAACAAGATTGGATCAACTCCAAGAACTGGGCGGCATGCTTGAATGAGAACTTGCGTATTGGACTGGAGAAAGGTTGCAAATCCAGCTTCTCTAATGCTTTCAAAATGATTTTTTACAGCACTAGGGCTTCGAAGTTTGAGTGTTGGAGGGAGATTGGACAGAAGATGGGTTTTTCCCAAGGAGACAAGTGAAGAATAGATGGTATGATGACGGTGCAAAAGAGACAGAAGGCACTGGGCTGGCAAAAAGCGTGATCTTATACAGAACTTGGCCATAAGAGCATCGGCACGAAACTTCATACTTGGCAGATTGCAGATGTGCTTTAACACAATTGTAGAGGACGTGGCATGCCCCCCAACAATCATGCGAAGACACTTATCTTGAATGGACTCCAGCACTTTGATATCTTGTTTCAGTAGAGTGGAGATCGCCAAACCATATTCAAACTTTGGGCGGACAAAGGTCTTATACAATCGTGAACTGAGCAGCAGAGAAAAACCAGAACGACAAGCACCAACAGAGTTTAGGGTTGCCATTGTAGCAAGTGTACCAGAACGTCTATGAGTGGCAATGGACTTGGAAGAAATACCCTTATTGGCAAAAGGAACACCCAGATAAATAAACAGGTCAGTGGCAGGGAGAACTTGACCATATAAAAGAAGAGGAACTGGCGAGCTTGCACGTGTTTTGGGATATATAACTTCACATTTGGTGGGGCTCCATCGATATCCAAGAGTAAGAGAGTGGTCTGCAGCAAGGTCTAGCATGGCCTGAACGTCTGAAAGAGAACCAAAAATAGCTACATCGTCGGCAAAGAGCAGAGAATTGATGAGTGTTGAGAAATGAATATGTCCAAAGCCATCTACACCTGAAGGAGCAAGAAGAGCATTATATGCATCCAATGAGGTAGGAGAGGGTGATGGAACATGGGTTGTAGTTTGTGAGTGAGCAACTGTGCAGAGCAATGGGGGCAGGGAGTTGATATATATTGAATACAGATGTGGGCTGAGGACAGAACCTTGGAGAACCCCAGTGGCAGGTGAGAACGAGTGTGAAGAAAAGTTATCCAGAAGGACAGAGATGGAGACATTGTCAAACATGTTAACTAAGAGGCCCAAAAGGGCTGGTGGAGTGCCACGTTGTTGTAAAGCGTGCCAGATGATTCGTCGATCTACTGTATCATAGGCAGCCTTGATATCCAGAAATGCAACAACAGGGTAGTGCTTATGACGGTGATAATAGGCTTTCATCAGATCATGGAGACAGAGAGCTTGATCCAAAGCACCACGGCGAGGACGAAAACCACCTTGAGCCACATCCAAAGGAGGAGAGTACGTGTGCAACTGGGGGGCTATACACATCTCAAAAAGCTTACGTAGTACAGAGGTCAAGGAGATTGGTCGGTAGTTTGCCGGGTCAGTTGGACTACCCTTCTTGAAGATTGGGAAGACCTGGGCTTGGCGCCACAAACTTGGAACATATGACCATTGCCAGCAAACTGTAAATAATAAAGTAAGAATGGGTGAGACATGTGTTTTTACAGGTTTTAGCATTTCAGCTCTGATATGGTCTGGTCCTGGTGCCTTGCGGTTAGGCATAAATTGCATGAATTCCTCTACAATTGGTGAGGTAAAGGGAGAGTCATCAGAGGCAAAAGGCACACTGTTACAAGTGGTCATTGGTGCTGGTGGTCGGGTTGCTGGAAGTATATGTCCACTATATACTGTTGCCAAATAGTCACACATTGTTGCTGCTGCTACGGCTGGTCCATCATCGTGCTGGAAAGTATGTTGTGGCTGTCTATGGCGTTTTAACTGCTTTATCTTTGATGTTGCTTTGCTGAAGTCACGTTCCATAGACTGACAAAAGACATGCCAAGACTGACGTTTTGCTTGCTGAACCTGAGATCGGAATTCGGCCTGTGCATGCTTGTGTTTAGTCCACCAAACAACTTTGTCAATACCTATTGCTAGGCGCCATTTTTTGTAACATTGGTTACGACGATCTGCTGCTGTTTGCAAAGCTACATTCCAGAAGGATTTCCAATGATTTGGGCGAGAGGGTCGATGTCCAATTGAGCTATTTAATGAGTCATAAATGAGTAGATTGAACTCATCAGTGATAGCATCAATGTTGGGTCTAGTGAGTGGTGGATTCTGTACAATGTCTTGCAAGGTGGAAAGGAGGGAGGTCGAGTTTTGATTGAAGGTATGAGCATAAAGAGCATGGACATCAGGTTCATTGAGGCGTGAGAGGTTCCATGTCTTGCGTAATGGTGGTGGCATATTGGTAGAGTGCTGTAGATCATAGGTAAAGGAAAGTGATAAAAGGCGATGATCTGATCCAAGAGACAAGTCAGTAGCAATATGAAGAGAAGGATTGATGAGTGGCATATTAGTTATAAAGAGGTCAATAATACTGCTGATTTCATAGTTGTTGCGGAAAGAAATATATGTTGGTATGCAAGGTGCAAGATCTGCATTTACAACTGATAGAGATCTCTCTTCTATCCAAGAACATAGTGCCAGTCCACGAGAATTTGATGCATAGTCACCAGTAACAGAGCCAAGTCTTGCATTGAAGTCTCCACAAAGAATGGTATCATGTGTTAAAGGAATGGAAGAGAGTACATGTAGGACATCATGAGTGGGCATATTTGGTGGAAGATATAAACATACAATTCTGAGTGAGCCAATTTTGACAGCCAGAGCATATTTGGAGGGCATAGGTATTTGAGTGACGGCATAAGGACAGTGAGGTGATATGAGAACAGAAACACCCATAGAGCCCCTATAGGTGCCAGCTACAGGAGACCCATACAAGTGAATTTGTGACCATGATGTGGGAAGATGTGAGGGAGAGAGAAGCCATGTTTCTGTAATGAAGAGCATATGTAAGGACTGACAGTGTTGAAGGGTATCTTGAATGGCTCTGGGTTGCAGGCCATTGGCATTCCATAATCCGATATTGAGATTACTCATTCAGACATAGTGACTGATGAGCTGCGCTGACGTTTGAACAAAGACCCGCCAGTAGCATTGGTAAGAGTAGTACGTGTTGGTATTTCATCTTCACTGATCCACCCTTCCTCACAAAAGAAGTGACCAACTGGGATAGCAACGTGTGGGCGCAAGAACTGTAGGGCTTGGAGACATCTATCATGGTGAAGCATGGCAGCAGTGTTGGCAAGTTCATGAGTGGACAGAGATGCATACTTGGGATCAGCAACATTATCAGGATCAAGTGGATCAAATGCGTCCAAAATCTCAACAGAAGCATTTGTCAGTTTGGCCTTAAATGTATCAGCATACTGGACATGAACAAGGATGCCAATGACACCTCTGGCTGGAAAGTTAATGTCCAAAAGTCGAGAAGAATCCACACCAAGAGTGCGGAGAGAGGAACGGACTTCTTTGTGCTTAAGGCGTCTTGATCTTGGAATATAAACATATTCGTAACCTGAAGGACCAGAGGGAAGAGCAAACATACGAACAGAAGCTGCAATACGGCGAGCAGAGGGAACAGTAGACATTTTTGGGGCAGTTACAGGAAGAGAAACACTGGCTTTAGTAGCCCAAGTGGAGGCTTCCAGACCTGGTTCTTTGTTTTTGTCAGGAGCACCTACTGCGCCGGCTGGGTTCGAAAGTGAAATTTCTGAAAAGTTTTTTTCAGGTGCACTCTGAGATCCTAATTGCTTCTGCAGATTAGCAATTGTTGTTCTAGCATAGTCTAATTCAGTAGTTAGTCTTGCATTCTCTGCTGCAAGTCGCTCCAACTGGTCGGTTCTGTTTTGCACATTCATGATTTGTGCCTGCAATGTTGTCAGGAATGAGGTAAGCTCAGTTGGCAATCCCTGCATGTTGCCAATTTGCAAATTGGCCATTGGGATTGAGAATGCAGATGGCGTGATGTTGTCTGATTGAGCTGAAAATTTTTTTGCTGACAGCTGGGATACCAAGGACAAGGACTGCACTACTTTTGGCAATGGGAGGTACGTTTTTCGTGATGGATGGATCGTTTTGCGTAAAGATGTTGATGGATGGATACACTTTATATGTGGATTCGTCAAAAATAAAATTTTGGAACCAGGCAAATAAAATGCTTAAGCGAAAGAGCAGTGCCTTCTTGGCTCAGTTGGCAGAGCGTCTGCCTAGTAAGCAGAAGGTCGCCAGTTCAATTCTGGCAGAAGGCATCTACTATTAAAATAGTAGAACTCATTTTTATTATTTTAAGTGATATTGCTCATGTTGTGCCCAAATTCTTGTAAGCCAATCTGAATGACGATAATGTCAAGTCTCGATCCGGTATTTCTTTTCTGGCACTTGTAACTAAGTTGCAGAATCAATACCCCTGGAAATTGTTAAGTTTTTAAGAATAGTTTTTAGCTAAAAATCATGATGCTTTTTATTAAATGTATTTTTTAACTATTTATATAAAATAATAATTGATTTCTGGCTAAAAGAATAGCTACAATAATATGTCTTAGATGCTTGTTTTCCAGTAATATCTTCTACAAGTATATTCACCATCTTAAACATCTAAAACATGTGTGAAAGACCAATTGGCAAAGTCAAGATCTTTTATCCTAAAAAGTCAACCATTACTGGTTGCTTGTAAATTCCGATTTTGGTTACCAATGTCAACTCTGACAGTAAGAAAAAAATTGTCAGGCTTTCTTAAAAAACCTGGCAAACCTGGCAACTTTTTTAATCTCCTACAAGTTTTACCATGTTTATGTTGTTTGCAGCTTAATTAGGTATATGAATACTGATATTGAAATAAAAGTTTATTGCAGAAGACTCTTAAAGCTATATTAAGAAGTCAAGAACTCATAATCTTTATTATTAATCCAGTAAAACCATTGATAATTGAATATCACACTGCCTTTTTTTTAGAAAAAAAAAACACTTTTATAAGACATGATATGACATATAAACATTCATAAATGAAATCAATGCAATCTGTTGTGAATGAGTATTGATTACTGCTGAATCTGAGAGTAAGACTGAAGGATAAAATAATATCCTCAGCTATTCCAGTCAAACGGATCTCCCTTTATGATATTATCTAATACACAGATCATCATACACATAATTGATTATTTATTATTATCACCATGACATGGGATATACAAATACATATACATTATATATATGGCATCATTATATTTCATCTACATATTTCTTTTATTATATAAATACTTAATTGAGAGACTACAACTACAACTATCTAATATTATGAAACATTACCCAAGTATCTGGGTCGGAATACTAAAATATTACCAATAGCATAAATGCTCTTCTTTACCAAAACTCTTGGACTGATCTGACTGGAGAAGTATCATATTAATTGGTCTTTCGGGATCTTTCCAGAAGAACAATACTCCTGGAAGATGACTCATCGTGATAAAGATTAATTAAGCACACACTGAATTACAAATTAGAAAAACATATAAATATCAGTAGATAGTTCCGTGTAGAAAGACAATCGAATTTTATCATTCTTTACTTTTCTTTTGAAATAAACAACCTACACAAGTTCTCACGAATTCTTTCGTCTATATTATATTTTGCTTTATTTTCTCCCCACAACACAATCAATGCAATCCAAGTAATAAATAACAACTTTGCAGAATTTATTATGTTTTTATACTGATATTCAGTTATTGTACTGAGGCTTAGATTTTTCTCTTTTCAAAAGTAAACAACAAGTGCTTTTTAAGTACACTAAAATTTTTTTTCTTTAATCAAGATCATAAAATCAATGGTACATTTAGTAATTTTTATACTAAATAATATTATTATAGAATAATACTGCTATCACTAGAAAAATTAAGTGTTTTTATCTTGTCAAAAATCTAATTTTATCTAGATAAAAGAATGTTTTATGCTCAATAAAAATCACTGCAAAAGACCACTGATTTTAGTTCCTGAAAACTTGCAAAAATTTTACTACAATTTTCGATTTTTAATTTTTTCAAATAATTTCTATTTTTTTCTGTTGTGATTTCAGATCGCTCTTTTTTAGCTGTAAAATCATACTACCGTCATTTTTTTTAGCCATAAAATTACAAAATTGGGTTTTTTTGTATTATATACTTCTTTGATATAATTCTAAATTACACTGAAAAAACACTTATACAAAAGTTAATATAATATTTAATAAAAATTATATATATTCTTAAGGTTTCACTTTTTCTATTTCAAAATAAATCATTTAAATATTTTTTATGTATTATAAATGTGAATATAAGAACAAATATTTAATCAATATATTTCAAGGGAACGAGACAAAAGGTTGTGATTTCATTTTTACTGTGGCAATATTTTTGCATGATTTTTCCCTTTGATATATGGAACTAAAATATTAGATTTTTTTATTTCACATGTTGTGAAAGGCGAATGTTCCATTTTTGGATTATTTTTTGTCATGGTCAAATCATCATCATACCAAATATTATAATTCTAAAAAAAGACTTTAAAAAAAATTGCATACACTTTTAGTAATATATGCAGTATTTGACTTGGTTAATGACTTAACGATATATGAGTATAATTATGATGATATGTGCAGTAGATGTATCAAAGAATTACTTGGCATACTATAGTCATGGCATAGAGCAGTATTTTATCTATTTATAATTTTTTTTGATATATAAAGACCTTGATCAAGATCTCTTAAAATCTATATAATTTTTTTTATAATTTAAAACAATCGACATGTCCAATAATCAAAAGAAAGACAGTTATGTTATCTGCAAATGTCCAGATTGTACAAAGTTGGATAGCTGTGGAAAGAAACAGAAAAGACAAAATGCACAATGACACTATGAGAAACATATAGTGCCTGTTGCCAAAGACAATGCAATGGGTAAATAACAAGAATAACTCGAGCTGTACATGTAAAATTAATATAAATTAATTCATAAAATAGATGTTCCTGAAGAACATTTTGACAACATAGAAGTAGATAGTATTGACAGTGACATTGACAATGATTATGATTCCAAAAACGAAGGAGAAGGCGAATATGAAGATGAAAATGAAGAACAAAACATTGAATTTGATCAAGAAGGTAAGAAAATAAAATAAAATAAATGAACAAAATAATAATTGAAACTGATATATATATTTTTATTTTTTATTTTTTATATGATTATAATTGTAATTATATTTTTATTTCTACATCTTTACAACAATTATTCCTTTCCAGTTGACTTACCTTTGTCTCAAGAAGAGTCCATCTTTACTGCCGAAGATACAATTACAGGAGCATTTATGGTTGATGGCGATGAGATTGAAGAAGGCAATACCAGTTTTGATTTTGAACAAGAAGAAAACTTTGATGAGACTAGTGGGACCTCGATAGTAGAATCAAGTATGAATTAATATGGTATAGACAATTAATCAATATATTAATTTGAACTAACTTAACCTTTGTCTTCATAGTCCGTCCTTCATCTTTTGATAACATGCCCTTTTATATCCGCTTTGTTGCAGTATTCATTGTCATATTTCACTTGATCTTTTTGATGGAAAGCAGTGGATTGATTCTCATTGAATTTTGTAATACTCTACTGTCTCTCTGTGATATGTCTGGTGCCCTTCCACTGACGATCAATAGCTTGAAGCATAAAACAGGATTTAACATGGTAACAGACGGAATGACAGTATACATTGCATGCTCACAATGTCATTCGATTTATCCTCCAGAAACAAGTCAAAGAGTCTGTACATTTAAGAAATTCTCTCAATCTGCCATTTGCAACAACAATCTCTTTAAAGTATCAACTGGAAATCGTTCTCTTCCAGCAATGGTATATCCATTCCACTCTCTGAAGTACGCCTTGCAACAAAAACTCTCCAAGCCAGATTTCGTGTCCAAGATCAATTTGTGAAGAAATTGTCAAATAATTGAAAACACCAAACTTGACATTTTCGATGGTGCAGTTTGGAGTGATATTAAAGACATCAATAGCAGACGGTTTGTTGATGATAGCCGATCTTTAATGTTGACTCTGAATATCAATTGGTTTCAGCCATTTGATGGACGAACACATTCCAGTGGTGCGATATATCTCTCTATCAACAATCTCCCACGGAGTGAACGCCTTAAGTCTGAAAATGTCATTCTTGTTGGTACAATGCCTGGGCCGAAGGAAGCAAGCACTGACAGCATGAATCATTACTTGAAGCCGCTCGTTGACGAATTGTTGGAGATGTACATTGGTTTAGAAATGACAGACTCACAAAATAGAAAGATTGTTGTTTGTGCTGCATTGATGTGTGTTGCCTGTGATATCCCTGCCGCTTGCAAAACCTCTGGATTTACTGGCCACATGAGCACATGTACCTGTCACAAATGTCAATGACAATTTATGACTATAAAGAAGACTAGCAAGCTTGACTACTCTGGATTCAAGTATAGCAATTGGGTGAGACGCATGAAGACAATGAATCTGGAACACACTGTCAGCTGGGCAAATGCATTGAACAATACTGAGCAAACACGCCTAGAAAAATAAAACAGCACTCGGTGGTTAGAGCTTCATTGGTTATCTTACTTTGACCCAGCCCACTTTACAGTTATAGACCCAATGCATAACCTCTATCTTGGAACTGCAAAGCAAATGATTCAGATATGGCGCGAGTGTAACTACATCAATGAAAAGAATCAGTTAACTATGCAAGAGCTTGCCAATGGTATTGTTGTACCTTGTGGATATGCACGTATAGCAAAGAAGATTGCTGATGGTTTTTCATTCATGAAAGCTGACGAGTGGAAGTCGTGGTGTGTCATATACTCTCCATTTGTTCTGAAGCATGTGCTCCCAGCCAAGAATCTCGAAAACTGGATTTTGTTTGTTAACTCATGCCGCTTACTCACAAAACCTTCGATTAATGACAAAGAAATAGATGAAGCCCACAGTAAACTCCAATTGTTTTGTACAAGATTTCAGACACTATATGGAAAATCGGCCGTGACACCAAATATGCATCTACATCTTCATCTTGGCAAGTGTGTTCATGACTTTGGGCCAATTTATGCTTTCTGGTTATTCAGTTTTGAGAGATACAATGGTTTGTTGAAGAATATTGAAACAAATCAAAAAGGCAGCTTCGAATCAACGATGATGAAGAGATTTTTGGAGAGAACATACATTGGCAGCTTCATACAATCTTTTGTCAACCATTTTCCCCAGTTTGCAATTGACTTTCTGCATCGCATTTCAAATAGTCAAGATCAATTAGCAGCATTGCATCCATCTTCTACTGCCAGTACCTTTTCTCTGTCTGACTTTGTTGAATATTCGTTAAACCCTTGTCATTCTGCTTTGGGTTGTGAGCCGTTGCCCCCTTCAGTGTTTCTGATTAAACTCGACCAAAGGATTACAATGTGCAAGGGACATTATGAATGTTTACTGGAGTTTTACAGACACGCGTATGGCAGTCACGATCTTTTTGGCCATTATTCAAACTGCGAGTCTAACCAGATTTTTGTCAATAACCGAATTGAAAAAATGAAATGAATATCTCTTCTTGGACAGGAATACTCTTCTGGATCTTATTTTCGCACCTATTATCTTGAGAATAACAGTGAAGATAAAGCAGCATTTCCTGGCCGTATACTGTATTTATTTCAACATTTGTTAACCATCAATGAAACTGTCATCACCCATACTTTTGCGTTTGTTGAGTGGTACTCTAGTTATTCTTCGGGGAGTTACCAGCCAATGTTAAATGAAGGCATTGAGCTCTGGAATAAACCTTCTTCTGTATTTAATTATGAATGTATTATTCCAGTACATTGTTTATATTCACCAATCACAATTGCAAAATATAGGTTTACTATAACTAGTGAATTTAAACGTTTAGTAATCCCTTTACCCCAAAAAATAGAAGCTTAAATAATATTAATAAAATACTATTTTGCACTCTTTTATCAATTTATTAGAAAATATTTGATTTATTATCTTATTGTTTCTTTGACCATGATGGCAGCTTGTTTGCCTTGGTCTTGCTAAGCTGCTTATCTCTTATCCCTTTAAATTTATGCTCGAATGGATGGGTATTATTTTTCTTATCATGAGCTGCCTCATAATCCGCATCAAGTTCATCAACAAACCTATCTCCCTATATGTCAATGTAAGTATTATTACACACCATCCAAAAAAATAGTTTTTTGTACTATACCTCTTTGCTTCTCCAGCTTGGGTGGAATTTCCAAAAAAAACTCTTTTCTGAGAACGAATCCTGTTCCTCTTCTTCTCTTTTGTCATCACTCTCAAGGTCTGACATGTAATCAGCATGGAGAATACTGTCAAAATTCTCTCCAAAGCTGTTCACAAAGTGTGTCCAATTGGCTTTCAAGGCAGATCGTCTTCTTTCACACGACTATATATAAATATATAATATTTCTAATTTAATATCACATCTAGTATATTGTGTGCATGTGTTTTTTATCTTTACACGTCGCTGACAAAGACAGGCCCATCGATTCTCTTCCTGCTTCTTTTCTCCTGTTTTTTTTCTTGCAACTTTCTGTTGCCAATGTGCCGTACAATCTTAGTTCGAAGAGTTGACAAGTCCACCTTTTATCCCTCTTCTTGACGACAAAGATAATTGGTAACAGACTTCAGAACGAGTCTGTTTCCCTCACTGTTTTTATTTTCATTGGTATTATATTGGTCATACAATTTCTCTTCACTCAAATAATTGCGTAACAATTGCTATAATATAAATGTATATTAAATTCTATCTACATAAAAACATATTATGATTACTTACATCCAATGTTGGTTGACGTCCAAGCGACATGTCTTGCTCAACTGCATTACTAGCAGTGGCTTCGGCTTTCTCGGAAGATGTGTTCTTCAAAACAGTGTTTAAGACACCATTCATGGTATCAAGTTTCTCGTACACATCATGGATGTTACGAGTTCTACCCGACGAATCACCTTCAAGATTCAACCGAGCTCTCTTTGGTGCTAGTGATCTTTGATTGCTCACTGTTCCCTGTGAGTGTTGCAACATTATCGTCCTTATATCATTGGTATTTCTTGGTGGGCTTTTTTTTTGATTTTTATAAAAAACGAAAATAAAATTAATATAAGAAAATTGAAGACTGCCTGGTTTTAATCTACCTTCCCACAGAAGGTTCTTCACCAAAAGCATTGTTAACTGAATTGTTATTGAGATTTCTTGACATTGTGAATAATAAGAATAACTTGTTTTTTTTTAAATCTAAAGGGTCTATTTATATTATGTTTAATTTGGGCTTTAAGTTTTATTCTTTCTCAGAGAACACCATAATCTATTACATAACAAGAACAGTTTTGAATGTTTCCACTCTTGTTGTGAGTATTTTATGTGTTTCTTTAATTTAATTTTCAATACATGTTTTATTCTTATATTATGTATTAGTATTTGAATAATATGGTTTTATACTATACTCTGTTTTTCATATGTATTAGCTGCTGGCATAGTGCAACTGCATTTTCTTTCAATTTTAAGTTACAGACAAAAATTATTTTTTGATTTATTTATTTTTAAAAAAAAACCCCGAATTCGTATTTAATAGAATAACCGCGCCCTCTTTTTTATTTTCTCTTTCTTTAACCTGCTCTTCTCGTTTTGTCTCTTTTTATATGTCTTGGTAAGCTTACTCTTAAGATCTCAACTTTTATTAATACTTTTGGCTTTTAGAATCATCTTAATATATATTAGATAAACAATACACTCAACAAGCATTCAAAACAGTACAGGTAATAAACAATCTCCTAACAAAAATGAAACACCTTGCTGACTAAATATCTTTTATTTTTAAAATGATAGGGCTTCTACCCATTTTGTAATAAAAGATGTTTTGCTCTTGACACTATATACTTTCTGGTATTTTCAGTCTATGAAAAGGTAATATATATATAACTCAACTTAAATAATGTAACTTATCAATTCTTCTTCTCAGATAAATATGTCACGCCTTTTTTTCAAGTCATACTGGTTTCCCCCCTTTTGCAAACGCGTGTCTATAATATGTAAGTAATTCAAGTGTCTTTACAATCAAAGCGTACATATTAATAAAGTTGTTTATTTTATTTCTTGCTTTTTTTTAAAAGAAAATATCAATCAAACGGATTTTTATTCTATTGCGAGATTTGTTATGAACCCCCATAAATGATCTAGTAAGTATGTTATTTCATTTTATTTCATAAAGAAACATGTATTAATACTACTGTATCTTTTTTTGCTCTAAGCTAATGTAGTTCCAAACAAACATATTCTCCAAGAAAATACCAAGGATTTTATTTTCAGTTAAAGAAGTGTAAAACCAAAAAACGCACCAAATACATGAAACCAATAAGGTAGGGAAGTATAGTATAAGTCAGGTCATCCAATGTATTCAAGCCGTCCAATAAATGCAAGTATAACATGTATACAAGTCGTACTATTCGAATACACACTTTTAAAAAAATATTAGTGGTCCATATTAAATAGCTAAATATATTTTCCAACCATTCAAAAATCAATAAAAACCATTTTTTTCATGAGATTCTATTTCAAATGCATCATCTCTTGATGATGTCAACAAGATCTATTTAAGTTTTTTTTTACAATCATTCATTTGAATGCTGGTTCCTGTCAGATTTCAGACTGATTCTAGGTCAATTTTAGTGAGATCTATCCAATAATATCATGTAATTAAAGCAAATAAAATTTTTTAAGAGGTAGAGAGTTCAAAGCCAATTCCATAACAAGTAGGGTTTAGATACGGTTTGAAGTTATGGGTGAATATATAACCAGAATTACAGACAATTATAACATTTCAAGAAAAGAGGGAATTATAACTCTCAATTTATCTATTGATTTTAGTATCTATAATCTCATTATTTGGTTAACTAAATGAATCAATTTTTGTAACAAATACTGAACTATAATTGAACATAAACCACCAATTTTTGGAGGATTTAAACAAAAATTAAGCTACTTAAATCGGTTGTCTTTTGCAGTGAATTGTCTTTCATTGAGATAAAAATTGAATTTTTATCTGATTAATAAAGCACTTTATTTAATGTAAATTGATATTGAATCCCAATATGGAAGGGTTGTTTGTCCCCACTTTACACCAACCCTTAATTAATATAGTATCTGTGCTATATTCTTTATAGATATACCCTCTTATATTCTATAAGAGCTAATTCTTATTAGAACAAAAGGACTACTCCAAAACAAAGTGTTTTTATTACATTTTCTGATTATATTTTGACGGTCACAAAAAGGATGAAAACAGATAATCTTAGGCGTATAAACAAGATAAAAACAGATAATCTCAAGCATGAAGAGGATGAAAACAAATAATTCAAGCATTGGAAAAATGATAACAACAGATAATTTTTTTCCACACAATTTTCAAGATTTTGGTTTATTTATTTATTTTTGATTTGGAAAACATGAATTGATTTAATGATTTGATTTTTGTTTATTTGATAGAAAAATATTTTTAATTGAATATAATAAAGTTATAGTTATTTATTTATTCTTATTATTAAAAGCTTCTGTTACATATTTGATATTGTTTTTTTCCTAGTTATACATAATTGCTGTGATATTTATTTATTTCATGTAATTTACTTACTTGGGTTACTAAAAAATTTAAAAGTGAAAGACAAAAAGTTAATTGATGGTCCAAAACAGTTTAATAAATGTGAAAGCAATACATATATTGAGTGTATGTTTGACTGAATATATTGTGAAAAGTTCAATAACATTGGCTATCACACCCAAAGATTTTTTTTGTAAACCTTAAGACTGTTTTTGAAATAACGCACTATTCTATAAACAGTAGTCAAGTTGGCCAACAAACCTTCCTTATATAGAATACACAGCAGCCACATTGACCCCCCAACTCTCTTCCCCCATTGAGTACTGTTAATTTCCCAATCAGAAAAGAAAGTCACAACTTAAAAGATTCTTTGATTTTGATTTTTTTATAAAGACAATTTTAAAAAAAATAACAATTAAAAATAAAATAAAAAAGATAGTAGTTGATAGTATATAATTGATAATTGATAATAAAAAAAAATAATAAAAAAAATTATGTTTGTTGAGGTGGACGGGATTGAGAGGGGAAGCCATGTTCTTTCTGCTTTTTGTATGCAAACTTCAACATATTTAAGAACTGGCTCATGTCTTCTGGAATTCCCTTGTACTCAGCTATCTTGCTGTCAAGTTCAACAGAGTATAATTGACGATACTTCATGATATCAGCTTCTATCTCATCAGAAAGAAGGGAAGTGTCAACTACTGCTTTAGTATCAGTATTAGATACATAGACAGCAGAGGGAGAGGAGGAAAGACTTTGACGCAAAGAGTAGGAAATGTCTAGTATACAATTGATGAGAAAGATATGCTTGCAAAGCTTGGAAGTATCAGGGCAAGTGCAGTTTTGCAGAAAACCATTCTGTAGCTCAATGTTGTATATAACAAAATCAACTGTGAATGATCAGCAAGTGAATGCAGTATCACTCAATTTCTCAACCATTTCCATAGCAGTATTGCTATCTAACATGTATACATTTCGCCTTTTTTGCTCTTCTTGGTGTGTAAGACATACTGATTGGAATCCATATAACGTCTTAACGTTCTCTTGTCTGTAGTCAAGAGTCAAGACTTTGGCCAGAAGATAAATAAGTCTATCTACTCGAAGAGATCTTGCACGTCCAAGATAGAAAGTCTTCAGCTGATTGTAATAAGACTCTATTAAATTATTGGTGTGAAAGGTTGCAGCCTATTGTTTATATTACATATTAGAAATGAGCTAATAATTAATAAAGTTTTATACCAATCTCTATGCTTTGTACCATAATTCTTTTTTTGGCACCCACATTCTGTTAAAGTACAAAATAAAGTTCTTATATTCTCTAAATTTCACAAGAAATTCATTATACAATGTATCATAGATAAGAGAAGTTGTTGCATGCATCATATTACTCAATATAGCACAAACACTCACTATGGCGGAGAAAATGATAACATTTAACACTTTGGTAACATAACTGCCATTTTTTACTTAATAAAAAATGGCTGTTATAACTCTTTATAAGGCCAAAACAGGCACTGTTACCATTTTTTACTATGTAAAAAATGGCAGTTATTTATTATGTAAAAAGCCAAAACAAGCACTGTTACAATTTTTTCAAAAAAAAATCAAGCGTCCTTCCTTTTCTCTATTACATTCTTTCTTTTGTTCTATTGCTTTCAATTCTAGCACAGCCTCTTGTTTTTCCTTTGCAGCTTTAACAGAATGGTCTGTTTTTTATTATACAGTATTGAACCGGGTTTAATTGAATTGAATCTTTATTTCAATGCATGTTTTTTTAAATGAAAATGATAATAATAGTAGTAATAATAAAAAAACAATTCCATTGGCCACTCACAATAAAAAATGGTTTTGTTTAGCTACTGCAAAACGTATGCAGTAAAACACTACTATTCAAATTTTATTTCATATACTTTGGGTATTCTAATATATCTTAGATAGCACTTATTATTTTTTACCAATTTCTACAAATATACTAATATTTGAGAAAAAACTTAAAATAAATAAATAAATATAATATTATTATAATGCTTACCTTTATATAATATGCTTACTTTTTCAGTAAAATAAGCATTTACTTTAAGAATATATATATATATATTAAAGAATGTATTAATATTTAAGATCTATATATAAGAAATGCAATAAACCATAAGCACTATAGAAAGTCATTATTGTAGAAGAAGAAAAACTTGAGCAAAGATTCAAGTCATATAACATAAAGCTAATTCGAATCTGATTCATACAACCGGAATGAGCATCTTGTTAGAAAGCTCAAAGTGTTTATTCTACTCAATATACTTATATATAATAGAATGACTCCCGAGTATAATATATCAGTACAAAAATATTACTATTAATTTTTTTCTCAAAAAAAAGACTATATACCATTTCCTTTTATATTTGAATGTAGCAGAATTGTAGATGCTGTACATTAGCTTCAAATTCTTGTAATTACAACATTAGCAATCATATGAAAAAGGTCGATAAATTTTTTATATGAAAGAAAAAAGGAATAAAAACATAAAAAGAAAAATGATGAGATAAGAAAAAAAAATGCACTAAAGACAGACTAAAAAAATCAAACTCGGCCAATCACAGCAGCCAAACTACGATCTTCGGCTTCTCTTGCGAGCAGACTTGACACTTGCTGTGGGTGGAGGAGACCTATATAAAAGAGTAAGAAGTTTATATTAGTTTTGTATTAACAGCACATGAGAAAAAGCAACAATGGTAACTTACAGCACATCTGCTATTATGGGCGACTCAACATCACTAGTTTCTGACATATCAGGAGAAGAAAGCGAAGAATCACTTATGTCTTGCTGTGTCTACACTCACAATCAAAAACGTTTCGACCCCTGCAAAAAATGCCTAAAAAAATCGAAAAAATAAAAATAAAAACATTGTTTTCTCCTAATATTATTAATCAAATCCAACATGCAAGACGTAAATTCATCAGAAAACACCCACGGATCATATGAAAAGGCCAATCCCTATAAATACGGATGCATCATGTACATGCATTTAGCAAATTACGGGGCGACCCAGATTTCATTGGTGGTTGGTATGAGTCTGTTCACTGTCAAGTACACCATTAAGAGAGTGGACGAGACAGGATCGCCCGAGCCAAGAAAAGGGTCCGGACGACCTAGAAAGATTGACGAGAGGACAGAAAGACACCTTGTTCAAATAGTTTGTAAGGACCCCTTTGCCTCATTTTCTAGGCTAAGGGCTTCCTTAAAGAACATGGAGGTATTTGTCTGCAGAAAGACAATAATCAGTTGTCTGAAGCGTTTGGGCTTCGGATCATATATCACAGCTCACAAGCCAACTTTAACCGAAAGCCACAAGAAAAGAAGGCTGGAATGGGCCCGTGAGCATGTGAATTGGACAGATGACCAGTGGAGAGGTGTAGTGTGGTCAGATGAATCACGGTTCATAGTTGAGAGTAATGATAGAGGAGCTAGAGCTATCAGGAAAGTCGGTGAAAGGTTCAAGGAAGAAAATATCATTGAAGGAACCAAGTGGGGGAAGGGTAGTGTGATGATCTGGAGCTGTTTCTGGGCCAGTGGTTTTGGCCCTTTGGTGTTCCTAGATGGTAACGTAAACCAAGACCAATACGTGAACACTTTGGCTCAGAACTTCCTCCCTTGGTTCCAAAATCTTTTGCGGGAACAAAACAGGAGCTTCGTGTTCCAAGAGGACAACGCCAGCTGTCATACTGGGTCGTACTCAAGGTGGTGGAAAGATAGCCATGAGATCCAAGATTTTGACTACTGGCCCGCTCAAAGCCCAGATCTCAACCCCATCGAGCATCTCTGGTGGGCTCTTCAGAGGCGCATGAGTGATGAGAGGGCCAGTATTAACAATGTTGAAGATCTGAAGGTTGTAATGCAACAAGAGTGGCGAAGGATAGGTCTCGAACTTTCGTCAACTTTGGCCGGAAGCATGCAGCATCGATGCCGGGCTGTAATTGAGGCCGAAGGAGGTCATACAAAATATTGATCTTTTATTTTTTTCTATATTTCAATAATAAACATATATATAATCTTTTATTTGAAGTTTGAATGTTTTAGCTTTTATTACTGAGGAGCAGTTGTATGTTGAATACATGCCATGATTTCTCTCATGCATTTTTTGGGCTCAGAGGTCAAAACGTTTTTGATTGTGACTGTATAGCATAATAAAAGGAAACGATGTTAATTAAAGTTTACAATATATAGATTTGTTAATTGATAAACTTACTTTGTTCTTCTATGCCATTCTTTTCTTGTGTGTCTGGTTGTCGCTCTTGAAGCTTTCCCGAAGAAGGCTTCTTGCACACCACATTCGTTTACATTGGTAGATGTGCAATCCACCATTCTTTGCCAACCTCTCCAAATGCATGATGTAGTATTCCCTGTTTTTCTCTGGGATATTCTTCCATTCTTTTGAGGCCGCAGGATAGTCTTTGTCAATGATATCATGCTTTACCGTACGGCCTAATGTTTTGAGATGCAGTCTTTTTACTGTCAAATCATAATCTGAAAGAGGGACTAATGGGGGCAAAGGCTGCCCTTGTGGAACTTCTTTGCAGCGTGCCTTCCAGTCCTGCTCGTGAAGAATCTGAAGCAACAGATTGTATTTTTGTGCTTCATTTTTTCCTTTAAACTTGCCGCCAGTATTGATTACTCACTTACCGAGCTGATCAGGGTACTCTGTGAGCTGGGCTCTTTTCACAGACTTGGCAATGTGCTCAAGAGCTACAAAAAATGTATGACAATATTAATAAAGTAAATAAACATCTAAGCACAGAATATATATGACTTACAACTCTGCTCAATAATGCTTTGTTGCATTGTAGTTAGATCTTCCGCACTGACTGCTGGCACAAATTGATTGCTAAATTGCCTTTGAAGCTTGCGCAATGCTTGCTTGATTTCAGCAAGATCAACCTCAATCTTTTGAATTGAGTTGAGGAGAGTTGTGTTAATATCAGACATGTTTAAGTTTTTTTTAGCGATAAGCAGTGAGTTGAAAAGAAAAGGTGATAGTTTAGACAAATAGAATAAGAGCGATTTGAGTTTGAGAAAGGCAACAATTTATTACAAGCAATTGACAGCTATTTATATGAAAAAGATACAGACAGATCTACAAACAAAACATATAAAAGAAGGGATGCTTATGCATTTGTATGTGCCTGTCCGCACCTGTCTGCAGTAGCTCATGTGAACATGATATAGTCTTTTTGTGTTGCCACAATAAAACTGTAAGAAATATAAAGATAAAATGAATTAGACTTTAAATCAATATTATATGTATAAATGTTCATACTTTGCACCATCTACATATTAAACGTTTTAAAGTATATGATATAACAATATTACTCTATACATATTGCAGATATAGCATGAAATTTGGTTAAAGTTCTCAATGACAAAACCCTGTACCAGTTAAAGTTATAACTTCAAATATACTCTACAGTAGCTATATAACATCTGAACATCATATAGTTAATTAGCCCCTTTTTATCAACATTAAAGTAAATGTTATGATACTCAAGTCCATATCATACTTATTATCATTATCGACTAAAACGCGTTTTGATTGATGCTGTCATCAAAGGTAAAAATAATTTTAACTGTCATTACTATTATTTACCAAGAGGCATTTTTGACTGAAACCGTACATTTTTGAAAAAGGTGTGCTTTAACTCACATTGGCACTTTCAATTAACACCCCTTTTGATCAGTAGTACTTATCTTGATGATGTCAGTAAAAGAGCATCAGACTATAGCCCTCATTATCTATATCTATTTCTTTAAGTTTTATACATAAACAAGAAAATAATGCTATTAGCTAAATATATATTCACTATCTCAAAAATACTATTAGTATAACACAGATAATATAAATATGTCTTTTCTACTAATGTGTTTAGACAGTACTACTTTTTTTTAACTGTTAATTATTAGAAGGCTGTTTTTTTTTGCCTTTAGTATTAGAGAGTAATTGATAATTTATTTAAAAAAAAACATAAATTATTTGGTCATTAATTATTCTAAATATACATATACCTCTATATAAAGCCCAAAGAATATCTAATTGCTCACAAGTAAAGAGTACGTGTCTGTTTCACCAGTGCTCTTTTAATGGTACCCCCTTGTCAACCAAGAAGTATTTTAACTTACATCATAATTATTAATGAAGAAGAATCTTTCCAACCATGGGAATTATTTACTGACAGGTGTTTCACCTAGCATTAACATTACTGTAATCATTGCTATATCATCATTATGAGAGAGAAAAAGAAAAAGAGCCGCAAGCATTTTGGTTAAAAAATAAAGAGTATATAAAGATGTCTTTTACATTTAATAAATAGCACCAAAATCCTCTTCGCAGCTTTATTTTATATATTACATACGTACCAACCCAACCAATATGTCTTCTTCTAACGCCAGCCAGCAGAGAGATAGAATATCTACACAGCAATACCAATGTGATCAATGTGTCTTGTTTTTTGATAACTACCAGAAGCTGCAAAACCACAAGAGAATTCACAGAGGAGATTCAGCAAGAATGACTGAAATTGACCAGTCTATTCTGGATGATGTTGACATGTACCATGACGAAAATGATACTAGTAATGAAGATGAATCTGTTAGCAATTCAGGTAATGAAAAGAGTTGTAATTGTATTATTTATTTTCCAATTACTAAATAATGTATTACAGAATATACTATGGAGTCTATGGAGCTTGATAATACTATTTCATATAAGTGCGCATGTAATTTTGAGGACAGTGAGGGTGAAGCTCACATTTACGACAGCAGCCGAATCAGTACAAATACTTTTACCAAGGCCGAGTTGATGAGTATTCATCTGTCTCAATTGATGCTACAGCATAGAATTGCTAGAGCAGCATATAGAGACATTGTTCAATTTATAAACACTGTCATCCGAGACCATGACAATATAATGATGGGTAAAATATTATATTTTCTGTTACCTTGTACTTTAATTCCAGATCACTAACATGTAGTGATATCGTTTTTTTTTAGAACCTGGGGGTAAGATCAGTCATGGTGAAACTGTTGATGCTTTGCTCAAGTCAAAATCAAGTGTCAAGGGCCATGAGTATGATGTCTGCTCTAGTGGTTGTCGATTGTATGGCATTAATGACGACCAGGAATCTTGTGTTGACTGCAGCAAACCGCGATACAAGACTGATCCCGATCAAAGTCAGACACCAGCCGCCAGTATGAAACTTATGTCAGTTGGGGATATGCTTTCTCAAATGTTGGCAGATCCAGCCACAAGAGAACTCCTCTGTTACAGAGCAAACCGGGAATCTGTAGCTGGTCAGCTAACCGACATTTTTGATGGTGACAATTACAAGCAGTTGGTGCAGCAGGGCCTGTTCTCCAATCCTGATGATATTGCCATTGGGCTTTATACCGATGGGTTTGTCAATCAAAAGAAAGGCAAAAACTCATATACCATCATCCATTGCATAATATTCAACCTAGACCCATCCATCAGGTAATTAATTAATTTATTACTATTTATTATTATTATTACATTTTTTTAAAAAAAAATTACTAATAAAATACTTAGATATACCAACAAATACCTTTTGCAACTGTCAATCTTGCCTGGCCCCAAGAAGCCAACTCATTTGGACTCCTTTCTTATACCCATCATCAATGAATTGCAAGATCTTGAGGCACATGGCTTGGTTGTCAAGCACAATGGAGTAGAGCTTTGCAGATCCAAGGTCTATCTGCTGCTTGCTTCCGGCGATATTCCAGCTGTAGCTGATATGGCCCACATTGGTTCCCATACAAGTTTATTTGGTTGCTATTTTTGTGAGACCAAAGGCAAATGCCCTACTAACAGACGGCATGGCATGTACTTTGATGACATTTCCACCCGGTTAAGACCTTTGGAAGACTTCAAAGTAGGCAACCCTGTAAGTATACAAATGTTCAATTAGCTATCTTTTTTTTGTACTAAATAACTGCTTGTAATAGTCGAAGAACATATACCAGCCAAGCATATATACCCAACTCTCAACCTTCTCTAAATCATCATTTTTTGCATTAGATGAACTTCATTTAATTGCAAGAGGGATTGAAAAGCTTGTGTATGACCTGATTACCGTCACCCTTACAAAGGAAACCAAATTTTATTATACCCATTCAGACAATACCCTCAATATCACCAAATACCCTTTTTATAAACCAAAAGCAAACCTTGTAACAATTGGAAACTGTATCACCAGCTCACGAAAATATATACCCACCTCATTTCAAGGCAGTTTCAACAACGTATTTGCCAAGATCGATGGTACTCGCGCAGTGGACTGGCTTGACTTTCTCTTATACCTTGTCCCCACTTTGGTCGTGCCTTATTTACCAAATAGGGCTGTCAAAACAGCTCTATTATCTCTTGTGAAAGGTTGCGCGCTTGCCTTGCAATAGACGTTGACATCAGAATTGCTTGATGAGATGGAGCCATAAGTTATTATACGTCTCATATATTATCATTACAAATAGCTGATTGTTACCATTTTTTAAATATTAATAATAGATACTTCAAGCACTGGCACTCGTTTTTATACTAACAAGTCCAGAATAATACCCTGTCTCGTAGTGTTTTCCGACCAGTGCAACATTACCTGGTCCATATACCCTATATCATCAAGCAGCAAGGCCCCCTGCGATGCTACTCCACTCGCTCAATGGAGAGAGTAATTGGCATCTTCTCGAAATTGATAAAGTCCAAATCAAAGGGTGGCCGAAACACCAGTTTTCTCGTCGAGCGATTTGCGATTCACAATTATACCAGCATGGCAATCAGCATCTGTGATGAAATCAACCTCATTTGGCCAAAGCCATATGGAAGAGAGAGCTACATGGACCTTCCTAATGATCCTAGTGGTGCGCAGTTGTGGGAGCCGTTTCATCAGTTTGTTAATTTGAACAATGATTCGGTGGAAGGTGTAGGCGGCCCTAGTGTGAAGGAAGCTTTATTGAAATACTACCGGAGAACAACAGGCTTGACTGGCCACGAGTTTGGTGACTCTGTTGTTGTTGTAGCTGCACGTCTGTGGATGGACTCAACTGTATATTCCTCATGCATGTACCGAAGAAAGAAAAACAAGACCAGCCATGGCAACCATTACATGATGTTTACTTGCCCCTATAGAAAGTAAGTATAATATTTTTCGATATACAATCAAAAGTTGCTTACATTCTATTTATTTATTTATTTTAGCAACCGTAATGTAATTGTTCACAGCTGGCTCATTGGTACAGTACAGTTCTACTTTCAGCATGTAGATTTCTATGGCTTCCCACACTTTCTTGCTTTCGTGGAGGTCATGAAGGAACATGACGCAGCTGGTCATGACTCATCAGTACCTATCGTCAAACAACGGTCACAAAGCACCTGTACACTAGGCCACCAAACGCAACCGACTTATGCAGTTATAAGTGTAAATGACATTTGTCATCAAGTTGGTCTGGTCTAATACCTACCGAATGGAAACCAGTTTTATGTAATCGCGCCCTATTATATCTTTAACAACAACATGCGCATTACTAAAGGCAATCTTTCTATTCTGTAATCCTTTTTATTTTTATCTTATTTTTCTATATGCTCTATATCCTTATATCTTTTATATTTTTTATATCATCCTTGTATCTTATATTCTTTTTTTAATTTTCTCTATTTCTTATGTTTTTTTTAATCTCTATATGCCCCGTCTTTCTTTTTTTCTTTATATACTCCGGTTTTTTTTCTATTCTCTATACACCTTATGCTTTTCTCTTCATTCCCTATATGCTCTATATGCCATTACGCGATTTAAATAAAATCAAATTGCCAATTCATCAAGATAAAAAGAATATCTAAAAAAAAAGAACGTAGTTTAAAAAATAAAAAAATGGCAGTTATGTTACCATTTCGTTCACACATTCCAAAAATTATTAATCTTAATAATTGTTGACATCTTTGATATTCAATAAAACATATATTTCAATACTCAAAGTGGTCATTACAACTTACAAACATTTTTTACAGTATTGAAAATATTGTACAGCAACAAAAAAAGTGTTTTCATGTTACTTTTTTAAATTGCTACGAATGACATTACCATCTTACAACAAACGGCAGAGATTTTATTGGGTTTCGACCAAAAAAATGGCAGTTATGTGCCTACTTTCGGCCCAACTGCCATTCATCCCACCGTAGTGCTCAAGTATCATTATTGTATGAGCTCGTTGATTCATTTCCAACTCTTTCCACTGCAACAACTGCTATTCCTGCTGTCTCTGCTGTGCCGTACTTGTTGACCACTTCTTCTGGCTTTAATTTGAAGACCTTCATTGATTCTGCTGAAGTGACCATCGATAATGTCAAAGGCAATGAGCCATTACCTCCGTCTGCTTTCTCTCTCAGTCTTGGTGAGTTTGTGCAAATGCAAGAAGATGAGTATGCCCATCTGTTTGAATATTATCGCATGACATATTGTGATGCTTTACTGAGAGGTTACCAAGATGCAATTTTTGGTCAACTTTTTGTGAACAGCATGATTCAAAAGATGCAGTCAATAAATGTTTTTGGTCAGATGTATACAAGCAGTAATGGTGTAGTTTGACGTGGCTCAGTTGTACAAGCCATGTTTCATGAAAACAATGATTGTGAAATGAGCACGTTTACTGGCCAGATCCAATATCTTTTTGTCAGTGATATCATCAACCCAGTTACGTACCAAGCGGACAGACATACATTTGCATATGTCAGGTGGTATAAAACGTCTAGCCAAGATACAAGAAGTGAGCAGTTTGTGGAGATGAGCAAATTTTCGTTTATAAGAAGCGATTTTCAAAACATCTTATCTGTTCACTGCATATTGATACCTGCTGCCATTGGTGTACATACAACTGCCACCGGTAATACCCATATGCTCATTGCCCCTTTATATAGAAAAATTTATGCATAAACAAAAAAAAACATATATATATCTTTATTTATTATTACTATTATTATTATTATTATTAAAAATATTTGCTTTATACAAATGAGATGATGAAGAGAGAAAGTATTTTGTGTTGCTATTAAAGTTGTTTGCTTCGAATGAATAAGATGATTAAGAGAGAAACTATTTTGTATTGCTATTAAAGACCTTTGCTTCAAATGAATAAGATGAGGAGAATAACTATATTATATTGCTATCATTAAAAATCTTTACTTTGTACAAACGAGATGAAGAGATGAATTATATTTATTTATTGTTCTTAAAAAAATGGTTTGGAAGAATAAGATGAAGAGAAAAATTGTATTTATTTATTAATCTTTAATGGTCCATTGAGCTAGTGGGACTTTTAAATCATTGGAAACATCCACGTCACATGTAACCCTGGTATGAGGGATAAGTTTCAGTGATCTTTGCCGTCCTTTTGCTACAGCATAATTGTCAAGACTTTCCAAGAGCGTTTGAAGCTATTTTTTTTTCACATTAATTATTTTTCATATATCAAATGATCTCTAAATATATTATCTCATCACTTCTTCAGCTAGGGCAATGAGCCTTCAGACATTTACTGTTGGCTGATCTAGTTGCCTCATTGTCTGTCTCATCATCAGACATTACTGTCTTTTGAAGGACATGAGCACAATCGTCTCTTTTCGTGACCATATCAATGACTTCTTTGTTTTCAAGGTAAGCCATGGAATGCCAGTGAAGAAGCTATACATACATTTAAAAAATAACAGTGAGTATCAAATAATATATATATATACATATCTAATTAGACACTTACTAACAAACTACACTGTTGTCTTCTTGATGCGGTTCTTTTTCTGTTTGCAGTTGAAGGCGTTCTGCAGGACTCATGGATCTGGTTGCAAAAATGGTTTTTCATACGTGCAAGGTCACTTGTAAATATGCCAGCAGATTGGGGTTGGCTCCTCAAATACGCAGTTAGAGCTAGTGCAAGACTGTGGTTATAGCCACCTATAAAGTAGCTTGTAAGGACCCGTCTTGGCTTTGCACCATTTGCAGCTACTTTTCTTTGGTCACTACTGCTGAAGTTCCGCTTTTTCAGATACCCATTGATCAATTTCTATGAAAAAAGTGTTAGATGTCTTGGCCATTATTCTCAAATCAAATCTTATTGAGATTGCTGAGTGTCTCTTTCCAGGCACATAATCATCTTCTATCAATGATGAAAGACCAGTGACCACTTCAATGCCTGATGTAACATTGTATCTGGAAGCAGTATTCTGGACAACAGTTTGACCAGAAACAATATTTACTACTGTCTCCTGAAGACGAGTTGTGGTATCATTGGACTTGGTGCTACCAGTGGCCATGCTTGCAATTTGGTTGGTAAGACTCTTCATCTGAGCATTAAGACTGACCAGCATTGCCAGAACTGGATCAGCCACATTATCATCAACATGGCTACCTGCCGGTCTCGTGGTAGGTATATACATAACCGATGCCAGACCAGTGTTGTTGTTGGGCATGATGTTACATGCAATAGCCGCATGCACAAAGTTATTCTCAGAGGGACTGTTAGAGGTAAAGTTGTTCATTTTCTATATAGAATCAAATATTAATATATGTTAGCTAATGAAATAAGCTTGACACAGTTTCTGTTGAATTTATACATACAAATAAAGAAGGTGATTGAGAGACATCAATTAAGTAAATTCGAAGCCCTATTTATTACAAATTTTCAACTATAGTAATTATTCAAACTACATATGTTTCAATTTGGAGAAGTATATATCTTTAGGTAATTGAACCACCTTTTTTTTTGAAATATTGTTTATCTGCCACTTTTCTTTGGAATCTATATATTTGAAGTCAAGCTATTTTCTTTCTTTCTTTTCTCTTTTGCACTTTTTGACACAAATTTATGGTAAAACATTTTTCTTTTTTTTTGCTTCTTTGTTTTACTTCTTTGTTTTACTTCGATGTTTTACTTTGATGTTTTATTTCTTTACTCATCGCTTTTTGTATTTCAACGGTTTGACAAGTTATATATTTCTTTTTTTTTTGGTAAAGTATCTAATTAGAGACATGCCAATAAATAAAATTTGTCTTAAGAATTTATTATTTACTAATAATGCCAACAATATAGATACTATTATATTCTTTTGATGACACTCGCAATAATATTCATATCTCATATTGTGGTATGTCTTTATGAAATACATGTATTCTAACTTTGCTTTTATACCTGTCTTATCTTTGTAAACATTATTCAATTAGGTCCAAGTATTATTTTCTTAGAATAATAACATCTGGTAATTTTTTTTAACAAGCAAATCATCTATACACTCATTATAAACAATACTAAATGTGATATCTTTTGGTAGCAATTAGCATACCAAGAGCTTTAATCTCGTAGTGTTTACTAGCTGTCAATTATTAGTTTATGGCAATTATATCAAGCCCGTAAGTATCAATTCTCTTATATTTTATTTTTATGATATCATCTAATATATATATCTTTCTTTTCTTGTGTTATATAGTTGACTATCTCTTCAAGTAGGTATTGGCATAAGTGCTTTAAACAATAACAGTTCAACAGTATATGGTAGGAAGTATTGTTATAATCAATAGTTTTACGAAATGAATGTACCAAAAAAACTAGAATGCTCATCAAAAAAAATATTCTTTTTCAAATATCAAAATAAACAAAACAAAAAAAATTCACTCAAAATAATACAAAACTGCTTCTTTAAAATGTATGGTTTCTCAAATGTGAAATGCTAAGAAATATACTTTCCCACAAATTTGTGCTATAAAACCATAAATTAATATACAATAAAAAAAAGGGGAAAGTGTTCCTGCTAAAGAAGTATTTATATCTAATTCAAAAATGAATAATTTCTCACAAATTTTATATAATAAAAATATAATTGTTCACAAATTCATGTTATAAAACAGAAAATAAATATATAATGAAATAAGGGGAAAGTGTACCCACTAAAAAAGTATTTTTATTGGCTTAAAATAAATGCTTTCCTATAGATTTTATATGATAAAATACACTTTCCCACAAATTTGTATTATATAAGTAGAGAAAAAATATACAGAAAAATATAGGGAAAGTATAGATGCAAAAGCAGTATCCATATCCGGTTTTTTTTAGATTAAATGATGACCTAAAATGGAATATAATAACTATATATATCAAGAGCACAGAGTATACACTCATTATTTCTATTCAAATACAATTGATGGACTAAGAAGGGTTATTGTTACTCAGTGAAACAATACTTACTTTATGATCTTAAACTTCTATCCACCTGGTATAAGTATACTAGATATCTCACGGGTAACATTCCTAAAACCACACAGAAATCATGGCTTTAAACTCAATATTCGCATACTTTCTACTCAATGAAATCATATAATTTTTGTAGTGGTTGTTAATTCTAGTCACAATCGCATTATGAGCACCTTTATACTGTATCATAATTGCAGAAGGAATAGATATCATTAACATAGAGTTCTTTATCTAAATAAAAATATTATAATTAAAAGTATAGAATATCATCTTATTTTAATGTCACTATATATTAATAAAATATTTTTATAGCTTTATATCTTCTAGTTTTAGAATAATTTAATTGACTTTCCAATCAAGATTTTTCTCAATGTGTTCATTGATCTAAATACAGACTTCTTCAGAGAGCCAAGAGCAAGAGATATCAGAAAGCTCAAGAGAATTGTAGCTATTATGTCTCTAGTTGTAAACTGCTGTTACTTTACTGCCATTAAAGAACTTAATAATTAAAGCAGTCAGATATCTCATTTTGATGTTGTTATCTATAGTGTTTCCATGCTTAACAGCGTAGAGCTTGTCCCTTTCAACTGCTTGCTTCTTAGAACTCTCTGCCTTTGTGCTAGAATAATCACATTTAAGATACTAGATTACTTTGATCATATTGCAATTGATCAAAACACTAACAGAAATCTTTCTCTTCAACTTGTCACTGTTTTGAATGACTCAGTTAGCATGGCAAGCTGGGCTGTTTGTGAACTACAGCTAGTACTCTTTTTCAGTTTCAAAAACAAATTCTTCTGTCTTGTTCTCATATGTAGGCATGAACTGGTAGATAGTTGAGATACAAGAATAAAAAGTAATATCATTTATTATTATAGTGTCAAGTCTCAATGTAGTACTTTTTTCTGGCACTTGTAACTAAATTGAAGAATCAATACTACTGAGGATTATCAAGTTTATGAATAGTTTTTGGATAGAAAATAAAATATGCTTTTTATTAAATATATTTCTTGACTATTTATACGAATTGATACTTGATTTCTGGCTAAAAGAATAACTATGTTAATATACTTGTAGAAGATATTACTGGATAACTAGCATCTAAAACATATTAACATAGTTATTCTTTTAGCCAGAAATCAAGTATCAATTCGTATAAATAGTCAAGAAATATATTTAATAAAAAGCATATTTTATTTTCTATCCAAAAACTATTCATAAACTTGACAATCCTCAGTAGTATTGATTCTCCAACTTAGTTACAAGTGCCAGAAAAAAATATTTAGATTAGCAACGCTATTATTGTAAATGCGCGGACCGGGAATCGAACCCGGGCCCTTCGCGTGGCAGGCGAAGATTATACCACTTAACCATCCGCGCTTTCGACAGTTTATCACTGGGTGTTGTAATAATAATCCACAAACAACAAAATTTCGGTTGTCTGGCAGTGCATTGATATTGCAAAATTCTTTGTAATTCTAGAAAATTATATTCTATTATTTAATTTTTGATTCTCCGATGGTGGCCAAGGCTGAATAGAAAGCACTTTTTTATTCATAGAGTAAAACACTAATAAGTACAATGAAAAAGCATTATGCTGTCAATAATAATTTTACACAACTACATATTGTATCTTATTTTTTCACTATATTTAACTGACACTATGGCAAAGAAAATAGTAACATTTTACCACTTTAGTAACATAACTACCATTTTTTACTTAATAATAAATGACAGTTATAACTCTGTATAAGATCAAAACAGGCACTGTCACTATTTTTTATATATGATATATTTTTTTTAAATCAGGAATTTTGAATTTTGGGCCAATTTTTATATTTCAAATACCAATATAAGAAAATGGAATTAAATGTCTGCAAACTTAAGAAAAATCCCAAATATTAAATTTTATACAGTCACAGTATCATATATTTACAGCAAAATATGTTTCAAACATCAAATACTATATAATGTTACTATATTACGGGATCAATTCTCTCAGTCTGCCATATGAAATAAATAATTGAGAGCCAAAATTTTTCTTCCTCTGCTATTAAATTTGAATACTGCGATTTTTCAAGACCTAAAAAGTGTTGTCAGAAATGACAAAACTAAATATATTATAAGTCTACTTTGTTAATAAACAGCTTCTCTACAAAGTAAACTAATAATATATTGAGTTTTGTCATTTCCGACAACACTTTTTAGGTCTTGAAGAAACCAGCTGGAGTCTAATTTTATTACTGTGTATAAGAAAAATACACTATAATAAAAAATAGTAGTTATTTACTATATAAAAAGTCAAAACAGGCACTGTTACCATTTTTTCAAAAAAAATTAAGCCTTCTTCCTTTCCTCTATTACATTCTTTCTTTTGTTCTATTGCTTTTAATTCTAGCACAACCTCTTGTCTTTTCTTTGCAACTTTAACATAATGATCTGTTTTTTATTATACAGTATTGAATCGGATTTGATTGAATTGAATCTTTATTTCAATGCATGATTTATTAAATGAAAATGATAATAATAATAGTAATAATGAAAAAACAATTCTATCAGCCACTCATAATAAAAAACGATTCTGTTTAGCTACTGCAAAACATATGCAGTAAAACACTACTATTCAAATTGTATTTCATATACTTTAGGTATTCTAATATATCTTAGATAACACTTATTATTTTTTACTAATTTCTACAAATATATCAATATAATACTATGAGAAAAAAGGGGCGTTTTTTGTAATTGTGACTTAATTTTTGGCTTATAATAATTAAAAAATAGCCAAAAATGCAGAATGAAACAAGAAAATCTCTGTTTTTTAAAATAGCTGATAAAAAGCAAATTGACTACCTAGAATTAGATCTCAGAAAAAACAAAAGTACATTTTAACTACAGAGTTTACATTTTAACATGTATAGATTGAAATCAAGAACTATTAAAAGTCAGAGGTAAAAGATAAAGAAAATATCTAAACTTTCTGCTGCAAAGATGAAATTTATTAAGACAATTTGAAAAAAAATGTATTACAATAAAAAAAAACAAATTATAGATCTCTATATTGACCAAGATTCAATTTCGGGCCGCAGTTAAGTTTTGGCCACATTATATATCTTGTTGATGTTGTTGTTGTTATTGTTGTTGTACTGCCTGTTGTATCTGACATCACAAGACCAACCAACTTCTTGACGTCTGCCAGGTGGACTACCTTTCGTTTAAGCTAACCATTTACTATCACCGGAATGCCATTGTATAATACAATGCTATATATCAGCACCAAAACAAGGGGTCACCTTTTACCAGAATTCTTATGTTCGAAGAAAAGAATTACTTTTCCAAAGAAGTCTTTTGTCATGGGAGTGTATCGGCGACATACATTTGTGAACAGATTAACTTGCACCTGAAGACAAACATGATGCACCTCTCTTAATGTTTTTTAAAAAAATGAGGAGTCAATCACACAGCCATTAATAAAAGCTTTGCGGCTAGTTATTATAGCTGGTTCAATCGTCCCGCATTCTACCCCCTTTGATCTATAAAAGTCTCAAATAAGAATTGGAAGATAAGAAATGTCTTTGAAACTGTCATTAATTGTTTTATATTCTAAATGCCCCCAGAACTTGATATCGGAATCTGCACCAGCATGCTCGCCCTTGCTAGTAATTGGCCAACCAGCAGACATATCTTTGTATTATAATACAGCACCTCTCCATTTACCTCCTTCAGAATCCATCAACAATTGCTGTGTACAAGCCAGCTGGACCATTACGTTTCCAGCATTCATGCCAATTGCCAAATTGCTTTTGATGGTGCGAAAGTACTTGCCAATAGCACACTCTACTGATCTTGTGCTGTATGCGCGTGAAGAACCAAAGGCACCAATCATATTGGGGTTGTTGTAAATGAGTATTGACTACTGCTGTAATTGAGAATAAGTCTGAAGGAAATAATATAAGGCCTCAGCTATTCCAGTCAAAGATGTCTACCGATTACTTTATTATTTAACACACAGGTTTAGTATGCATGATAGTGATTATATTTCATATGATGATATCACCATAATATGAGATATATCAGTGGATTATTATAAGCATAATTATAACTCATAAACACATTTACTTTCGATGTTAATACTTCATTGGGACTACACACATTTATATAATTAATCATACATTAATTATCCCAAGATCACATTGCTCTGATTAAGGCTCAGATAGGATCAATTACCTGACCCTAGTTATATAATTTTCCTGATCCAAAATAATATAAATAACAGTAGTAGTTCAGTGTAGAAACCTCGTCAAACTTGGATACAAAATCTTTTCTCAATAAATAGAACCTACACAAGTTCTCACAAATCTTTGTTCCTAATCTTAAATCTTTAATTCTTCCTCTTAAAAACTTCTTCAACTTCAACCACCACAACATCTATTATTATAGTAAAACAGCTATCATTCCAAGAACAAATAAATAATTTATTTGTTTTACTTATGCTAAATTAATAAGATCAATAATTAATTACAGTAAGTACTGTAATTATGACAGCTCAGTAATCACTGAGTTAATATGAGAACACTGCAATAAAATTAAATTATAAACATAGCAGTACTACCTCTCTAATATCTAAATGAACTCAGACTTAAGAAATTAAGATGTGACTGACAAAGCAGATCGTGTTTTTATATAAAAAGAACAACTTTTTATTCTTTAATAAAGACAACCTATATACAGTCTCAAAGTATTCTTATATACGTCCCAATCTTTTTACTGTTGATTTCATTTTATAAAACTTCACAACAAGCATTTACTCTAAGAATATATATCACTGGAAAAAGAATAGGATCTTTTTCTGTTAAAAACTGTCAAAATATATATGTAAAGACCAGATTTTTTCATATGATCAGAAAAATTAGGGCAATGATATAGACATGCAAAAAAAAAGACCAAAAGGGAGAATTAAATGTGACATCACTTGTAATTGGCCTTTGGAAGTGTTACTAACAAATTGAGCACTGATAAGACATGCAAAAGCAAGCAAATTGAAGAATTAGACGTGACGTCACATATAATTAGTTTTGCATGTTACACGCATTTTTTTTGGGGGGATCAGATAAATTACCCTCCAGATTGCCAATTAAATCACTGCCCCTTTTTACTACAACATCAGCGCATAATTTTTTTTGACATTTAACATGAGAAACATTAACAATATCAACAATACCAACGACTTTGTCATTGTTAGTGAGACATCAAAGAAATACAATGCTGCCTTGACTGAGTTCAACTTAATTTTTCTTGTTAGAAGAGAATTCTCTTCAGTCGTAGCTGTTTGAGAAGCTGCTAAGGCATATGGCGTCAAGCATAACATTGCTCTCACTACTGAATATGCATCAAGCTCTCACATCAAATTGATTTGCAAGCACTCTGGTGAATATAGAGATACCAGAAAAGCCGAGAAGGTTGCTTCCAAAACATCAGTTATGGGTGAAACTCTTTCTGGATGGGAGAGAAAGTGCGAAAAAGACATGCAGAAGCATGGCTGCCCTTGCTTCATGTATGCCAACACCAAGAAGGGCAGAAAGCTCACTGTGTGCTCCCTTGAGGCAGAGTATAACTATCCCATCGAAGAAGACCGCAGAGCATATGCTATGCACCGCAAGCTCTCGCCTGAGGAAATGACACTTGTGGTTAAGCATCTGAAGAACAATGATGATGTGGTGATCCAGACACTCGGATATTGGATTTATCACATATAAGAACATATTCATATTGGGATAGCATAGTAGCTATCATCTTGTCAGTATAAAATATATATAAATGATTAAGTAATCAGCCCAATAATTATTACAGTTAGTACTGTAGATAATATCTTAAAGATTGTTAAGATAATTATATCATACTGCTGGGTAAACTGTATCAGATCTATATGGAGCTAATTTAGTAGGAAGTCCTAAAGCTCTAGTATAAAAGAGAAAAGAATAGCTAAGAGCTAAAGAAGTACAATTTATGACTTGATGTCATAATTGTAAAACTGACACTAGTTAAGCAGTAAATACTCTAATAACCAAATATAGTAAAGGAAGAAAGCCTTAAGAAACTAAGACGTAATGACAAGAGCAGATTGTGTTTTCTTATAAAAAGGGACACTTTTTATTTATGAATAAAGACAACTTATATATAGTCTCAAAGTATTTCTATACATCTCTATTATTAAATATTTTATTTTTCTATTGTTTTGTACCTGAAATACCACAGACAATGTATCCATCATCTTCAACAGTTTGAAGATAAATGGATATACAAACATTGTTTGCCATGACATTGCTAATATAAAGCAACATTTTGGAAAATCGGAAAAAGGAAAGAAGATGTTTGACTTTATCACCACTCTGCAAGATCTTGACTTCCATGTCAGGTATTCTGTCAGTAATACAGAAAACAATCAAGTGAATATGATCTTCTTTGTGCATCAGAATGCAATCAATGAGGTACAAAGAATGCCTGAGACTGTCATTATTGATGCCACATATAAGACAAATAGTCATCGAATGACTTATGTCAACATTGTTGGTACTAGCAATGTGAGTGGAAACCCTCGTACCACTTTAAAGACGTATCCAATTGCTGGTGCTTGGGTAGAGCATGAGACAGAAGAAAATTATCTCTGGGTGCTTAGCTGTCTCTGCGATGCAGTCTGACCAGATGACAACAACAACAACAACAACAACAGCAACAACAACAACAACAGCAGCAGCAACAGCAGCAACGACAAATAAACAACACTTCTCCTAGATGTTTTCATCACGGACAATGAAAAAGCATTGAGAAATGCTATTACTCGAGTCTTTTCTGAGTCAAAGCAGTTGTTGTGCTATAAGCATATCAAAGACAACTTTAAAAAGCAATTGCTTCCAATGATTAAGGGAGACGAGAGTAGCAAAAAGAGAGACCTGTTGGATAAGCTGTCAGAATTCCTTGACTGAATTGCTTTAAAATGCATTACATATCAAGAAGTAAAAAAGGAAACAAATGGATACCTTGAACTTGCAAAGGAAAATTGCAAAGACCAGGGAAAAGCTGCTAGTGCTTTTCTTGAGAAGTACGTATAAATTTTTTAAATTTGATGTAAACAGTATTTAACTATAAAAAATTGTGTTTTTTTAATATACTTTATCAGAAAAATGAAAGACAAGGAAAACTGGGTAAACATGTATGTTTACAAACATGCCCATTTTGGCAATCGCACGTCAAACTGTGGAGAAAGTGCTCATGCTTCTCTCAAGCATTCTCTTAGTACTTCCTTGGGTAAACTGAAGACAGTTACCCTTAAAGTAAAAAAGTGGTATGACAAGTTAGTAAGTTTGTTCTATACTATTTTATGCATTTATTGGTTACAATATATTTATAAATTGTACAGGTTGCAGATTGCAAGCATTGGCTAATGGTGGAAAGCCTTGAGAAGGAACAAAAATTGTGTTCAATAAAGTCAATGCCGCCAGAATAAATGACATGCGTCTTAAAGTCTGTAAATTTGCAATGGATCAAATCAAATTAGAATTATCCAAATCCATTATACCCAAAAAACTAGCCAAAGAGTGCAAATGCTTCATACAATACAACTACCTGTTTCCTTGTTATCACACACTTGCCAAATTCGATACCATCCCAATCTTCTGCATCCCAAGTCGCTGGAGAAAAAAATATCTAGAAGGAGAAAGTAATATATATAATAATAGCAATAATCACGTGACGATTTTCTCATATAACATTTTATTATATAGACCATTTAACTATCCAAAATGCAACCCCAGTACCCCCAAACATCAACAATATCAAACCAATAACCCCAGAATTCAACTATGCTCTTGAGCTTATTTGTGAACATTTCGCCAATGCTCAGAGCAAACAACAACAAATCAATATATACTAATTGATAGAAAAAACTTTGAAACAAATTGACGCACAGAAACTTGAAAACCTTAAGGGCCCAACAGTAGTTGAAGCCATTAAAGGCCGACCAAAAAATACCAAGCGCAAGATGATTGCATTAGAGCATTGCATCAATACCAAAAAAGAAAAAATCACAAAAAAAATTAAAACAGAAAAAGAACAAAAAAAGTAAGATTTTAATATTGTTTAGATTTAATTTACTAAATCTTTGCTTTGTTTTCTAGGCAAAAAATATCCTCAGCTAAAGAGCAAAAAGTCATAAAAAATATTATCAACCTTGAGTCACCATGCAATCCCACATTACTAACAAATCTCACAATTGCACCAAAACATATATCAATAATCTTTTCTTCTGAAGCAGATGGAAATTGTGGGTACAGGGCAATAGCAATAGAAGTGTATCAGGATCAGGAGGAGTGGTCAAAAGTAAAAGACAAAATGCTAGAAACATTTTTAAACTACCAAAACAACTACTACCATAGAAGAATAGAGCATGGCAATATGCCTGCATCCAATAACCCACTAATTTGCAGTCTCCAAGACAAGCACTCACCTCTCCCCCAGCAACATTGGTTTGGTACAATTGACCATCCTCAACTTGTAGCCGATACATTTAGCAGAGCAGTGACTGTATATTGGAATACTCCAATTGAAACAGGCGACTGTCTTTTTGTTCCATTTGCTACCTTGCCAGAAAAAGTGGAACCGATAATTATTATCTTAGATATAAACCACTTTCTTCTTGCCAAGCGCAAAAACACTCAAAATTTCTGCTGGCCAAAAATCAACCCCTTTCATAAAAGAATAATTCAAAAACATGGCCTTGAAGATTATTCTTTGATGTACTAACAATCAAGGTATGGCTTTTAAACTAGAATTATTTTGAATTATACTAATTTTTTGTATATATCTTTTTTAGATTTTTTTTTACTTTTTAGATTCTATATTTATCTATATTATCAATATTCCCTTCTGTTTCTATTCAATTTATTATTATCTTTCTATTTATCTATATTTCTATATTTATCTTCTTTACAATCTTCTGTTTTTATCTTTATATCTATCTCATTATCATTTTTTATATTTTTACAATCAAAATTAATTTTGAAACATTTAACAAATATCAAGGCTGACCCCCCAAAAAAATGTGTATAACATGCAAAACTAATTATATGTGATGTCATGTCTAGTTCTTCAATTTGCTCGCTTTTGCATGTCTTATTAGTGTCCAATTTGTTGGTAACACTCCCAAAAGTCAATTATAGGTGACGTCACGTTTAATTCTTCAATTTGGTTGCTTTTGCATATCTTATCAGTGCTCAATTTGTCAGTAACACTCCCAAAGGCCAATTACAAGTGACGTCACATTTAATTCTCTCTTTTGGTCTTTTTTTGCATGTCCAACCCTAATTTTTCTTGCATGCCTATATAGATCCCCAAAAATTACACAAAGGTATGAAGTCAGTTTTCTACTAAGTAGAAAGACCAACTTTCGAACATAGGAAAAGCCCAGGCAGCTGAGAAGCAGGGTTCATTAACATTTTCTGTATATAGGATTTCTCTATTACACCAAAGTATCTTATCCAAAACTATATTTCTTGTAATACTTTATATTTGTTTTAGATTAAAAGAACAATAAACAAGCATGAAATTTAATGGAATAGCCAACTTTTCTATGGTTTATTTCATTGAAAAGCCAACTTTTCCATGGTTGTAATTTCCAAAACAAAAATTTGACCCAATTGTAGACACTCCTTCTTGTACAATTAACTGCAAAATATTTCTTCCCCCATATATGCATTGCAATTCTTATTGATTTATTTTGTGTTTATTAGGAAAAAAGAATACTTCTAGGTTTACAGTCTAGTGATACAATTATATATTTCAGATCACTTTTCTCATCATTTTTCATATTATTTGAATTGAGTAATGCAATGCAGATATTATTTCTCTCAAAAAACCAGTGATGTGTAGCTTGCTTGAAGATGCCTGTTCTCTAAAATTATAAGGGTGTTAATTATGTACGTAGAATATTAAATATCCTAAAAATATATTGTATAAAATATACTTACATTAAAAACATCAGATACAAGTGGGAAAATCAAGAGGATATCAGGAATGTTGGACATGGCACCCAGTATGACTACTTTGACTATGAAAATGATTGGAAAAATTAGTTTGAGTGAATTAAGTAATATAGTGATTAATTTACACACCCAAAGCAAACAGTTGTATTTGTAAACCTTGATAGTCCTTGTCAAGAGCTGATATAGTCTCTTGTAGAATATTGTATTATATTAATATACAGTATAATAATATTATGGTACATATAAAGAGAATAAAGAAAAAACAAGTCTTACCATGTCAATGACAGTAGCATGAGATGGAAGTTCTAGCTGCAGAGAATGTTTGAGATAGGGTCATTCATCTATAATAAAGATCATATTTTGTTAGATAAATATTAAAACAAAATGTAATAAATAAAAAGTACTATAAAATATTATCCTGTTGGTTGCCATGTTTAGTTGTACACTATGAATGAAATTGGTGTGGCTGCTACTAATAGTAGTGGATATGCCACTAATTTATTTTAATTAACCAATCAAATTGGTTCTAGATTTTGGTAAAAATATTAAAAAAAGATGAAAAAGATAAAGTTATATTTAAGAGCAAAAAAACATAATAAAAACGTCTTTTTTTTACATATATATCATATAGAGAGTATAATACCTTGATTTATTTATTTTTTATTTGAAATCGTAAAACTTTTTTTTCGTCTCATTGTCAAGATTGTTGTATTTTGCCGATACCACTAATCAAAGTGGCAGACCAACTAACTTTCCCACTAATTTACCGAAAGTGCGGGATTTAAATTGATTTTTTTATCTTTTATTTTGCTTTAATTTTTACTTCACATTTTTTTTTCTTTTCATCTCAAATGGACAACATCTTAAAAAATAATTTTAAGATGAAGAAGGTGAATCTCTATAGCTACTTTATACATCTACTTTGCACGACTTATTTTCTTTTAATTTTTCTTTAATTTAACTTATCAAAATAAAAATATATTTGAATTATTGAAATAGAAACAAAGGTTCTTTTTATTGTTTATAGGTATATTAAAGAAAGAAGAGATAAAAAAATGGGTATAATGGGGTATTTACAGTTTGATATGGCTTAATTTTCCAGCAGTACTTTTCATATCTTCATTAAATATATAATATGGAGCAACTACTTTATATTTGTTTGAGTCCATAGCGGTTTGGACTAAGCTGACTTGATTTTGGATATCATTTAGCCTACACTGGAAAAATAACAATAAATACACACCGGGAAATTCAGGCATACTATTGTGAATATTCCGCATTTTACAGTGGGGTTTTGCCTATTTCCACTGGTACCAAAGCTGATCTGGTTACATGTGCACAGACCTGCTATCTACAAGTGTAAAGTTCGATAGCACTAGTGAAGTTGGGGTCAATAGTAATTTTATATCTTTGTATATAATAGAGTACCAAGAAAACTTTATTTCAAACTTTGTTTTTTTGCTGTAATACAATCTGTTTCCATGTTAAAGGTTAATAATCAGGGACTACGTCGCATGTGTATTGTTGAACTATCCCTGGGTGAATAGTTAGAACCATGGACATTTTATTGCTTATAAGCCAATCATTAACACTCTTTATTATGAGGTCATAGATTATCTGCTCCCCCAATTACTTGATATTCAATTATTATTGGTTTGAATTATAGTTTATTTTTGTATTTATTAGAAAAAATAGAATGATTCTAGGTTGATAGTATTGGAATAATATTATATGTCTCGGGCCGTCTTCACCGGTATCCTTCATATGACTCAAATCAAGCAGTGCTTTATATATAATGTTTGTAAACCCTCATATTCAGTAGTTATCTTTGGCACAGATACTATTTAACATAATAGAAGAGAAGTTAGATGTGTATTTAAATATTTACATGTTGTGAGTGATATATTAATTTGAGGATACATACAATATAATGACTGAAGAAGATAAAAATAAAACTTTGAGAGTTCGAGGCATGGCGTCAAGTATAATTTCTTTAACAATGAAAATAATATAGAGAAGTTAGTTTGAGTGAATTGGGTGACAGAATATGTAATGAACGTACCCAAAGAAAGTCAATTTATTTGTAGACCTAGATAGTACTTGTCAAGAGTTGATATAACCTTTAGTAAAAAACATATATTAATATACAGTATAAATAATACTATCATACATATTAAGAGAATAAAAGAAGAAGTCTTACCATGTCAATGATAGCGCCAAGAGATAGAGGTTCTTGATTCATTGCGTGTTTGGCAGATGAACATTCATCTGTAATAAAAATTATATTCTGTCAGATACATATTAAAAGTAAATAAAAAATAAAATATTACCGTGTTGATGGTCTTGTTTAATTGTAGGGAATATTTTTGGCGATATTGTCTATAAAAAAGAAGGAGAAAAGTCAGAATAATTTTATATGATGATGACATGAAGTATAGTTACTAACCTGGACTAATCCAGATGGCCATTGTAAAGAGAATACATCAGAAGGAAAAAACACGCTAGTATCTATGACAACTGAAATAATAATTATTATTTAGTTATATTTGAAGAAAAGAATTGCTTTAAAAAAAAAGAAGATATGTTACCAAAAAAGTTTGCGAATATAGTAAAACACTAAGAGAGTATATATGTATCTATGACAACAGAATGTGTTAATCTTGTTGTTGTCTGTACAGAAGTATTTTTAAGAAGAATGTATCTTACCAGTAAAATTCACAGTTATAACAAAAATCAGAAAGAGAAAGAAAAGAAAAGAAAATGGTCGATAAGGAAAAATATGGAAAAATAAAAAAAATAAGTAAATAAAATACAAAAAACAAAATAGGTAATTAAAAAAAATGAAACTCAAAAAAAATATCCAAAAAGCATAATAGATATAATGGTGTAGTATCTAAAAGCAATCTTTGTATCAATTTACACAGTGTGTGTACAAGAAGTTACTTTAGATATATTTTTTTAACCAAGATCAATCAAGACTAGACATCCTTTTTTTTTGGAAATATAAATATACGTTTTTGCTACAATCTTACTCACTCTTGCTCACGCACTCTTACAATTATTCTTACTTATACTCACACTTTCTCTCTCTATCTCCCCATCTTTTTCTGTCTTTTATTTTGGTATGTTTGATAATAAATATAATTGTAGTGTATAATAAAAATTTATTCAAAGAATATAAAAGCATTAACAGTTAATACATATTTGAACTTATATTTTTAAATTAATAGAATATGTCTAACCAAAATGAAAGCTATCCCACTCGACGCACTCCTGCTGAGAGAGAGATGACAAACTCTCTTGCCATCTTGCGTCGTGACATGACCACTGTCATGAAAGACGTTGCTGATATCAAAGCAAAAACTTTGAACACTCCTGTGTCTGCTGTTTTGCAGAGTCAGCCGATGGCTTTAGTGCATGCTGTTGCTCCTGTGAGCATGGAAATGAATGTAGCTGGTTCTTCCACCATGGCTTCTGACGCAAAATCAGTCAACAAAACAAAAGCCTATGTATGTATCATACATATAGTAAATTATATCTTTAATAACTTACCAAGATTCAATAGAGACTTCTTCGGGAGCATTTGTGGGACCCTAAGTTCAAGTCAAAACATTTGGCTGAAATTCAAGCCAACAATGGCAAGCCAAGGTGGAACACGGCTGTCAACTTCAACCAGTCGCCAAACACTGAGCTGACAGAAAACCTCGTTGCCTACTTGGAAAGAAATTTCGTAGGAGCAGGACTGAGAAAAAGTGATGTTCGTGACTTTGTCTACACGAACTTCACTAGCAGAAAGCGTGCAGCTAATAAGTCTCAGGCTAAAAAGAAGTCAGACAATGCTCGCAACAGAAGGAGTAGCCGCGAAAAGGAGGTAAGTTATACTTTATTTATTTATTATTTGAATAATTCTTATCTAAGTCATTAATTTAAAGCAAAAAAAGAAAACTAATTTAATATTTTCAACAGCACTTGAAACGTCGCAAAACAGCGTACCAGTCTAACAAGACTGCTATTGATGACGAGATGAAAAGAGATTGCTCTGGTCTCATTATAGAAGAGGCTATGTCTGTTGGTGAGTCAGACGATGGCACTTCGCCTCATGTTTCTTATAGTGGGCTTCGTCTTCGTCGTCCAGGTTGGAGAAGTGATGAGGTACTTAGTTTTTTGAAAGTTGAAATATTTAATTTAGTTAATATATTATATTGTATTATACTGAATAAAATATTAATGTCTTTAATATAGTACAACCACTTCATCACACTTGTTGACAACAAAGTGGTAGCTGATTTAGGCTTAAATAGCCATCAATTGCTGTCACGTGCTTTTGGCGAAACCGTTGAAGGACCAGTCCCTGATGCAATTGCGTCACAGTTTCCTCAGTGGGCTCTTAGAAACGGGCCCTAAATAAAGTTTATATTTTTTGTTCTTTTTTTCTTCATTCATAACGTCCTATACTTTAAATAACCAAAAAAATGCATAAAGAGGCATTACTTGTTCTTTGTTTTTTATTTAATTATTCTCATAAAAAATCATAGTGCATAATTATTCATAAAGGCTTCAGGCATAGTATTTTTTTGGCATAGGAATGACCAGCATTCTTTCTTCGTTCATATCAGTTACATCTACAGCAGTTGCGACCTCTAAGTGTATGCGATGTACAGGCAAGATGCTGTGATAATTATCAGCAGAGAATTCTGGCAAGCAGATTGCAATACCTTCATCTCTGTGTTCATTGTCATTTGTCGAATTATACCATCGGATGTATGCAAAAACATGCTGGTCTTGATGTAATGTTGATGCTCGGTGGTTTGGATGAGGAGGCAGAGTAAATGAATGTATAAAAAGATACTGAATTTGTCCGGTATATAGGCTTGAAGTTCGGCCATTGCTGCTACGGAAGAAAGCTTGAACGAGTGACCCGCGCTTACCAGAACTGTTGTTCCCAATATATGTTTGGCCAAGGAGATCAATTGATTTCAATTTTGTGATTCAGTTATTTACAAAATATTGTGACAATCTGGCATCGTGGTAAGAAATGAGATTGGGCATGGCATAGGCGATTTTATAATAATCTAACAATTGAGGATAATCAATATCACTCATTGTTGATTCTTTTAAGGACTGTAAAGGAAAGGTGGATGGGGGGAGTGGTTCATTGCCTTTGATAGGTGCTGCTCGACTTAAGGATGAGTCTACAAATTGTTGCAGTCGGAAAGGTTGTTGGTTGGTTGGAGCATAAGTGGCATAGGTCGTTATAGGTGCGGTCGTAGAGGTAA